GAGGCTTGGTGTTGGTCTCCGCTGCTGACAGACTGGGTACTCGGCCATGGCCCTAGCCATGTCAGCCTTATTGACTGGATGGTTAAGTTGCCCAACCCATGCATAACCTCTTTTCTTGCCATCATGGCCAGTTTGTTCATGAGTCCATTGGACAATGGCTGGGGTAGCTGGGAAAAGGGTGGCTGGTATCCATAGAACAGATGTTCTTATCACTTGATAACTCAGGAACTGCTTTGGGTGTGCTGTTTTCCTAGGTGGCGACAGCCCTAATGACTTCCACTTGGCCTTTCCCATTGTAATAACCACCACCCCACATGTAGGGACCCAGTGTGATTTTCCCAGTAATGAGTATGTCTATTCCAGTTATGCTCAGAACAGGGGAGATAATCCCAAGACAGTCTGGGGAGCCCACTGGACCTGCTGGAGACACAATGATCTAAAACTCCACCAATCATCTGACCCCCATAAACTCTACTCTAAGGACTAGAGGGCCACAGTGATGTTTTTGGATCTTTCAAAATTAGTGTTGATTCAAGGCCAGTGTCCAGTAACCCCTGAACTGTCTCCTTGTTTCCTTTTCTCCAGTGCACAGTCACTCTGATCAAAGGCCAGGGCTCGCTTTGGGGAAGGCTGGGGGACTGCAGCAGAGTACATTTTAGGCAGAGTGGTGGAGGAGGCCTTGCTCCAGGGGATCCAGCCTCCCTTTCACTCAGAGAATTCTGAGTCTGTAAACGGGCTCGCATCTGGGAACAGATTAAGAGGGTGTGACTTTATGGTTTTATGCTTCCAGTTAGACTTTTGTTCATGGACCTAAGGCTCCCCCGAGCATGTAGGTCAAGTAAGAATTTAATAGACTTCCCATCTGTCTTACCTCCAGGAGCACCATGTTCAATTGGCAGCACCAGAGGGCCTATGATTAAGACTGTTCTGATTGCTGTTTTGACTCTTTGTCCATTATGGTATCCATGCCCACCTTGGTTTTGGTGGGTAAGTGCCAGTACTTGGCCCTCGCCACCCTGAGAGCCAATGAGCCCCCACTGCATGACATTTTCCAACTCGATGGCAACAGTTCTCACACACTTTGTATCCAGCACTCACTTTTGTCGGATTCCTGGCTGTTTAAATTGGAAAATCACATAATTCTTTTGGAGTATACTCATGTTGTGCCCCACCTTTCAGGGCCCACTGGTACTTGAGTCTCATCGTTAGCCTACAGGAAAGAGGGGTGGAAGGAGCGGATCCTGGGGAGACTCAGAAGTGTCTTGCAAGGCAGTTCACTACTCCATGGGAGGCGATTTCAGTTCCCTCAGTCAAGGCAGTATTAATTCACCCAGCCGTGGGGGAAAGGTTGTGTCTACTGACATAGAAGACTCGTCAGCATTTAGGAACTCCATGTCCCCACCTTCATCTTGATCCTCCTGTACATCCCCAAATCAGTTTTCAGAATCCCAGTCCTTACCAAGCAGTACCCTTGCTTTAACAGCAGACACTTGCAAGTTTGGTAATTCAGTTAGTGTGACAACAGTGTCATAAGTTATCAAATCCATGACCTCCCAGAAACTGGTCTCTTAGAAGTGCTGGGTAGGAATATCCAATAGTATCATTTATGCATATCTCAGTTGCCACACCGCACCATGGGATATCTGTGCTCTCTTCACTACTGGAAATAGACATCTGTGCCTCCAAATGTAATCAGATTAGAGAACCAATTGCATAAGACCCAAAACCAATTCAGAGAACTGCTTCTTAAGATTCTGTTCCTATAGACATGTTTTTCTTGGTGCCAACATCTGTATTAGTGTTCTCCAGAGAAACAGCATGTCTCAGGTCTCCCATGCAGATACAGGGGCCCAAGGACTTGGGCCATCTTCCACTGCTTTCCCAGACCATAGCAGAGAGCTGGATCAGAAGTAGAGCAGCCAGGACTCAAACTGGCGTCCATATGGAATACCAGCGCTGCAGCAGAGGCTCAATCCACTATGCCACAGAGCCGGCCCTGATACATAGATCTATTTATTTTAAGGAAATGGTTCACACAGTTGTGTGGGCTGGCAAGTCCAAAATCTGCAAGGTAGCCCAGAAGGCTGGAGACATGGAGAAAGTTGTTTTCATAGCTGCAACCTGAAGGCAGTCTGTGTGGAGTTCCTCCTTCCTTGGAAGATGTTCTTTGAAGGCCTTCCACTGATTGGATAAGGCCCACCCACATTATGAAAGATAGTCGGCTTTGGCCGGCGCCACGGCTCACTTGGCTAATCCTCTGCCTTGTGGCGCCGGCACACCAGGTTCTAGTCCCGGTCGGGGCACTGGATTCTGTCCTGGTTGCCCCTCTTCCAGGCCAGCTCTCTGCTGTGCCCAGGGAGTGCAGTGGAGGATGGCCCAAGTACTTGGGCCATGAACCCCATGGGAGACCAGGATAAGTACCTGGCTCCTGCCATTGGATCAGCGCGGTGCGCCGGCCGCAGCGCGCCGGCCACAGCAGCCATTGGAAGGTGAACCAATGGCAAAGGAAGACCTTTCTCTCTGTCTCTCTCTCTCTCTCACTGTCCACTCTGCCTGTCAAAAAATAAAAATAAATAAATTAAAAAAAAGAAAGATAGTCTGCTTTACTAAGTGTCTACTAGTAGATTGTCTACAGCCATAGCACCCTGAACACACCCAATCTCGTCTAAATGTCTACTGATTTAAATGCTGATTTCATCTAAGACCAACCTTCACAGCAACGTCTAGGCTGGTGTTTCCCCAAACATCTGAGCACATACAGCTTAGCCATGCTGACATCACAGAGCCCAAGAACACTTCCTCAGAAATCTGCCGTTAGGTAGGCACTTCCTTCCTGCAGACAGGCCTGGTGGGAAAGAGCACTGCTGGAGATGGCAGTAGGAGAGCAGTCTTGACCTGCTGTCTGCTACCAGCTGACAGAGCGGCATTAGACAGGTCTCTCACATTTAGTCTCTGGCAGGGTGGGGTACTTCATACCATGTCAGGAATTCTCCAGCCCCTCTTCTGGATTTTTGGCTCTTGAGAACAGGAAGTGTGTGTTGTTTGGTACGTACTCCCCCACAACATCTGGCCACAGTACTGTTGAACACAATAGGCCCGCAGTTAATATCTGCTGGCTGGATAAAGGTAAAGCAGGAAGATGAGAATTGGGGCATTCTCTAACTGAAAACCCTGAGCAAGACACGCGGCCCATTGAAGGCCCAGGCAATTGATATTGAAAACACTAGCCATGTTCCCTTCTGTCTGAGAGTTTATTATTCCATTGACAACTAGGGCAAACTCTATCTTCATGATCAGTATTGCTAAGAAGTGCTTTTAGAGTAACTTAGAGAAAAAGGGTGGTCAAGTTCTCTCAGAGATTGAAAACGGTGTGGTCCACCCTCAGAGGTGTTCCATGTGCCCAGGCTGAATCATTCTGATGACCTGTAAGTAAATCACAAGAATTGGGACTTAGGAATATTTTCTTTCCCAAGGCCCCAGCTAGTGTGGAATTTTTGATATTTTGCAAAGTTGCATTTTAATAAAAAAATACACCAAGTATAAATTTGGAAGTAAGAAATACTAATTCATTCCATTAATTCAGTGTGAGCTAGCATAAAATGCATCTTCTCCAGCAGTGGGGGCCTTGGATGATTAGAATGAGAACATTGATAGAGCAAACACTGAGGACTTCCTGTATGACAAGCATTGTGCTCGGTGCTTTTCGCACCTTATTGCTGGTGACTCTCTGATGATCTTAGGAAGTAGGCATTTACTATCATCAGCCCCAATTGACAGAAGAGGGAACTGAGGCTTAATGAGACTAAGCAGCTTGCTCATGATTGCATGACTATTGAGTGACAGTCGGTATTTGAATACACAGAGACTGAAGCCCTCTGCTATGGACTGATTTGGTGACTTTGGAAATACCACTTAAGTTATGAACTTCACTTGACACTGAGCAATTACAGCACTGGAGGAGTTTACTGCACAGAGCGCGTTAGGAGCCAGGCCCAGTGGGAAGGCAGCAGAGAGAACAATCAGAATCTTCTGTCCACCTGCACCTGCTTTTTTCTTTATTTTACTTTTTATGTGAGTTTTTATTGATTAGAGAGACAGATAAAGACAGCTCCTACCCTCTGGCTTACTCCTCAGATGCCTGCGGCTGGGCTGAGCTGACACCAGGAGCCGAGAACCCGATCCAGGTCGCCCATGTGGGTGGCAGGGACCCAACCACAGGAGCCATCACCTGCTGCCTCCCAGAATGCAATTAGTAGGAAGCTGGAGTCGGGAATCAGAGCCAGGAATGAAACCCAGGCACTCAGATGTGGGATGTGGATGTCTTAACCACTATGCTTAACACCTGTTCCCAGCCTGTGCCTTAGTCACTTGCTTAGCGAGAGATGATGGTAACAGCATGGGGTGTTACTGGGATACTGGGATGCCTTTCCCATCCATTCCTAACCCTGTCTGCATAGCTTTGTCCATGATTATTCAACTACTCTAGAAGTTGAAAACTAGGTGTGAAAACAGGAGGACAGAGAAAACAGTTGCTGGCTGATCTGGACTGGCATGGTTTGTGGTTGATTCCCAGTGGGTTGTGGAATTAAAGTGGACTTTCTGGTGAGGCACAGCCCCTCTCAACTATACCCGCCATGAGCCTCCCCCAGCCCTCACCCACCCCCAGCTGATCTTGTTCAATACAAAATTAGTGACCGAAATACAAGCTAGCACTAGTTGAGCCTTCGCTACGGCAGGTGCTGGCCCCAAGTCTTTCAAGTATTATTTAATCCCACAACAATCTTACCAGGTGGATGCTAGTGTCACTCCCATTTACGGAAGGGGAGACTGAGGCTGGGAGCAGCTGAGCAACTTGTGTCAGGTTCCAGATGAAATAAGCGGTGGAGCTGGAATCTGTGTTTGGGTCTTCCTGGCCCCAACCCTGTGCTCTGATCCAGGACACTCTCCCTCCCACCCACTCCCACCCTGCACCTGAATCTGAGTTCCTTTCACCCCCCCAGCCTGCCAGTGTTCCGCGCTCGGATCCTACCCAGTGCCCTGCAACCCAGAGACCGGACAGTGTGAATGCCAGCCGGGGATTACAGGACGGCAGTGTGACAGGTGTCTCTTGGGAGCCTTTGACTTCCCCCACTGCCAAGGTAAGGGAGCCGGCAGAGCACCGCAGGGTTGGCCGCCGGTGTGTGCAGCCCCTTCAGAAGAGCCCCCCACTCCCCAACACACAGCTCTGGTCACTCCCTCACATTTGACCCAATCTCCCTGGTTCCTCCCAGTTCAAGTGCCCTGAAGATATGCATTCGCAAAGGAATCCACAAATGATCTGTTCCTAACCAAAAGGGATTTCAGTTCCCATGTGCTATAAGGGTTTTTTTTTTTTTTTTTTTTTTTTTTTTTTTTTTTTTTTTGTAGTTGCCAGTTCTCAGGGCACAGCAGTATGGCAAAGGTGACTCCTTGGTGCTTGTTGTCCCGTGTGCCCAGGCACTGTGCCTCCTCTTTTTTTGCTTTTTTAAAGATTTATTTTATTTGTTTGAAAGAGTTACAGAAGAGGTAGAGAGAAAGGGAGAGGTCTTCCATCCGCTGGTTCACTCCCCAGATAGCCACAATAGCCAGAGCTGCGCTGATGCAAAGCCAGGAGCCAGGAGCTTCTTTCGGGTCTCCCACGTGGGTGCAGGGGCCCAAGGACTTGGGCCATCTTCTACTGCTTTCCCAGGCCATAGCAGAGAGCTGGATTGGAAGAGGAGCAGCCGGGAATAGAACCGGTGCCCATATGGGATGCCAGCACTTCAGGCCAGGGCTTTAACCCACTGTGCCACAGCGCCAGCCCCCTGAGCCTCCTCTTGTTACTGGCAGTGGCCCTGATGTTGGCAGCGCTGGGTCTCTTTCTAGGAGGCCCCCTTGCTGCAGGCAGAGCAGGGTCTGTGCTGTGTCTCTGCCCTGCAGGGCAGGGGGCTGTGGACCCTGGACTCCATGCAGTTTGGAAAGAGTGAGCTTGGCCAGCGCTGAGGCTCACTAGGCTAATCCTCCGCCTATGGCACAGGCACACTGGGTTCTAGTCCTGGTCGGGGTGCCGGATTCTGTCCCGGTTGCTCCTCTTCCAGTCCAGCTCTCTGCTGTGGCCTGGGAGTGCAGTGGAGGATGGCCCAAGTGCTTGGGTGCCTGCACCTGCATGGGAGACCAGGAGGAAGCACCTGGCTCCTGGCTTCTGATTGGCGCAGCGTGCCAGCTGTAGCAGCCATTTGGTGGGTGAACCAACGGAAGGAAGACCTTTCTTTCTGTCTCTCACTGTCTAACTCTGCCTGTCAAACAAAAAAAAAAAAAAAAAGTGAGCCAAGGAGGAGATGCAAATCGATTGGGAGGTGGCGTGTTCCCCGGCAGGAGGGACAGAAATGAGGTAGTCATGGGTCTCCCCCAGCTCCTTGATGTGCAGCCTCCACAGCCCAGCTGGTGACCCCAACAGCTGGTTTTAGGGGACTCTTGCTCTGTGGAGAAGCGGTGTCTGTGGCAGGCTGAGCCAGGCTTTCCACCGCGAGAACATAGTTTTCCCAGAGCCCCTCCTGTCCCCAGCAACCCTGGGAGCCTCGTGTCAGGGCCGTCTGGGCACAGCGCAGACGCAGACCCAAAGCCTTCCCAGATGAATCCTAGAGGCACCAGGTTGAGGCCTGAGGTCTGAGAGAGAGAGAAAGTGAAAGCGAGTCACCCAGGGAAAACTGAGACAAAGAGGAAATGAAGGCAGGGAGGCTAAGGGACATTTATTTGTAGCAAGAGCCCACTGTGGGGTTATTTAAAAGTATGCAGAACCAGGCTCAAAACAGGCTTCTTCAACCCATTTTCGGATCCAACGCAGTGAATCAGTCATCCCGGGACTTGGTGAGATCCCTGGTTATGGTGGAGAGGTGATCTTGGGCTCGCGGTGCCAGAGTGGCAGACAGGAAAGCACACTAATTGATTCCTAAACAAAGGGGTTGTGATAATTACAGAATTCACTCTCAGTTAACCAACCAACATACTTACAGATTCTGTCACTTTGCAATGGACAAGTTACAATCTCCTGGTTCAATATTGCCCCCTTCTGGGCCATAATAAAGATGCTCAAAATTTTTAAATATCTCCATCACCCATTAGACGTGGGAGGGTATGGAGGTGGTGAGTAGCAGAAGGAGTAATTTGGGGAGAGGGATCACATGCAGGGTGACTTGCCATGAATTATTGCACACAAAGGGTTTATTTTTCATCTATCAAATGTGTAAGTGTAGATACATTGTTTTTAAAAAGGAAGCGCAACTTTTAAAATTTTGAGGCATATCAGAACAGAGACACAAAAACCCAAACAAGTCCCCAGACACTGAAAACATTTCTCGATCATGCACAGCTTCCAGCCTCGCCTGTGACCCAGCCGGTACCACCGACTCCAGTTTGGTAAGTAGAGAATTGATATCTAAGGGTTGCAATTCCAGCTGAAATTACAAGAAAGCTAAAATAAGCCTCCAGACAGATTGCTTAAGGAGATATTTGTTCTTTCTCAAAGTGCATATATGAGTCTATGAGTTTTGATTTCAAAACCAGGAGAATAAGTTTTCTTTAAACTTTTAATTCTGCAGCCCTGAGTTTGTTACCTGCTGTAGGTTACTCTGGGGAGGTTGCCTCCATGGAGCTGTGCATAAGGCTGGTTTGCATAATTAATAAAAGTGAGGCCAGTGGCCAATGACACATCAAATAAAATTGTGCACAAAGCAATTGCAACTTCTTTTATTTTATACCAAGTACAATACTTTGGTATTTGGGATAATTTTCTACAACTTTTAGAAATGACGACTCTTTGGCCACAGGGCCTGGGGTTGCTGACCTCCAGGCACTGAGTGGCTCAGGGGGAGGGGCTTCCACTGCCTGAAGGCTGGGGCTCAGTGGTACTGAAGCCTGCGGCAGTGAATCTCATGTCTCAAACAAAGCACTTGGAGATAAACATGACACTTTTCTGTTTCCCAACAAATTAACTCTCAAGATATTTTTCCATTTAAATTTAAATCCATCCTGTAACAGCCTCAACAGACACTGAGGGTCTCATAAATATAAGAGTGACATATATTCCTTCTGTATTTTTTGATTTCTTTTTATTCACGCATATAGATTATGTGGATAATAATAAAATGAATTAAAAAGCCAAAATCAATTAGTAGATTGCTGAAATCAATCCAGTGCTTTTATTACCTCCAAAGAAACTAAATTACTTTTCTTTCTTTAAAAAGAATTAAAAATTATTTGATTGACAAAGAAAAAGACACATAGAGAGAGAGAGAGCTTTCATCTATTAGTTTACCCTCCTGCCTAAACAGCCAGGGTGGGCCAGGGCAAAAACCAGGAGCTGGGAACTCAATCCCAGCTTCCCACATGGGTGGCAGGAACCCAATTACTTGAGCCGTCACCACTGCCTCCCAGGGACAACCTTAGCGGGAAACTTTCTGTGACAAGCCTTTTCTCAGAATACATATTTCAAAATAGGTCTTAATGCCAAGATGTCAAATGTTAGTTTGATTTTCCTTAAAGGATTATTGTCAATGCAAGCTTCATGTTGAAAGCCCTACTTGTAGCATCTGCAAACCATTATATTGGAATCTGGTCAAAGAAAACCCCGATGGGTGTTCAGGTAAGATTTCTTATCTCCATAATTTACTACATTGTAGCTTCCTCTTCATTTTCTCTACTTACCTGCAGAGGAGCCCTTTGTTGAATCAGTTCAATTTGTGTGAAATTTGTATAGACACACACTGTGGGCAGCACTTCTGTCATCTTCAGAATCTTGGCAAATGATCTGTAGCCTATTTCCTTATGTATTTGGTTATTTGTGAAGAAAGCTGCTTAACCAATGGTTTTAATCTCCTGGCTTTATTATAATCCACTCTTTCTGCTTTTAATTTCATGCTTATTTTGAGGCCAAGATAACTTAAAAACACTGAGGTAAAGGCATTAAACAGAATCCATATCCTTGAATAGAGCAGATTTTCATGCCAGCCTGTGAATGATGACCTTGACGTTAGAATCATTTGAAAATCCCACACCATTGTAGCTTCTGCCCTGGAGTAGCCATACACTGCTTGCTCCTTGTGAACAGAGGGTCTTGATTAGTTTGTTCTCCTAACCCCAGAAAACAACCCAATCTTAGGCCTCAGTGGTACAAGCTGTAACTCTGCTTGTGTAGGCTGGAAAGTCTGATTGTATGTGTCGTGTTGCAGGCAGGGGACGTTCCCAGAGCCAGAGAACTGTCTTTTATGTAACCCTTGTTTCTTGTCTCTGCAGAATGCCAATGCCACGAGGCGGGCACAGCCAGTGGAATTGGAGAGTGTGGGCAGGTAATGTGAGCTGAGGTCCTGCAGAATGTTCGTGTCCGTGCCTGTGGGGTTTCCGGGGAGTGTATTCGTACCTCTCTAGTCGTATGGAGCTGGGCCATCTTTCTCAGGTCCTGCCCACGTGGCTTCCTATTGTGCAGTCCGTTTGCCATCTCGAAGATGAACGAATTCTGGAATTGTATCACATTCTGTCCTCTGGCTCATGGCTCTGCAGGGAGATGGTGACTGTTCCTGCAAGCTTCATGTGACTGGCGATGCCTGTGACACCTGTGAAGATGGATATTTTGCTTTGGAAAAGAGCAATTACTTTGGGTGTCAAGGTAAATACTTCTGGTGGCTCCTGAGCAAAGACAAGTGTTGGTGGACGCAGACTGTCGGGGAACCTCCTCGTGTGTTCATTGTCTTCAGGCAGACTTTTGGATGGGCTCGCACTGAAACCTTCCATCTAGGGAATTTAGGCAAATGCTCCTTTGAAGTTGATCATAAATTGCAAATAGGGCTGCTGCCACTTCATGTCTACCAGCACATTGTTGATTTAATTTTAAAAATAGTAGCTGAAGGAGGATGAAGTTTATAAATAATATCAAGACTTAGTAATTTTAAAGATATATTTTGTATTATCAAAAAGGTAGAGTGATTGTTTAGCCCAATGGTTAGGGTATCTGCACCTGGCTTCAATACCCAGCTTCCGGCTGATGGCAACCTTGGGAGGCAATGGTGGTGAACTAAGTAATTGGATCTCTGTCACCCACATGAGAGACTGGGTCAAGTTCTGAGCTCCTGGATTTAGCCTGGCCCAGCCCCAGCTGTTACGGGCATTTGAGGAATGAACCAGTAGATGAGAATTCTCCCTGTCTCTCAAATAAGTGATTAAGTAAACTATGTCGAAGAGTGAAATTGCAAGCTGTTATTCCCTGAGGCCATTCATGAATCTCTTACAGTGTCCTCCCTTGGTACATGTTATTTATGATGGAGCTGTTTCTTTTCTTTTTTTTTTTTTTTTTTGACAGGCAGAGTGGACAGTGAGAGAGAGAGACAGAGAGAAAGGTCTTCCTTTGCCGTTGGTTCACCCTCCAATGGCCGCCGCGGCCGGCGCACAGCACTGATCCGATGGCAGGAGCCAGGTACTTCTCCTGGTCTCCCATGGGATGCAGGGCCCAAGCACTTGGGCCATCCTCCACTGCACTCCCTGGCCACGGCAGAGAGCTGGCCTGGAAGAGGGGCAACCGGGACAGAATCCGGTGCCCCGACCGGGACTAGAACCTGGTGTGCCAGCGCTGCAAGGCGGAGGATTAGCCTAGTGAGCTGCGGCGCCGGCCGATGGAGCTGTTTCTAAATCAGGTTCCGTTCTTGGGCTACTCTCACCATGGTACTGGATACCACTCCTCCAGTTTAGATGTAGGCTTTTGGAGGGCCAGGGCTCCCTGAATTTGGAAGGCTCCGCCTATTCCAGACACCTGCCAGAGGTGAGATGTGGAGGGGAAAGGTTTCCTTCGTGTAGAGAGAGGGAAAGCGTTCCGCATGGAGATGGTCTGGTGGGTAACCATTGCCGCTCCCCGACTTGCAGGGTGCCGCTGTGACGTTGGCGGAGCGCTCACCACCATGTGCAGCGGGCCCTCGGGAGAGTGCCCGTGCCGGGAGCACGTCGCCGGGGAGGCGTGCCAGCGGTGAGTCTGCGGGGAGGTTGCTTCTGAGTTAACACGTGGCAGACAAGTGTCTGAGTCTGCCTTCCGTTGCTGTAACAAAGGCCCTGAGCTTGGGTAACTTAGGCAGAAAAGGGGTCCGTTTCGCTCCCAGACATGCAGGCTGCAAGTGCAAACAGCAGGGCACAGATGCTGGCAGGGGTCTCAGGGCAGGTCACAGGTGGGAGAGGATTACAAGCCAAGCAGGAAGCCACGTGGCCGAGAGAGCTGGGTCTGTAATGCCTCACCTTGTAGCAACTAACTGGGGTCACACAGGAACTGTGCTGATCCCTCTGAGGACAGCATTTCCAGTGACCTCATGACCTTTCGCTAGGCCCTGCCTCTTAAGAGTTCCCCCATCTCTCATACCCTCCCCACAATGAGGTGGAAGCTTCTAGTGCCTGAACCTTTGGGAGACACACGCCAGCCGTAGCAACTGTCTCCGACGTTCTTGCCTGTGCTACAACCCTGTGGAGAGAGAAGCAGCTGAGGACAGAGGAGGGCAGAGTACACTGTCCTGTATAACTGGAAACTGGATCTTTGTCAGTGAATTGATTAGAGCAGGAAGTGAGGTCGCCGGTAAAACCCGTTCCACTGCACAGGCCATGGGACAGCTGCTCTCGAAAGTTCCCGTGGGCACAAAAAGCCAGGTGGGCGAGAGGAGAGCTGGAAGCATGCAGCAGCATCCGGTGACCTAGCCTCAGCGTGTCAGCCACCGCACGAGGAGCCAGCAGACACGCAGCCCCGCCCTGGTACAGAGAGGCAGTGAGAAGGGGGAAGAACGCAGGTTCTGCGGCCAGTGGGATTCAGTTCCTGTTTCTCCCTTGGACTCATGGCTCAGGGAGCAGAGAGGCCGAGTGTGTTATTTGGGACTGGGTGGGCAGATGGAACAATAGGAAAGCTTAGAAGTGGGGAAGAAGTGCCTGTTCCATGCAGAAGTAAATTCAAATGTAGTGTCGGTGCAAGGGAGTGACGTGGAGATGGAGCCCCATGCGGTGTCGCAGCAGCTATCTCTGCCCATTACATTGCACACTTTGTATGGATTTTGAAACCATAATTCATTCATAATTTTCCCCCAGTGGAGGGTAGAAGAAGTGAAGTTTTCATATTCTAACTTTTAGTCATATGCTGGAAACTCTGGGCCGTGCAGTCTCTTCTGAATCTCAAGTACTTTCACCACTAGTAGCATCAACAGGTTGGCAAATCTTACATGTTGGTAGGGTAAATTGTGTGCCTTCAGTGCGGGGCCTCCCTCCTTTCCCTCCGTGTTCCCAGCATTTGAATTCCAGAAGTCTATGCTTTTCCTCTGTCATCCGGATTGGCTCTCACTGCTAGAATTCTATATGGAAGATCTGGGGGAAGGGCGCACCTGCAGACTTGTCCTGCAAACCTGTAAGCCTCGCCAGGACCAGAGGAACTTTGTTAATAGCTCATAAACGTTCCCCACCAGAGTTTTGCCTCTTTCCACCCTGTGTTACTAAAGTGAACCTTCCCCCTATGTAACTGGCAAACATTTTTTTCTCTTTTCTGTGATATAAGTGATTGGCTAATTTCAGGGTTGTAATAATGCAACCGAATCAGAATTAAATGACCCAGTCAGAGGCAAAAAACATTGACTTTTTTACATTACATCCCATGTTATTTACACCTCTAAATGTAGAGCATGTCCTTTGGTTGATTATTGAATAGTGACTGAGGTAAAGGGGACAGCAAACCAGCAATGTAGATGTCACAGCATCCTTTCTCTAGTTCGGCAAAAATTATATCCTTTTGTATGAAATCCTCCCAAATGATTGTTTAGAATATTATCCGGGCATTTTAAGGTTTTCCTATATGTTTCAAAAGCATGCACATTCACTTTGAGTAGGCATTTGGTGCAGTAGTTAAGACACTGCTTGCGGCGCCCAGCTCCACTTCCAGTTTCCTGCTAATGCCCAACTGGGGAGGCAGCAGGCGGTGGCTCGAGTACTTGGGGACCTTCCTCCCAGCTGGGAGACCTGGTTTGGATTTCATGCTGTTGTGGGCCTTTGAAGAGTGAACCAGTGCATGGAAGATCTCTCATCTGTTTCAGTCCCTATGCCTTTTAAACAATTAAGTACACGAAAGACTTTATATCATGTGCACTATTGTAGCTGTAGTGCATAGCAGCAGTGCCTGGCGTGTAGATATTCGTATTTGTCCAATGAGTGCATATGAGTGTGCAACAATACATAGTTCAGAGCCTCATTTGACTTTGCTAAGTTGTTAACAAGCATTTAGAACATAGTAAAGGATGCTACACGTATGGGTTGTGCTAAATGACTTTCTCATCTTCCTTCTTGGAACGAGTAAGTGTTAGGTATCGTTTATGGGGATGTAAACATGAATGCAAGCAATACTTTACGGAGAAAGCAGGGGCCCCTTGTCTTTGTCCTTCTTTAATGCACTCTGTGAGCTTTGCGGAGTTCTTTTAGCACCAAATATCGAGGTTAAAGAACACTGAGACGATCCATGAATCTAACTTGCTGCATCCGCATTTACTTTACTTTTTATTTCTAAAAGTCCTGAAAAGAACTACTATTTCCCGGATTTGCATCATATGAAGTATGAGATCGAAGAAGGCACCACACCTGCCGGAGGAGCCCTTCGGTTTGGATTCGATCCCCTGACGTTTCCTGAGTTTAGCTGGAGAGGATATGCCCAGATGACCCCCGTGCAGGTACACAGCCAGCAGGGAAGTCTTCATAGCAGAGTAGCTGTGGACACACACGCATGAGCACTCTAGTATCTGTCTACACATGCATGAGCACTCTAGTATCTGTCTACACACACATGAGCCCTCTAGTATCTGTCTACACACACGTGAGCACTCTAGTATCTGTCTACACACGCATGAACACTCTAGTATCTGTCTACACACACATGAACACTCTAGTATCTGTCTACACACACATGAACACTCTAGTATCTGTCTACACACACGCATGAGCCCTCTAGAGGGGAACTCCCCCCAGACCTGACTCCAGGATTCCTTTTTGCCAGAGTATGGGTTGGGGTTGGAGTTGAGGTTAGACTTGGGGCTTGGGGGAAGGTAGAGTTTTGAGTGAAAGCATACACGTGGATTCACAGTTCATTGTTACTGTAACTTGGTCACCAAATCAGAAAACAAAGGGGTTACAGACAAATTGTTTATCTGTGGGACTTTTTATAAGAAGGAAGCTTCCAAAATGATATTAGGCTATGAGGGTGCTTCAAAAAGTTCATGAAAAATGGAATGAAAAGGTCAATTTTTTTGGTGCAAAAAACAATAATTTGAAGTCCATTTCACATGAAGGGTCTTCAAAAAAGTTTGTGGAAAATGAGTATTATAAAAATGTTATGCACAGATTTCAAAATTTTCACACCAAAATAAACTTTTAATTCCATTTTCCCATAAACTTTGTGTAGTATGTTTTTATGTTTATAACATAACAAGTATTTTTTAAAGCCATCTGTGGAAAATAAAGATGAGTTATGTTAAATAATTATAATGAAGCTCATCTTGCTAATTTTGGGCTGATGCTTTTTTTTAAAATACCCAACTATTATGTGAACAGACACTGTGATAAATAGTTAGTAGTGCTATTTATGTTCTTCTCCATATTTCTCTTTGCCTCCATTCTTTCCCACTCTATCCATCTATTGTGAGTTTTCGTTAGAATGAGTAAGGGAATTTTTACATTATTTGTTTACCTTTGGAACTTATAAAGATTTCTAACTAAATACTTCTGTAGAGCTACTGACAGTTTTGTCCTTGGGTTTTCTTTTTGGGGTGGGTCTCTCTCTCTCTCTCTTTTTTTAAAAGATTTACTTATTTATTTGAAAGTCAGAGTTACACAAGACAGCAGGAGAAGCAGAGAGAGAGAGAGAGAGAGAGAGAGAATCCTCCATCTGCTGGTTCACTCCCCAATTGGCCACAATGACTAGAGCTGCGCTGATCCGAAGCCAGGAGCCAGGAGCTTCCTCCAGGTGTCCCATGCTGGTGCAGGGGCCCAAGGACTTGGGCCATCTTCTACTGCTTTCCCAGGCCATAGCAGAGAGCTAGATTGGAAATAGAACAGCCGGGACTCAAACTGGCACCCATATGGGATGCCAACACTGCAGGTGGTGGCTATACCTGCTGTGCCACAGCGCTGGCCCCTGGGGTTGATCTCTTCAAGCCAGGTCTCTAAGTAGAGAAATTCAGAGTAAGAGAGGTCAGCTGACAACCACAATAAACCAACATCTGTTCTCAGCCAATTCAAAATTCAGTGCCCTTGCTGTTTGTCTCTCCGTCAGCCCATAGAGAAAGTGGGACCAGGACATAGTTCTCCTGGAGCCCTCAAAGATTCTGGTGCTGCATTTTGCCTGGCCGAAGTTCCACAGCCAAGCTGCCTTCCAAAATAGTACTCAGGACCTGAGGCATCTCATTGTTTCTCCCTTCCCTCCAAATACAGCAATCCAGTTTCTTTAGTGCCCTAATCTTACTTCATTATTCAGAGAAAAGCAATGTTTCTATTGAGTCGTGATAGGATGTGAGGGACTCAGAGTCCAAGCCAGGTCCCCAGATTCTCACAGGTGTTTATCGTTTGAACGACATTAGTTTGCTGTATAGCTGGGTCCACACAAAGGACTGGATTTCTACTGATGCACTTCCCGAGGGAGTATTTTTGGTCACAGGATCTTGGGTAGAGTCTCTTGGATGTTCACTTGCTGTATTCTGCCCCTCACACATTTTTGCATATTTATGTTCCCACTTGGAACACTTAAATATGAATCCTGGCAAATTGTGAGGGCCAGCCCGAGTTCCTCAGTGTGGGTCACTTGCAGCGCCTGCTTCCAGAGCCAGCGGTCCTACCCCAAAGCACTCTTCATGGTCACCAACGTCTCATGCAGTGTGTGCTCCCTCCATCTGAACCCAAGGAAGAGTAGCAGAACCACTGATCTGGGAATTCCCAAGCGTCCTGAACTTCCCTCGGGCCACAGCCACGCCTGGTTTTGTGAGCTGTGGTTCAGAATTAGAATAGTTTACTCCTGGGATGGGCATTTGGCCTGGGGCTATGACATCAGTTGGGACTCTGGCATCCCCTATTGGAGGGGCCTGGGTTTGTGTCATGGCTCTGTCCCCAGCCTCAGCTTCCTGCTAATGCGCACCCTGGGAGGCAGCACCTGATGGTCAGGTAGTTGTGTCCTTGCTACACCTGAAGACCTGGGTCAAGTTCTTGGCTGTGGTCTGGGCCCAGCCCTGGCTGGGATCAGCCCTGGCTTAGCAAGTTGTTGGCTGTGGTCCACCCAGCCCTGGCTATTACAGGCATCTGGAGAATGAACCAGCAGATGGGAGCTCTCTTTGCCTCTCAAATAAATACATAAACAAATTTTTAAAATAGTTTAGTCTTTTGTTCAAGGTTCTGGGCTCTACAGTGCTCACAGAGTGAGCCCAGGGCCTGGGGGAAAGGGGAACTTCCTCTAGGATGAGAAGCCCACATTGTCCTTGGATAGGGTGGAGATAAAACTTCACGAGATACACGGACCCAGTATTGTAGTTACGCCTGAGTTTACCACTGATGTATTTAGCCTCTTGCCTTGCTTTTGCCACTATCAGTTGCTGTGTTTTCTGTGCCTGTTTAGATTTATATGCATGTGAAGTGGACCGTGGAGTGGAATCTCTATGGGGGTAGTGGTGTGAAATAATACTCTTCTCTTTCCTTCTTTTCTGCCAGCCAGTGGTGGTTGCCTCTGTCACTGTGGCTTTGTTAACCTAGTCCGTCTGAAACTCTGCTCTGTCTGCCCAATAACAAAAGGCTAAAAGGGGACCTCGGTTGCTGAGGGAGTGTGAGTGATTTCAGTTCATTCCCAGGTGGGCCCGTTTCCCTCTTCTGTGTGCTGCCTGCTCAGTGGGTGTGCATGTGCCTACCTGTGTGTCTATGCGAGTTTGTACTGCACATCCAGTTGTGAAACCTGAATAAAGTCACCAGTTGGCTAGCATTTCTTTTAATACTGTCTCTTCAATCCTTTGTGGTATTTTGCTATTTTTCAGGATGAAGTACAGGTGATGCTGAATGTGGGCAAGTCAACTCTCTCCTTGTTTCATGTTATCCTGAGATATGTTAACCCTGGAAGTGAAGCAGTCTCTGGCCATATAAGTATTTACCCATCCTGGGCCAAGGGAGGTGGGTAAAATTCCTCTTGCCAATTAATAAGTGACCAGGTCAGGAAACAGTTGCTCCCATTTCCATGGTCACCCATGCTCATAACACATGAAGCCTGGGACATGGTCTGATTAGACAGTTCTCTGGCTATCCTGTGGTGTCCTATGACAAAATGCCTAAGACAAACTACTTATGAAGGAAACACAGGCTTATTTAGCTCACAGTTTTGTAGGTTCAAGTCTAAGATCAGGCAGCCCCATTGGCTTGATGTTTCGTGAGGATGATGAATGGCAATGGTGAGGTGCATGTGGTGGACAATCATGGGGGCAGACTGGGGAGGCAGCAGAGAGCGCAACTGGGCTTGACTCAAGGCCTTATAACCAACCGTTTTATAGAACTTCCTTCCAAGGAGCCTCTCACTCCTCAACCCCCTTACCACACACACACCATGACTTAGGGACCTCCTACTAGATCAACCTCCTAGATACTAAACATTCTGATTATTTAAGTTTTCATGGTAAATGTATCATTAACTGACATTTAAAAACTTGATTTAACTTGTATTTTGGCTGAACCTACTGGCTTATGATGACTTCACTGAACAAAGCTAATTTATAACTCATTCATGGTGAAATAGGTGTCAGCTTTTTGGCACTGAGAGAGCTTGACCGCCTGCCCTAAATGCTCCCATTGTTTCAAGCAAACTGAACAGTTCAGGGAGAAATGGGCAAGGTTAGGAATTTTTAAGGTGAATGCCATAAAGCAGAGAGCCCAAGAGAGCTCCTAGGAGAGAGAGGGATTATTGTGGGCAGAGGGGCTATGGAAGAGGGAATAGCCTTGCCACAGTCAGAGACCAGACCTGGAAGTCTTAGGGCTTCTGCCATCATAGGAAACAGATTCCAGGAAGTATCTGCATTCCCACAAGGATACACAATGGCACCAGTGGAAATTTGGTTTAAGATCAAGAGGTAAGCATCTGTCCTTAGCATCCACGGCAGTCGGGATTGGGGGACGAGATGAAGCCATTCCCAAGTTGTTTCAGCCAAGGTTTCGTGACTGGAGGCTGATTAACTAATAAGCAATGGGAAAACTAGAAGGTTTACGTGGTCATTTTCAGCGTCTGTAGCATCTCGGTCCTCGCATAGCAAGAACTCTCTGAACTGAAGAGGGTTGAGGGGGAAGTGCAGCTGAAAGCTGAGAGGTTCAGTAAATCGCCCAGACTCACAGCTGGTCTCTGCAGACAAAGTATTCAGACTCTGTACTCTTCCTAACAAATCCCGTGCCTCCTGGATGGCAACACCCTCAGCAGTCCACTCTCTGTTCACTCACACACCTGCTCCCTCATCCTCCGCAACACCTTTCCCCAAGTTGGAGTCAAGAGCCCAGTTGCACGTTGCACAGTGTGGCTGCTGCTCCTCCCCAGTGCCACACAACACCCTGCTCTCCTGGTTCTAGTCTGGACACCTCACCATCCACGTCCGCCCCTCAGGAAACCAGGGCCATGCTTCCTGAGTTGCTGCCTTATCCACAGAACTTAGTTCCAGGCCTGACAGTCTGTTGGGTGAGGGTGGCTGCGAGGATTCGGAATAGACTTTTCTTCTGGAGTTTCACCCAAACTCAGGCGCACCAGCTTGCTTCCTCTGAACCTTCTGCAGACCCTCTGTTTAGTGCAGAGGAAAACACGTTGTTTGAAACAAAGACCAAAAATTGTTCTTATTACCCAATAAATACATGGTCTTGAAAAGGAGAGAATAATCTAATATCTAGTGTGATATATTGAACATTTCCTAAAAAGCAAGGAACTTACCTAAGCATCTTAAATGGATTAAAATTATTATTTAATGAATTCAAAAAACCACTCATAATCCCAGCATAGACAGCCACTGCTAACATCTGATCGGTATCTTTCTAGTCTATTTTATACGTCTGCATACATAGAAGTATACTGTTTGAAAATAAGATCAGTAAATCACCTTAAGCCTTTCCAGATATAAACTGCATATTCAAACCTGAGTGCCTAAAATCAGCACTGACTGCTTGAAAATGACTCAGCAGTTCTTTGTATTTCTGGTAGGTGCTGCTCAAAGCAAAGAGATCGTCTTCCTGCCGAGTAAGGAGCCCACCTTTGTCAGCGTCCCTGGCAATGGCTTTGCAGACCCGTTTTCAATCACCCCGGGGACCTGGACTGCTTGTATTAAGGCAGAAGGAGTGCTCTTGGTAAGACGTGGCTCTGGGTGGTGCTGTCTTATGGGAGTCTCCCCGCTCAGAGATGGTCCCTCTGACACTAAGATCCCTGGTGCCCACAAAATATCAGAATCATCTACAGTTGAGACACAGGAACGTGGCAACGCGCGCCTTTAGGTGATATAACAACAAAGAAGCCACTCAAAGTGTCCTTTAGATGCTTCCAGCCAGCTTCTCTTAGACAAAACAGAAACCAAATGGTTACTCGCAGCGACACGAAATTGTTAGGGGGAATGCAAAACCTTCGCAAGCTCATGCCTATGGCCCGGTCTTTCGGAAGTGAGCTTGGCATTTTCCACTGTGAATCAGATGAGCACACAAGACGTTCGGTCTGTCTGCAGATCATGCTGGATAGAGGCAGAAGAGTCTAGAGGGTGAGAAAACCCAAAACGGTGAGGCCGTCAGCAGTGGAAAGAGGAGGCGGCTGCAGGAGCCAGTGCTCCTCTGTAATGCTCTCCCTGATTTCTCCCTCCTCACCCCTGGCAACACCGTCACCAAGACTGCCTTGAACAAAAAACTCATCATCAGCCGAAACAGTGGCAGAATAGCCAGAGAGGCTCTGGGGGTTTGGAAGGCTGAAATCTGCTCTGAGAGATGCCGTATCTGATGCATGCTTTGGGGTCTGCCTTAGCTTATGGCAAAGTTTCCAACACCGTCTGCAGCAGAAGCATGGTTTCACGCACTCCGAGTGAGAAGCATAAGTTTATCTTCCTGGCACGACCCTATTAATTGGCCACATCAGCAGCTCTGTTCAATAAGTCCCTTACCTCCAACCAAGCCTGCCTCCATCACTTCTTCTGTACCATATAGAGAATACTTACCCAGATAGGTCTTTTCCAAATCTGGAATCTTACAAAGATAATGTGAAGGTTTATGCCATCTGTTCAGTGCCTGGTCTTGCATCTCCTTGGTAGGAAGTTTAATTGCTTTAAAAAGTTTAAGAATGCTGGGCCTGGTGTTACGGTGCAGGAGGTTAAGCTGCTGCCTACAACACTGGCATGCAACATCCCATATTAGAGTACTAGTTCGAATCCCAGCTGCTCCATTTCCAATCCAGCTACCTGTTAATGTGCCTGAGAAGGGAGTGGAAGATGGCCCATGTACTTGGGCCCGTGTCAACCATATGGGAGACCAGGATGGAGTTCCAGGTTCTCAGCTTCTGTCTGGCCCAGCCCTGGCTTTTGGGGTCATTTAAGGAGTGAACCAGTAGATGGAAGATCTCTCTCTCTTTCTCTCTTTCTGTCTCTCCCTTTCTCTATGACAATTTGCCTTTCAAATAAATATATTTTTTAAAAGTTTAAGAATGTTTCACTGATGTCATAAATGAGGAAGAGGAAAATTTCATTGATACTGATAATGGATACAAAGTTGGACTGATAAAAAGTTCATTTTAAGTTACTACCTAGGTATGGAAGATGCTTAATGACTTAATTCTGTGCAATTGTGTCATTATGCACAAATAGTTTCCCATTTTTTGATCCCATCTTCTCTAAAAGTGCTTAATTGAGCACCTATTATCAACTTCTACCATTCTAGGATCCTTGGGATCTAATGTTATGAGATCTGATCCTAGCCCGAGGAAGCTTACTAATAGATCAATAACTTATTTAATTAAAACTCACTCAGGCAGTAGGACTCGAGGGTCCCTTGCATCATAGTCTCCCACTCTCTCCTCCCTTACATTGCTCTGAGGAGAGAAAGCACCTCATGGTCCACACGTGAGTGTCTTCGCAGTTGAGGCCAGCGTCCCCTCCCTCCCTCCCTGTGTAGACGGGCAGCGACGCCTGGACTGCTGGGAAGCTGTACCAGCTGCATCTCAGCTCAGAGCTCTGCTCTCTCCTGCAGCACTGCTCAGCCCCATGTGCGTGGTGGGCTTCCCTTGGCACACTCGGTGGAACATGTTCTTCCTCTCTTCCCCGACACAGGCACAGGGCCAGCTCCGCTCTGTGAATCACCAGGATCACAAAACATCACTTTGCATAGCCTGCCATTAGGGTACTGCTCAGCTGCATGGATAGAGAGCCCCCACACGTGACCAATAGTCAGGGTTCTATCAGCACCTCAAAGGAACATTTTTAAAACTGAATGTTTATTATGTTTATTTGAAAGGCAGAGAGACAGAAAAGGAATCAGAGAAAGAGACATCCCATTACTGATTCATTCCCCTAATGCGTACAACAGCAGGTGTGGGGAGCAACTGGGAGCAACTCGGACTAGACTAAGTTACTGGAATTAAGACTTATTCTATGCATCTGCTTTCCCACAATATGGCGCTGAGAAGGGAAACAGCTTCTACACAGCTGCCTCCAGTTCAACCAATAAACTGTGGGACCTGCTCCTGATTGGAGGAGAGCAGCGTACTCCGCGTGTGGGTAGCAGAGTTGGGATTGGTGGAAGAGGACTATAAAGGAGGAGAGAGACGGCATGCACCAGGAACATCTAAGGGGAACATCTGAAGGAACACCTGTGCAGCCCCCGAGAGAGCCGGCCGGCGGTGTGCCGCTCCCCGCGGAAGTGGGGAAAGTGGCAGGGGGAACCGCCCTTCCACGGAGGTGGAAGGGTCGGTAGCCAACCCGGGAAGAACCAGCAGCAAACCCGGGAAGGGCCGAGCAGACAAAAGAACAGCGCAGGGTCCTGTGTCGTTCCTCCACGAAGACGGGGAGCGACAAGCTGGGGCTGGGGCTGGGCCGGGCTGAAACCTGGAGCCCAGGACTCTACCCAGGTCTCCCATGTGGCGGAGACCCAAGCACTTGAGCCACCACCTGTGCCTCCCAGGGTGTGCATTAGCAGGAAGCTGGAATTGGAAGCAGAGCCAGGACTTGACCCCAGGCACTTCACTAAGGAATGCAGACTTCCCAAGCTATGTCTTAACCGCTATGCCAAATGCCCAGACCTCAAAGGGACATTCTCTCAGTCAACAGGTTGTCTTTGTTAATTCTCAAATCTTTCAGTAACCTGGTAGAGACAGTACAATTTCTCCTAGCCTTTGAGAAGCAAAGTGTTCACACTGAGCAGCTTATCTCCGTCAGGAACCTTTGCTGAATTGCTGTGTGTGTTCTGGTGAGTCAGGGTGACGTCACCCGGGATTGCTAATCTAGCTCGTCGGACTGGGCCACCCGCAGAATGAGTGACTGTCTTCTCTGTGTGTGTTGCTAGGATTACCTGGTGCTGCTCCCCAGGGACTACTACGAAGCACCTGTGCTGCAGCTGCCAGTCACGGAACCATGTGCCCCTGCAGGATCTCCCCAGGAGAAGTGAGTGTTCGGCTTAGACTGAGAGCTTTTAATGCAAGTGTTCACGATGGTCCTCAGGATCACAACAGCCACGTGGTGCTCTGGATAAGTCTTTAATTGCGATTTTCCTCTGTGTCTTCCTTGTGTCGCTCCAGTAAGAGTCGCAAAGCACTTTGCACAGGTAGCTGCCTTATGTGTGAGTGGCTACCACCCTCTAGCTTGTGGACATGTTGATCATGCCCCAGTAACACCCTCCAGGTCATGCATCTGGTGAGCCAAAGAGTAGAAAACAGAATCCAGGTTGGTGGAGATTTGTGCCATCAGTTCCGCATGCAGGTAAAAATTCGCAGAGACCTAAGAGTTTGTTGAGGGTCTGGTGCTGTGGCATAGTAGGCTGAGCCTCTGACCATGGCACCTGCATCCCATACGGGTGCTGGTTTGTGTCCCAGATGCTCCTCTTCTGATCCAGCTCTCTGCTTATGGCTTGGGAAAGCAGTGGAGGATGGCCCAACTGCTTGGGTCCCTGCACCCACACGGGATATCTGGAAGAAGCCACTGGCTCCTGGGTTCAGATTGGCTCAGCTCTGGCATTGTAGCCAGAGTGAACCAGCAGATGGAAGACCTCTCCCTCTGTCTCTTCCTTTCTCTGTAACTCTATATCACAAACAAACAAACAAACAAATAAATATAGGGTTTGTTGAGGGAATGTTGGTGAAGGAGTGGGGGAATGGAATGGCTTAGCGTGCTCAGGGTTGCACTGTTGATATGGTGGGTCACGTTCTCTGTTGTAACTGTCGTGTTTTGTCATTGCTGTTGAAGTTGCCTGCTTTACCAGCATCTGCCAGTGACCAGATTCCCCTGCACGCTCGCTTGTGAGGCCAGACGCTTCCTGCTTGATGGGGAGCCCAGACCCGTGGCTCTGAGGCAGCCCAGCCCCACGCACCCAGTCATGGCGGATCTCAGTGGGAGAGAGGTAGGGACAGCCTGTTATTCAAAGTTCGTATCACCTCCCCCACCCCCACTTGATCTGCTGAAAACCCTTGGCTGCTGTTGCTTCTGCAGTTCAGGAGAGCTCGAAAGAGCTGTTCCCGGAGACATCAATCAGTCATCAATCAAACTTATTTCTCTGGTTTGGGTTGGGACCTGGGGTCGTGGGAAGGTTGTTCTTTGGATACTTTCTAAATGTGGGGGATGGGGTTGTAAAGCTATGGGTGACACAGACTTTTTTCCTTTGGGTTCCCTGGACTTATAAGCAGACATCCTGTTCTACGTGACTCAGGGCAAGATCTCTCGTCAAACACACCAGTGACTCAACCTAAAAGGGCTCCAGAAACAGCACAGCTTACCCTGAAAGGCCTCAGCCCTCACTTGGGGGCCAGCCCCTTCGGTGCATAACGGTGACGCCTGAATTCCTCGAGCCCAGAGTCTGGAACCACTGCGCCCCACGGCAGCCGCGCCCCGGCGCCCAGGGCAGGTTACTGCAGGTCTCGCCCTCACTCTTCTTTCAGGGGTTCTTGGAGCCTCACACCAAGAGTTAACACTGCGCAGAGTTAAGTGTTGAGTTAGAGTTCAGGATATCATCCATAACAGTAAGAACAGCACAGCACAACGTCTCAAAACGAAGACTCTGGAAAAAAATGCCTCCTTCACTGTGGTTTGACTCTTTCTTCTCTGTCATGTTCTCTATTTTCTGCCTTTGAGGAAAATGTTCATTTGCGAGATTAAATTTAGGGGAATGAAAAGGTTTGTGGTGTTAATTTTCACTGAACCTTTCAATGTGTACGCTTTTGTAAACTGCATTTCTAACATTTTGAATGTAGCTCGTGGAGATTTTAAGTATATTTCTTCAATATGGTCTTCATTCCATTAGTTTTTATTTTATAAAATATCATATGCTTGTTGTAGCAAATAAAACAGTATAGATATGCCTTAAGAAAAAAGAAATGACCCTCCCTCTACTCTATTCTCGTATTAAGCTTGCTGTATCCCTCCCTAGCCATGCCTAGATACATATTTGCATATGCACAGACACAGGTATGCACAGATACACTATATATACATGTGCACGCATGTACATGGGTGTGTTCCCCAGACAACAGGGAGATACTCATGTTCTAGAAGGGCCAGCCTCGCAGAAGTGATTCTGACGATTCACTGGGAGGTATCCTCCCTGTGATGTAGCCCAGAGCCACAGCACTGAGCTATTCATCATGGTCACTTTGGATTGATGCATAAAGTCAAGTCTTGGGTTATCCAGTGTTTTCTTTTTTCTTTTTTTTTTTTTTTTTTTGACAGGCAGAGTGGACAGTGAGAGAGAGAGAGACAGAGAGAAAGGTCTTCCTTTTTGCCGTTGGTTCACCCTCCAATGGCCGCTGTGGCCGGCGCGCTGCAGCCAGCGCACCACGCTGATCCGATGGCAGGAGCCAGGTACTTATCCTGGTCTCCCATGGGGTGCAGGGCCCAAGCACTTGGGCCATCCTCCACTGCACTCCCGGGCCATAGCAGAGAGCTGACCTGGAAGAGGGGCAACTGGGACTAGCCGGTGTGCCAGCGCCGCAAGGCGGAGGATTAGCCTATTGAGCCGTGGCGCCGGCCGAGGGTTATCCAGTTTTATCGAATAGTTCTTTTTATTGTCTTATCCAAAAGCTTACAGACCTGTGCTGTTTGATACAATAGCCTCTAGCCCAATGTGGGCATTTAAACCTAAATTAATTAAACTTCAAGGTAGGCAAAAATTCAGCTCCTCAACCAGCCCCATTTTAAGAGCTCAGTGAGCCTAGTTGTGTGGTGGCCACCCTATTGAAGGGCACAGATTATGGATTATGGTGCTGGCGCTGTGACAGAGTGGGTTAAGCCTCCCCTCTGGTGCTGGAATCCCATATGGGCACCAGTTCGAGTCCTGGCTGCTCCACTTCTGATACAGCTCCCTGCTAATGGCCTAGGAAAGCAGTGGAGGATGGCCCAAGTGCTTGGGCTCCGGCACCCATGTGGGAGACCCGGAAGAAGCTCCTGGTTCCTGGCTTTGGACTTGCCCAATTCTGGCCATTGCAGCCATTTGAAGAGTGAACTCTCTCTGTCTCTCCCTTTCTTTGTCTCTAACTTTGCCTCTCAAATAAATAAATAAATCTTTGAAAAAATTATAGATTATTATCACCATTGCAAAAGCTTTATTTGATAGCAGGGTTAGATGTCATTGTGTTAAAATTAGACATGTGCAGTTAAAAGAGGCTTTGATATCTTCCTGTGACAGAATCTTCTCTCCATTATGCTTGTGAGAGATTCGTTTACCCCCTGCTGAGTACTTAAACTGTTGGGGGCTCATTGCTTTGAGGGGTGCTTGATCCAATTTTAAAATAAATTGCAGTTACTAGAAAGCCATCATCTAAAGTTTTCAGCAGCTTTCAATATAGTTGTTCCCCCTTATCCACGGGCGATATGTCCCCACCCTCAGGAGATGCCTGAAACTACTGGGTAGTACCAATCCTGTACTCTGTTCTGATGCTATGTATATACCTGTGATAAAGTCCAATTTGTAAATTAGGCACATTGAGAGATTAAAAATAATAACCAATAATAAAATAGATCAATTATAACATACCTTAGTGAAAGTTATTTTGACCATATGAATTGTTTATTTCTGGGACTTTTCATGAATATTTCTTGCACTGTAGTTGACCTCAGGTAACTGAATCCACAGAAAGTCAGACTGTGGGAAGGAAAGACTTCTGTTCTTGTTGAACACTCCTCTGTTCTTATTGAATACTCCCTATGTTCTAACCACTCTCTTAGCTTGCTTTCCATAATGTAGGAGTGTCTGGTTCTTTCTACCTCTCTTCAAAATATCACGTGCAACCTCACCCTCTCCTGGGTAGCCCACAGTGTTAGAATCTGTGGAGGCGCCACCCTCCTTGTCTTACTACTCTGTACTCTGTCGCTAAGCTGTCTCATCAGGCCTGTGTGGCAGACACCAGCTCCAACAGGGACCTCCCAGCTGGTATGCCCAGTCATTCATCCCTCTGCTTTTACCTGCAGAGCAGCACACCTATCTTCTTCCATGACATTGCCACTCGGATGTCTCAGAGGGGATCTCAATTCCATGTCGGCGTTCCCTACCTGAGCAAACGGGACCACCGTCTGTCTAACTGACTAACCCAGAACCCAAGGTCATCTGTGTCTCTGTCCCTCACTGAAGCTAATCCTGAGTCTACACCCCAAACTTCCTGTGAGTCTCTCCACTTCTCTCCCTCTACCTCTCTAGTCCAACACACAAGTTGAGCATCCCTGTCTGGAAATCTGGAACCAGAAATGCTGCAAATTCTGGATGTTTGGAGACCCAGCATGATGCCACCAGGGCAAAATTCCACACCTGACCTCCCGCCATAGATCAGAGTCAAACACAATACACTATGGGGCTGGAGTTGTGGCAAAGTGTGTAATGCTGCTGCCTGTGATGCTAGTATCCTATATGGGTACCAGTTCATGTCCCGCTGTTCTACTTCTGATCCAACTTCCTCCTAGTGGCCTGGGAAAGGCAGCAGAAGATAGCACAAGTGTTTGGGCCCCTGTCATCCACGTGGGAGACTCAGATGAAACTCCCAGCTTCAGCCTAGCACAGCACTGGCCATTGCAGCCATTTGGGGAGTGACCCAGCAAATGGAAGATTGATATCTCTCTCTCTCTCTCTGTCTCTCCCTCCCTCTAACTCTTACTTTCAAAATAAACAAACTCTTAAAAAAAACCCACAAGTACACTAAATATATTGTACAAAATTATGTTCAGGCTGTATCTATGAGGCATATATGAAACATAAGTGTGTAGACTTGAGTGCTATTCCCAAGATATCTTATTATGTGAATGCAAACATTCCAAACTCCCAAAAGAAGAAGACTTCCATATCAGGAACATTTCTGGTCCCAAGGATTTCGGATGGGAGATACTCAACCTGTGCCCTCACCTTTCACAAGGATCTTTGCAGTAGCCCCCTAATTAGCGCACCCAAATCTGATCTTGCTCACTGCATATCCCAGTCCATTCCTTATGCCTTAGTCAGCTTATTCTGATAGAAACATCTGCTTGCCACTGTCCCCCCTTCCACCCACCACTCCCCTACACACATGCACAACTGAAGCATCACAACACCATCTTGTTTGCCTTAGGACAGAGACAAACATTTTACTATGTCCTGTAAGGCTACCATGCCTTCTTCCCAATTTTGTCATCCACCCTCTGGCTCTCTGTTCTTCAGGCCCCCAGGGCTACCCTCTGTCTCCTGAACTTATGTTAATACCTGCAGCATTAGGTGTTGTCGGCCAGCTTCCTCCTGCAGGCTGTTCCCTCTGCCTCGATGCTCTCCCCTCCCCTCCTGGCTTGGGTATCTGTTCCTTGTTCTCCACGCTCAGTGAAGTTGTGGCTTCTTTGGGGAAGCCTTCCCCTTTCCTCCTCTCCCTGGCTGGTGCAGGCTTCTGTCTTGCATTCCCCTGGCGGCTCTTTAGAGCACTCATCACACGTGTCATTTTCTATTGTATTGTCCACTCACCTGCTTATCTGAAGGCAGAGACATCTGTCTTGCCTCCCACTGTACCCATCACCTGGCCACTTGTTGGATGTAATATGGACCCTCATTTTGATATTGGACCTGGAGTTTTCCCTGTTAGCTTTGTGTGAGCAAATTTTTCAATAAGCTCCACTTTCTATATCTTTTACCCTAAAACACCAATAGCTAAGAGAGGGCAGTTCTATGCCTTCAGCCAGAAAGATTCCTCCACTCCGTTTGACACTGGCTCTATTAAAGTTTCCTTTTGTAAAAGACAAATGATGACAGCAAACTGTGAACCTTCTGCCTTGCTACCTTTACATCTTTTATTGAAGTTTCTCAAAACTCACTCCTACCCTCAAATATGATTTCAACTTTTACAGAAAGTCCTCCAAAAAAAAAAAAATCATTCCACAGGGCTCAGAGTGGAAAGAGTAGTGGCATTTATAATGGAGAACTGTTTGGGAAGTTGCAGCCGATAATAACTTCTGGGAGAGAATCTGAGAGGTCGTTGACCTGCGTGTGATTTGTGGCGAGGTAAAGGCGGACGAGCCCTTGTTGGGAGATGTCCAGGGTAATTACCTCTCCGCCTGGCCCAGCAGTCATCCTACATTTCACTCTATTACAGAGTCCAAAAGTGCTGTGGATAATCCCCATTTTTTTTTCCCTGAGGGAAGTCTTTCTATTATTTAAATGGTAAAAAAATTGCTGTGAAAAATTGCAGTTGTGTGGTTCAGAACATTCCAGAAGGGAAGAGCGAGCGTGAATTTCCTGGAGGCAAAAAGAAGGGGACCATTTTAATGAAGTGCAGTCAAGGTCGACTGGGCCTGAGCTTCTGGGCTGGGGTGGGCACGCTGCTGAGGAAGGTGGTGCTGATACTGGTGCAGGCGTTCAGTGTGCACACACACGTGGGCCCAGCAATTCGACTTCTAGGCGTCTTACAGAAATGCTAGTGCGCACTGTGGTTGGGAAAATCAGAGCGAGCTAAGCGTTCATCAGTTGGCGATTAGTTGAATAATTTTATATTCGTGCTGTGGAATGTAGGCTGTGTGTCTGCATGTGCTGAGAAGACACGTGAACTACTGTTGAGGAAAAACAGCAAGTCATGGCCACAGGCCACGTCCTAGCATCACCAGTGGTGAGATGCTGCTGAGCGTTGGATCTAAGTAGATACTTGCGTTAGGAACTCATTGAAGCCTCCTAACAACCCCACGGGGTGGGCACCATCATTATCCTCATGTTGTACACAGTAGGACATGAGGCCTGCAGGCGTGGAGTGACTTATCCATGACCACGTGGCTGGAGGCATTCTGATGGCAGACCCCAAGCTCCTATCCAGTAGGGGACACTCATGTCAGGGGAAGTGTCCCCTTTTTCTGTAAAGGGCCAGGTAGTAAATATCTGTGGCCCTGCAGGCCATGCAGTCTCTGGGTCTCTGTTGTTTTGGTGCAAAAGTATTACTAGGATCACAGCTTTCCTCAAAAGACCAAAACACGTGTGTGCATGTTGAAGACCAGACTCTTGAGTTACAGCCTCAAGAGCACAGTGTGTGTGTCACTTTTCCACGATTTTCCTTCAGGGAATTTCATATTTCTTTTTCAGAGAACAGCTAAAGAGCCTGCAGGTCATTTCCTTGGCTCTTGGACCTCATTGGTAATTCCTTGTTACTTCAGTTTGGGAGTGGCCTTCACCGTGAGGAACAAGCGGCTGCAACGCTGCTGGAGAAAGTGGGCAGAACCCCCTAGAAGCAGGGTTGCAGATTTAGAAATCAAAAACCCACAATGCCCCATCGTCACCCCTTGTTTATCTGAACATCAAACTCAGCAGGGTGTCGTGTACTCTACCTGGCATTTCTGTCTATAAGACAGCATTGCTTACTATGATGACACTTCAAGTGCTTCCGGCTTGCCTTCCCTGTCTTCACTGTTTCGCTTGTAAATGTGTCCGGCCCTTGATATCGAGATGATGGTCTGTCTGCTTGGCCTCTTGGACAGGTGGAACTGCACCTGCGGCTTCGTGTCCCACGGATTGGCCACTACGTGCTTGTGGTCGAGTATGTCACCGAAGCAGACCAGCTGTTTGTGGTGGACGTGACCGTGGAGAGCCCCGGGTCTGTTCTGGAGGGCCAGGTGAACGTTTACAGCTGCAAGTACAGGTACTCAGCCCCACCCCCAGGAGTTTCTCTTCGGTCTGTTTGGAAGATTCTGGTGTTATTTGCATTGGAACATTGTTTCCTTTGGAGGTAGCTTTTGAAAAGGGGCCTGGGGTCTGGTTGTTGTGTGATCCACCATCACTCTTGCCGAGGGTATGAGAAGTCCTCTCTCTGGGCAGCATCTTCTTCAAAGGCCGGGTGCTCCCCCTGGCAATGGGGTTCAGGGTCACAGGAAGCAGTGAGGGGGCATGGTCTCTGTGCCCTCACCTCAGAGGCCCCGTTAAGGTCATGAGCGTGTGGCGTAAGGGAAAAGTCTTACTCATTCTCAGGGTGTCAGCAGGTGCCCACCTGCCTCACCACACACACCTTCAGAGCCGGGGTACTTAATGTCTGAGGATCAGCAGGTGAAAAGGAAACTCAGCAGTGGACTTTAAAATTCCCCCTTGAAATTCTGCTCTGGGTTTATTTAAAAAATGGTTTTCTTTGCATATTTTTTCAAGATACATGCAAATGTTCGAGGTATGTTTTAATTAAAGGACAGCACATGGGTGTTTTCACGTGAGACTAATTGCATAACTGATGACACTGGGCAGTGGCATCCCTTGAACAACAGGCGGAGGGCTGCAGGAAGCCCACCCAGGCCTTGTCCCAGGCCTTGGGCATTTTCTTGCCTCTCCTCTTATGTTGCTTTATGTCCAACTCAAGGTGATCTGAGGTAGTTGGACTCTCTCTATTATGAAAATGAAAGAACTTATAAAAAGAGGTATTTCTGGTGGCTTAAAATGGAAACTTTTATAGGACTTGATGGAATGGCTAATGAATTAATATCATGCCCTCTGTCACCCTAAAAATGCAACTGTGAAGATTTTTGTCTCTGGGGTGGTGATAAAGAAACCAAAAACCACGGTTGCATTTAGACTTTTAATAGCAGCAAGAGATGAGCCTGAAAGAGCTCCCCAGACTGTCCTGCCATGTAGCTGGACACAAGGGCTGCGTCCATAGGGGACAGCAGCAACACTGGGATGTGCTCTCGGTGGATGTGTCACCACGCCTGTCCCCCGGGTCCTGGAGACTGTGAGCCACAGTGCAGGGCATCTCCATACCCCGTCCACCCAAGCCCACCCTTCAGTTCAGTCCTCCGACCCCTTCCGCCTGCCGGGTCACGTGGCTCGGTTCCTGTTTCACTGGGTAGAGTGGAGTGGCCAAGAGGCCAGCAGGAAATGCTCAGGATGGCTGTGGTTATTCTCTGACTCATCTCGAAAGACCTCTGGGCATATCTGTGCCGAGGAGAGGAGGGATTCCAAAACCAGAGGAGGAAGAGCACCCTTCCAGCGTTCCTAAGAGCTTCCTCATGGCCTCTGTCTGAATGCAGTTACTGAGCCAGAACCTCACGACCCTCTCCTGAGCATTTTGGCTCCAGGCACAGCACCGCAGAGTTCTGTTTTATGAGTCTCTGTCATTAGAATTCCAGGATGCCATTGTATTTGATTAGGAATCACTTTCACTGTATTTGACTGCTCCTCTGAGGGTCCCATTGTATTCATGCTTTTTTGTTTCACTTGGCTAAAGTACTTCCTCCTTCTCTTCCTTGATTGTGATGTGGACAAGTAAAAATGAACAGGCTGCCTACCTGTCCGGGAGCCCAAAAGTTATGGTGATACTGGAAATATTTGATTCGTGAGAATCTATTTCAAATGATAGGCTCTTTCAATGTCACAGCATCTCCTGCTGAGGTTTTTTGTTTTTTCTATTCACATAGAGGGAACAAATTTCATGTCCCAGCATTTCTCGAGTGAGTCCTAACTATGTTGTTAAAAACACAGCAGTGGTGTTTATAGGACAATCACATTTCAAACTAGTGCTGTGATCAGTCTTAGCACCTCTCCACAAGAGAAGTGTTCATTGACAATTAAATCAATCCTGTTATTATTGTTCATCTGTGATTTCTTAGTAAGAATTTAAAATAGGCTGAAGCTAAAGCTAAATTAAAGTGACTAACTTAATACTACTTAACCCCCAAGATTATGTCTGAATCTAGAAAGAATGTGTTCTAATTCACACACATGCACACATTCACGAGAATAGAAAATGGTTATTTGTTTTTTACATGTATACTATACACTGCGTTTGGCTGTTTGTATATTTTATCTCATTTCATTCCTCCCCAAAAAAGAGATTGTCTAAATTATTTCAAAAACTAGAGATGGTCATTTTGTTTTAACATGTCCCTAGTTCCAAATTATATTTATACAGAAAAGTTGCTACAGAATAAGAAATCAGAAATATAGAAATATTACTCAAAAATACTTCCTTTTGAATCTTTTCATTAGAGTTATATTTTTTGGTGTAAAACTGTGACCTTTTACTTGTTGCTTAACTCTAGCTCACCTGGTGGGATGGAAGGGAGGGACACCAGTGGTTGCAATGAGGAGAGAAGGAAGAGAGGAGCTAAGTTCACAGGCACAGTCTGGGTTTCCATGACATTGCGTGAGATCAAGTCACACTAGCTGCCTGGGCACAGGATGGTGGTTGTGAGGCCAGAGGGTAAATTTACTTGCAAGTGGTCCCAAGAATCTTGGTGAATTCCCAAGAAGCCTATGCATTAGAGATCTGGGACTCTCTCTCGCAACAGTTAAACCAAGTATTCTGTCAAAATGGGTAGAAAAGGCGAGTGGGGTGCTTAGCCCTGGGAGGTGCAGCACTGGCCACAGCTGGAATGTTCTTTCCCCAGCAGAGACTGTGCGCTGTGTCTTAGTCCATTTTCTGCTGCTACAATAGAATACCGCAGAGTGGTAACGCATGAAGAAAAGGAAAATACTTCTCATCATTCTGGAGGCTGGGCGCTCAAGAGCGTGGCATTGCCGTCTGCCAAGGGCCTTCCCGCTGCATCAGCCTATGGGGGAACACGGAGGGGCGAGAGAACACACCGCATGAGAGAGCTCACTCCCGCAATAACTAACCACTCCTTTCATGAGAGCAGTGCCTCCATGTCCTAACCCCCTCCTAAAGGTCACGGTGTCCACTATGTTTCAGCTGAGTTTGGGAGGGGACAGGCAGCTCCTGTCTTCTGCTTGTCATGCAGAAAAATTCACAACTGTCCATCCCCTTACAAACAAGGAAGCCTGATGAGCACTCAGCCAGCCCGCTGACAGGCACGCGACAAGGGCGACTGGCAGCTCAGCTAAGCAAGTGCTGTTCCTCTTGCAGCGTCCCCTGCCGCAGCTCTGTGATTGACGGCATGAGCCGCGTGGCCGTGGTGGAGCTCCTGGCTGATGCAGACGTGCAGCTCAAGGCGCGCATGGCCCGGTTCCTTCTGGTAGGTTCTGTGTTGCCCACTGAAGTTTAGAAGCATTGTCGCGATCTCTGTGTTTTTTAAACGTACTTAAATTTTGCTTGGAATTTCATGACATCAGTAAAATTAACCTGTAATGAGTCGCCACTTTAACACGAATTCATCTCTTCTTAAATTGGGCTTGCCTCTTCATTTGCTTTAGCCTTTTTCTTTTTTTAAGATTGATTGATTGATTTGAGAGGCAGAGTTACAGACATAGAGAAGGAGAGACAGAGAGAGAGAGGTCTTCCATCCACTGATTCACTCCCCCTAATGGCTGCAATGGCGGGAGCCAGGCTGATCTGAATCCAGGAGCCAAGAGCTTCATCTGGGTCTCCCACGTGGGTGCAGGGGCCCGAGAACTTGGGCCATCTTTTACCACTTTCCCAAGCCATTAGCAGGGAGCTGGATTGGAAGTGGAGTAGCCAGGACTCGAACTGGTGCCTATATGGGATGTCAGCACCACAGGCTGAGGCTCAACTCACTAAGCCACATAGCCGGCCCCTGGACTTTTTCATACCACCTAATAAAGTGTAGTCATCAAATCTGCACACCTCTGACACAATCCCATTTCACTCAGTTGTATTCATTGTTACCAATATGATTGAATTTTCTTTTTTTTTTAAAGATTTATTTTATTTATTATTTGAAAGGCAGGGTTACAGAGAGGTAGAGGCAGAGAGAGAGAAGAGAGAAGAAAGAGAGAGAGATCTTCCATCTGCTGGTTCATTCCCCAAATGGCTGCAATAGCCGCAATGGCCAGAGCTGTGCCAATCCAAAGCCAGGAGCCAGGAGCTTCTTCCTGGCCTCCCATGTGAGTGCAGGGGCCCAAGGACTTGGGCCATCTTCTACTGCTTTCCCAGGCCATAGCAGAGAGCTGGAGTGGAAGTGGAGCAGCCGGGAGTCAAACTGGTGCTCATATGGGATGCCAGCTCTGCAAGTGGCAGCTTTACCTGCTATGCCACAGCACCGGCCCCTGTTTTTAATATATTTTAAACATTTTGCTACATTCACTTCAAGTGTACATTATATACATGCTGTTGTATACTATTTTTTTGAAAACAGATATTAATATCATAGAGGGAGGGATTCAGGACAACGATAATAATGAGGGAAAGTGAAGCAAGACTTACAACTAAATGCTCAATATGACATCTGCACAGTTTTAAAAAAGATTTTCATGTATTTACTTGAAAGGCAGAGTGACAGAGGAGAGGAGAGAGAGAGGGAGGGAGGGATATACCTTCCATCTGCTGGTTCACTCCCTAAATGGCTGTAACAGCTGGGGCTGGTCCAGGCCAAAGCCAGGAGCCCAGAGCTCCATCCAGGTCTCCCATATGGGTGGCGGGGCCCCAAATACTTGGGGGCCACCTTCTGTTGCATTTCCAGGCACATTGACAGCTGAATCAGAAGCGGAGAAGCCAGAACTCCAACCAGCACTCCAGTATGGGATGTTGGCATCACAGGTGGTGACTTCTGCTGTACCACAACGCTGGCCCCACAACTTTTATACTGTCTCTATATGTTCCCTTAATTTTAAAAATTTAAAAAATGATCTCACTGTCCACTCTGCTTAGGTATGAAGCAATTTTCTGTTACTGCTAGTATTAAGCATGTATCACCTGGTGGGAAATGCCAGGTCAGTCCATTTGGGTTTGTTTTAAATATTTGTGCCTAAGTATTAAAAACTTGGAGGAGTGGGCTTTTGTGCAGTATTTAAGACATTGTTTGGGGTGTCTGCATCTCATATCCAGGGGCCTGGGTTTGAGTCCTGGCTCTCCTCCCCATTCCAGCTTCCTGCTGATGCGCACCCTGGGAAAGAACAGGTGATTCGTAAGTAGTTGGGTCCTTGCCACCCTGACGGAGATCCTAGTTCCCGGCTTTGGCCCGGCCCTGCTCTGGCTGTTGCATGCAGGTGTTTGGGGAATGAACCAGTGGATAACAAATCTGTGTGTGTGTGTGTGTGTGTGTGTGTCTCCCTCCCTCCCTCTCTCCTTCTCAGCCTTTCAAATAAATTAAATAAATATAAAAATTAAAAACAAAAACTTTGAGCCTGGTCTTACATAGCTGGAATTCAGTGGTTAATCATAAAATTATAGTTCTTTTTCTAAGCGTAGCAGTCCAGGCAGCTCTAACCTCCTCATCAGTGGAAACTGCAATGGGCCGAGTCTTCATGTTTTAAGCACAGGTTTGCCCTTGGTGTGGGAGTGGAGTGTCAGGCAGAATCGAGTACTGGAATATGAGTCCCAGGGGAACAGGGCCTTGGCTGTCCTGGTCTTGCAGGAATTCCAGTGTCAGGGGTGTCAGTGCAGATTTTTGTTGTTGTTTTGGAAGAGCTTTTCAATCCCACTGGTAATACAGTTTAGATTTAAAAATGAAACAGACTGATAAATCAATGACTGAGTTTCTTGTGCGACTCAGAAACGAGGTCTGGAGACAGTTCTTCAGACAAGTCCAGGTGAGCCTCACGTAGGTGATATCCACTATGTAGAAGGCTTTTCCCAGTGGGAGCAGTCGCATCTTTGAATGGTGGTTCTCTGGCTGCCCAACACATCTCCCTGCTCCTGCCAACTGGTGATCCAGCCTGGGCCCAGGGCAGGAGGGAAAAAACACGCACCCAAAATCACTGAAATGAATTGTTCTTGAACTGCCCTATGATTTTGTTCTCCACTTTATTTCTGTAATTATTCCAACAGAAATTTTATCAGGGATCCTGTATAACAGCAAAAAGGATTTGTTGTGCATAATGATGCCATAGCATAGTATCCTCTGTAATTTTTGCTACTCTAAAATAATGATTATAATTGTTCTGGATGAATTATTTACTTAATAGCATCTTTTAAAAATGGTGTTCAACTATAGCACCGGTTTTGCTGATACCCATGGTATGCCTTCTTTGTATTTGCTCAACAGCATCAGATCTGTATCATACCCATTGAGGAATTCTCCACTGAATACGTGAGACCTCAGGTTCACTGCATTGCCAGTTATGGACCATTTGTCAATCAAAGGTAGTGTGCGTCCCCCTTTTCTGCCTTGTTGGTGCACCGAGTGATGCTGTAATTCTCAAAAGGCTGAAACTTAATTTGGGTTGTGTGTCTCTGATCCAAATTGCTTGGGACCAGAAGTGGTTTACATTTTGATATTTTTGGACTTCAGAATATTTGCATATACATGATGAGCTGCCGTGGGAATGGGGTCCAAGTCTAAGCACAAAATTCATTTGCGTTTCATGTGTACTGTGTACACACAGCCTGAAGATAACTTTATACAGTCTTTTGTGTGCACTGTGTTTTGACTGTAATCTGTCACATGGTATCAGGTATGAAATTTTCCCCTTGTGGCATCATGTTGTTAGAACTCATAAACATTCAGATTTGGGGTTTTGGATTTGGGGAATGGTCATGCTCAACCTATACTTCAGAAATGATCATTGGCCAGTGTGCTAAGGTCTGGTAATGGATTTAAATGTGAAAAAGACCAGGTAAATAATCTTTCCCAGCAGTTGGGTTTTCCAGAATTCCATAGCAGCAGGAAGCTGACACAGTAGTGACTGGGGAAATGGTTAAACCCAGCCCTCCCGGGCAGGTACCCAGCCGTCTACTCTGAACCCTTCAATGACTCACTTTGTTCTAATCCTTTAACTTCTATGTCTGAGGCTCTTCACAAAACCACAAAAGCTCTGCCCTATCTCACAGCCATGCTATCAGAATTAGCTAACTAAAGCTTACTGGAATTCTGATAGGGTTGCTTTGCAGTAGATTCACAAATAATTTACAGACACAATCAGGAAATCTTGTGTGTATAGTTAGGACAGTAGGAGCCACCAAGACAGGGAAGATCTGTGCCTAAAAGAACTGTTGTGTATTTGATCTCTTTTATACGGTATTACATCAAAATCCATGTTTAGAGGTCAGTGTTTTATTGTATTGATCTCTAACAATTTCAGTTCTGGAAGGGGAGTTACAGTAAGCTTCTATCTAGTTTTCTCCAAAATTAGATTGCCTTTCTGCTTTAGCTGGTGCTGAGCAGGTGGCTGGAACACAGCTGGCCAATAGCTACACTGAGTATCACAATACAAAGACCACCAGGGTCCTGCGGTCCCGCGACACAAGGTCCTTCTGACATTCACCTGCTTCAGTGCTCAACATCTGGCTCTTCACTCGCGGGCAGTCCTGCAGTTTTGGGTTACTTGTAAGATAACATTTTCAAATACTCTCTGTTTCAGTGCCTCCTGTGTCTCCCTGGCCCATGAAACTCCTCCAACAGCACTGATTTTGGAAGTCCCGGCTGGGGGACCCTTCCCTCTTCTGGCCCAGGATCTTTCCCCTCCTGCAGGCGTTATTCCAGGATTCATGCTGCAGGCACCACAGGTAGGACCCCATTGGGTGTGCCTGTTCTAGACCAGTGGTTCTCCAAGTGTGGCCTCCAGTGAGCAGGAGCCACATCGGCTGGGAACTTGCTAGAAGTGCACATTCGCAGGTCCCACCAGGCCTCCCGAATCAGGAATCTGTGTTGTAACCAACCCTGCAGGTGATTCTGTTGTCCCTACTACTTTCAACTTTGGAGACTCCCAGAAATGCTGGTGTTGGGTCAATCCTGCCCGTGAGCACCCTGGCCTGCTTCCCTCCTCCACACAGTCATTTGGTGACCACTCATGGCCCAGGTCGTGATAGCTCATATGTTCATGAACTGTCCATGTTCTCTGTCCGAGTTATATTAGAAGAATATAATAGCTGTATTTGGAATTACTTCTTTTGCTAATGAATTTTCTTTTATCCCCTACTATACCAGCACAGGACCCTGCAGGCCGGAAAGTCTCAGTAAACACTTACCAATTAATCATATTTAGAGCCTGAAGGAGAAATATAGTGACATGATGCAGTTTTTCATTATTAGTTATAAAATCTCAGGAGATTTTTTTAAAAGTTTTATTTATTTATTTGAAAGGCAGTTAGAAAGAAAAAGAATGAGAAAGAGATCTTCCATCCACTTATTCACTCCCTAAATGACTGCAACAAATGGCTGGGGCTGGGTCAAGCCAAAGCCAGGATCCCAGAACTCCACCCGGATTTCCCACGTGGGTGGCAGGGGCCTAAGGATTTGGCCCATCTTCCATTGCCTTCCCAGATGCATTAGCAGGAAGTTGGATCAGAAGCAGAGCAGCTGGTGGTCCAATATGGAATGCCAGTGTTGCAGGTGGCAGCTTACCCTGCTGTGCCACAACACTGGCTCTAGAATTTCAGAAATTTTTAAGTTCTCCATTATAGACATATATATATAATATATATAGTATATTATAATATATGTAATATTGTGTTATTATGACATCTCTGCAATCCCAAAGATGGTTTGTTTCCGCTTACATTGCATTAAGTTCGGAACTGAGCAAGAATTTGAGAGAGAAACTTGTAGAACTCCTGTGAGACAGGCAGTCTCACAGGGGATGGGAGTGGATACCAAGAAGCCCGCTTTTGTCACCAGATTATATCTGGCCTTCAGCAAGTCGTTTACACACAGGAGAGTCACAGCTCTTGCCAGAACATTGAGAATAACCTGTTGTTGTTGTTGTTGTTATTGGACACTCGAAGGTAAAAGACAACTCACAGAATGGGCCTTTCTGGGAGAGCAGGGCTCACCCACTTAAACAGAAGCAGGAGTGTGGTTCTGGCTTTTCGTGTGGACTGGTGGGAGAGGAGGGGGTGGGTGGGACAGGCTGGGGTGACTCCCTTTCTCAGGGACCAGAATCTGTGTGATTTGGACTTTCTGTGCAAAGGAAGGGAGTTCCTGGGCTTTCTCATCCGCTTGCCTGGGTGTGGGGCAGAAGGCAAAAGGGGCGGGGGGGAGGCTTGAAAACCCCTGGTGGTCAAACCTCACAGATGGTGTCGGGGGCATTTGGCCTAGCAGTTAGATGCTGGCTAAGATAGCTACATTCTGCACTAAAGTGCCTGGGTTCAGTCTCCAGCTTGGCTGCTGCCTCCAGCTTCCTGCTAATGCAGACCCTGGAATGCAGTGATGGTGGCTCAGATGACTGAGTTCCTGCCACCCACATGGGAGACCGGGACTGAGTGCAGCTCCTGGCTTGGGCACCCAGGGGACACTGTAGACATTTGGAGAGTGAACCAGCATATGGGAATTCTCTCTCTCTCTCTCTCTCTCTGCCTCTCAAAAAGATCATATTCTTTTTTAAAAAAATTATTTATTCATTTATTTATTTGAAAGGAAGAGTTACAGAGAGAAAGAGAGGAAGAGACAGAGAGAGAGAGAAGGAGAGAGAGATACCTTCCATCCACAGGCCTACTCCCCAAATGGCCACAACAGCAAGGATTGGGCCAGCTCAGTCAGGAACCTGGAATTCCATCTGGGTCTTCCAGGTGGGTGGCAGGGACCCAAGTACATGGGCCATCTTCCACTGTTTCCCCAGCCCATCAGCAGGGAGCTGGATTGGAAGTGGAGCAGCCAGGACTCGAACCAGCACCCATATGGAATATTGGCATTGCAGGCAGCAGCTTAACCCACTATGCCTCAATGCCGGCCACAAGGCCATATTCTGTATCATACGGTTATTATGAGTAGTGCTTCCAGGGACATCCTTATGCAGCCTTTTTGCAAATATAGTACTCATTTCTCTTGGGCTCGTACCTAGGAGGATGATTGCTGGATTATATGTTTGGGAAATTTTGGCGAACAATTGTCGAAGGTGATTAACAAAACTGTATTTCCTTCAACAGCCTACAGGGGGCGCACCACAGTTGGTCCCTTCCCTCTGGAAGAGGCATCTGGTTTGTTTCAATTGAGATTACAAATCAACGTTCATGTGAAGGCTACTGTGGGAATATAGGTTGTCCTTTCACCTGGGTCAATGCCCGCTTGTTTCATTATTAACCTCTAAGTATGTGATTCTGATTATCCCTAGCTCTTTAGACTGAGGGTTTGGGGGCATGGTTTCCCTCTTTTTCCCTCCTAGAGCCAAGTGACCCTGAGAGGACTTGTGCCACACGCAGGCCGCTACGTCGTTGTCATCCATTTTTGTCAAGCAGAGCACCCAGCATTTCCCGCGCAGGTGTTGGTGGATGGAGGACAGCCCTGGGCAGGTGAGTTCCCGCGCGCAGGCGAGTTCCCGCGCGCAGGCCCCGAGCCGCCGCCAGCTGCGGTCAGCACTCCTGCAGTCTTGTGATTAGAGACCCTCCTCTCTGTGCAGGCTCCTTCAGTGCCGCCTTTTGCCCCCATGTGCTCTGCTGCCGTGACCAGGTGATCGCAGGAGGCCAGGTGGAGTTGGACATCTCAGAGCCTGAGGTGGCTGTGACCGTGAAGGTTCCAGAAGGAAAGTCCTTGGTGTTGGTGCGTCCTGCTCATCCCTCTGCCTAGGGCTGCCCTGCTTGGCCATTTGGCTGGCTGGCTGGCTGGCTCACAGCAACAATTCCTCCAAGGCGTTAAAGCTGTAATTATAGAAAAAAAAATGCTTCAACTTTACAGTTCTCTTTTCCACACAGAAAACGCATATGGCAATTAAGGGAGCAGACGGGCCTTTGGCCTAGCAGTTAGGACACTGGTCAGGACGCCCACTTCTCATGTCAGAGTGCCTGGGTTTGAGCCCTGGCTCTGCTCCCAGTTCCAACTTCCTGCTAAGGCCAACCCAGGGAAGCAGCAGTGATGACTCAGGGGTGGGGGACCTTTTATTCCGCCAAGATCTATGTGGATGTTGATAACATCATTCTTGGGCCACACAAAATGATCAGCTTACAAATGAGCCTGCTATAGATTTATTGAATTTTTTTTGACAGGCAGAGTTAAACAGTGAAAGAGAGAGACACACAGAGAGAGTTATAGACAGTGGGAGAGAGAGAGAAAGGTCTTCCTTCCGTTGGTTCACTCCCCAAATGACTGCTATGGCCGGCACTGTGCCGGTCCAAAGCCAGGAGCTGGGTGCTTCATCCCGGTCTCCCATGCGGGTGCAGGGACCCAAGCACTCGGGCCATCCTCCACTGCACTCCCTGGCCACAGCAGAGAGCTGGACTGGAAGAGGGGCAACCGGGACTAGTACCCGGTGCCCCAACCGGGACTAGAACCCGGGGTGCTGGCACCGCAGGCAGAGGATTAACCAAGTGAGCTGCGGTGCCGGCCAAGATTTATTGAATTTTGAGTCCCACTCACAGTTGCCTTGGCAGAGCCAGGCCAAAGGATTTTGCAGAGCTCTTCCCAGGGTACAGGAACCTGAGTACATTTGTTTGTGTCCCCTGTGCCTGGGATGCTACCTGACATACGGGGCTCAGCATATGTATAGGCACTCGGCAAACACTTCACAGAGAGGTTGGAGATTTCCCATGGCATTCGTTCCTGGCATGGCCAGATTCATGCAGGTATAGGGAGAACCAAGTTGCACTCTTAAAGACTGGAGCCACAGTTGTTCATGGTAGAATACTAGGTCTGATGTTAACTTCATGGGCAAGCTCTGGTTTTAGGTTCTGCCGCTTCTCTTTGCTTACCTTTAAACATACAAAACCACAATTCCTGCAGATCCAGGGGAATCCTAGGCATGGGTCACGTGGGACCCTGGCCATCCTAACAGAACTTGCACACCCCAAGGTCTCCAACTCAGCCAAAAGGTGAGGCTGCAGCTCCTCCTAGCAGGTGCCTCGAGGGGTCTGCCTGGCACTTGTGGTCTCCTACACAGCCACAGGGATCAAGTCTTTATCCTGGCTATAAACTTGCTGTTGTGATTGTTTTCCCATAAACCCCACTTCCTTTTGTCTTTTTTTCTTTTAAAGATTTATTTATTTATTTGAAAGGCAGAGTTACAGAGAGGCAAAGGCAGAGAGAGACAGGTCTTCCATCCGCTGGTTCACTCCCCAAGTGGCCGCAATGGCCAGAGCTGGACTGCTCCAAAGCCAGGAGCCAGGAGCTTCTTCTGGGTCTCCCATGCAGATGCAGGGGCCCAAGGACTTGGGCCATCTTCTACTGCTTTCCCAGGCCATAGCAGAGAGCTGGATCGGAAGTGGAGCAGCCAGGACCCGAACCAGCGCCCATACGGGATGCCAGCACTGCAGGCAGTAGCTTTACCTGCTATGCCACAGCGCCTGCCCCCAAGTCTTGGGCTTGATATTAAAGGACATCAACCTTAGTGATGAGAAAGTATAATGGGTAGCCACAGGCAGGCTTGGCCATTGGACATCCAAACCCATGCTGATGTGTTCTTTCAGGTCCGTGTTCTGGTGGTGCCTGCAGAGAATTACGACTACCAAATACTTCACAAAAAAACAGTGGACAGGTCCTCTGAGTTTGTCACCAGTTGTGGAGGAAACAGCTTTTATATTGAGTAAGTCTCGCTTGGTGGGAAGGCTGTTGCATGCATGAGGCGTGTGTTTCCATCAAGAACAGGGTTCACAGGGACTGGGCCTGGGTCTGTCCCCTTCCTCTGGCCAGCCGGAGGAGTGGTGCTGAGCCGCAGGTCTGAGGAGGGAGCCGTTCTCTCCCTGAATGGTCCATCCTGCTGGGACAGGCCTTGCCATGCACCATTGGGACCAACTGACTCTACTCAGCTTTCCCACCCAGGGCAGGGTCTCTTCCTGTTTGCTGCTGTCTGTGTACCAATGCAGATGCCTCAGAGACACCACACAGGGCACCTTCCCTGGGAAAGACACCAGCCTTGATCTCTATTCTCATCGGACTGAGCCTGGGGCGTCCAGAGACTCACCCTCCCTGCCCTGTCTCCTCGTGTCCAGGAAAGCCCTTCATGTTGGCTCCTACCATTCTCTTCCATGGGTGCCCCCACCTCCCCGTAGGTTTCCTGAGGAACTCAGGTGCTCCAGAACCCCAGGAGAAGATGCCTCCTGTACAGCATCTGTTAAGAGCACAATCTCTGAAATCCAATAGCTGTGCATTTGAATGCTTCTCGGCCACACCACCACTGTGCAGCTTTGGGAATGCTGCTGAACTTCTGGGATCCTCAGCTTTCTGATCTGTGAAATGGGGCTTCAGCCTAACTGGTTGGGTGGTTGTAAGGTGAAGTGAGATGTAGATACAGCCTCCAAGACACAGCATTCAGTAAGCATTGGCAATTCTCATTATCATCTTATGAGCTGTTTTATTGTGCCAGTGGGGTACTCTTTTTATAGCCGTTTTACTGAGATGTAACTCATATAGTGTAGTTCATTCTAGAGGTGTATTTTCACCCTTTTGATTCTGGCCCCAGAATTTCCCACTGAGCATTCCTGGTGTCTTCTCCTGGCGTGGATGGGCGGGGGAAAGAGTAATCCTCATGGGCCGATTCCAGGGTGGGTGTTTTGCTCCTCAGACCCCAGAGAAAGACACTGCTAGGTGGAGTGAATGGGCAGGGGAAGGCTGGGTTGTTCCTGGGCACAAACCCTGGGGCTCACTGGGAATTGTTTTTACCTCCGCAGTCCCAAGACAGCCTCTGAGTTCTGTAGGAACTCCGCCAGGTCCCTGGTGGCCTTTTACCACAATGGTGCACTGCCCTGTGAATGCCACCCCGCTGGGGCCACCAGCCCCCAGTGCAGCCCCGAAGGTGGGCAGTGCCCGTGCCGGGCCAACGTCATCGGGCGGCAGTGTAGCCGCTGTGCCATGGGCTACTACGGATTCCCACGCTGCAAGCGTAAGTGCGTGTGTCCCAGCATCTGAGGATGTGTTTACGGATGTGTGCATGACCCAGCTCTCAGGTTCCTCTCCCAAGACTCCTTGTGATGAGCGCCTATCATTTGCATTTGGCCATGGGCTCCATCCCTGTGCCAGGGTTAGCTGGCACCATCAGCAAGGGCAATGCGCAACAACGTGAGAAATCCTTGGGCCTGCACCCTAACTTACACGGGCAAGCTGGAAGCGGGGGGCGGGGGGCACTGATCCTCTGTGGCAGGGCCTGACTGGGTGTGTGACAGAGGCAGGGTGGGCAGCCTGACCTGAGAACTGGGCTGCCCAGGGGCCCATAGAGCAGTCCAATGCCAATATCTGGAGTTGAGTGGCAAACTTTGATTTAAGCAAATGCCGTGTTGCTAAGAGGTTTGGTTCAGTGGGCTGGGTTGGCATTGCCAGATAGAAGCCTCTGTCACACAAGTGTAGTGAGCATGAAAATCTGAAACCGTCAGAGTCTTGGGCAGCACAGTCCCCTACCTAAAACCCCAACTGAGCAACTGAAACTCAGTGAAGATGGGAAAGTCAAGTTCACACAGGTGCATTAGTCACTGGGCGAGAAACCTTTGGACCTGTATCTAAGAACTGTCCTGCAGTCCGAGGCGTAGGGTCAGCCCATGTCACCTGGTGGCAGTGAGGACTGTGGGTGTGCAGATTTAGTCCCCTGGTGATCAGTTTTTTGCCTAAGGAGGAAGACTGATGCTGCTGTATTGTGCCATGTGGCCCCAGGCTCTGGACTTGCAGCGCACTGGTTGGGGACGGTAACAAGGGGCAGGCTGTGGGGCCACTTCAGGGAGCATCCGCTGCATGCTGACTTCTAGAACCTTCTGATGAACTGGAGCCCCTGCCCCCACTAGGCTGGCACATGACAGCTGCTAGGTCAGCTCCCTTGAGTATCTGTCTTGCTGCCACTTGATAGGCCTGTACCTCACTCAGCAACCACAGCCGTGGGCACTGAGTGAGCTTCGTTGTGCACATTTGAGAAGTAGGCCTTTCAGATCAACCAGTCAAATGTCCATAGTGAAAGGGAATGAAACATCTCTCCCAGATCCTTCAGAAGCTTCTAGAAGTCTTGGCTGTTGGTACAGTTATGCTGGAGGTTGGGCAGTGCCTGACCCTCACTTGATATCGTCTGTCTCTTGCCCAGCGTGCAACTGTGGCCAGCGCCTGTGTGAAGAGACAACGGGGCAGTGCCTCTGCCCTCCTCGCACAATCAGACCCCAGTGTGAGGCATGTGAGATGCATTCCTTCAGCTTCCACCCCCTGGCCGGCTGCGAAGGCTGCAACTGTTCCACGAGGGGCACCATTGTTGCTGCCACCCCCGAGTGCGACAGGGACAGTGGGCAGTGCAGGTGAGTTCAGAGGGGTCAGCCTGTCCCATGCTGTTGTGGGGAGGATAAGACGCCCTCTATCCGCATGCTGGTTGTTATTACTTCTCACAGGGCCAAGGAATGCCCTGTGTTGGCCTCAGGCTATGGTGGGTGGGCTGACTGGTCCCTTCAGGCTCAGAGTAGCCAGGCAGAGCCTGGGTGGCCAGGTCACCATTTGCCTTAGGCCAGGAGCAGCCTTGCTCCCACATGGGACCCCAGTGTGGTATGAGCCACACTACAGAACGTGGAGCACACGTGACCCAGCTCTCAGGTTCCTCTCCCAAGACTCCTTGTGATGAGCGCCTATCATTTGCATTTGGCCATGGGCTCCATCCCTGTGCCAGGGTTAGCTGGCACCATCAGCAAGGGCAATGTGCAACAACATGAGAAATCCTTGGGCCTGAACCCTAACTTACATGGGCAAGCTGGAAGCGGGGGGCACTGATCCTCTGTGGCAGGGCCTGACTGGGTGTGTGACGGAGACAGGGTGGGCAGCCTGACCTGAGAACTGGGCTGCCCAGGGGCCCATAGAGCAGTCCAATGCCAATATCTGGAGTTGAGTAGCAAACTCAGACTTAAGCAAATGCCGTGTTGCTAAGAGGTTTGGTTCAGTGGGCTGGGCTTGGCATTGCCAGGTAGAGGCCTCTGTCACACGAGTGTAGGTGACAAACCTGATCTCAGCAGGGCCAGACAGTGACTCCAGAGAACCCAAAAAACTGTCTCAGAAGAGTCTGGTAAGAATTCGGTAGCGGGGGTTATCAGGCAGGAAATTTGAGCCAGAGTTTCCGAGTGCGGGCTGGTGTGGCAGTGTACCGCATAAGGCATAAGATTCACCATCCACCCTGCGCCCACACCACCAGGGACATGGAGTGGGGCATGCAGGCCAGGAGGGGCTGTCACTGCTGGTGGCACACCTCAGCAGTGCCAACTGGAGGACGGTGAGTTTCCTGTGGTGCTGTCACCCATGAACACCAGCTCGGTGGCTTGAAACAACAGGTTTGTTCCCTCTTGTCCTGGAGTCTGGAGTCTGGAATGTAGGGCTCAGCAGGGTTGCCTCCTCCTGGAGGCTCTAGGGGAGAACCTGCTATGTGCCCTTCTCTTCCCTCCAGTGCCAGCAGCAACCCTTGGTGTTCCTTGGCTTGTAGCTGCGTCCCCCAATGTCTGCCCCCATTGCCTCCTGCCCTTTTCCCTGCGTGTTTCTGTCTTCCCGTGGCTTTCTTCTCTCTGTGTGTCTGTGCCAGTCCTCATTTTCTTAGAAGAACACCAGTCACGTTGGCTTAGAGCCCACTCTGCTCTAGTATGCTCACGTCGTGTGTACATCTGCAAAGACCTGTTTCCAAATAAGGTCCCATTGGCAGGTGCTGGCGGTCAGGACTTGGGCACATTTGTTGGGGGAACACAATTCAGCTCTCTGCAGCTGTGAAACTCACCCTTCACCACACCCTCCGCGGTTGCCTGGTGCCTGTCAACTCCTTTCTATTCCTGGGAACTTGTAAGGAAGCCGAGAGGGAAACGTGACTCATGGAACATTCTAAGTGTTTGAACCGCAGGTGTGAGTCCTGCCTGAGTCAACTCAGTCGCTCCATCACCAGGTGTGGGCCTGGAGGGACTGCGTCTGCTTAATCAGAGGAAGCAGAGGAACCACCAGGGAGATGGAGCAGCCGCTGGCAGGCAGGAAGGGAAGCAGGAGGAGTTAGTGTCTGAGAGCCAGTGGGAGAGTCTTCCGTCCGAGCTGCTGGTTAACTGAGTAAGTCATTGCAAGCAGAACTTCACACACAGCTTCCCAGGGCTGCTGCCCAGAAGAAAAATCTGAGAATGCATTAAAATGCTTACAATTGGTTAAGATTCCGAAAGTCGATCGATGGATATGCTATAGGTGCAAATTCTAAGGAGTCTGTTTGTTTAACAAACCCTCGTTAGCCAATGACAGTTTAACCAGCTGGCACATGCCCGGTGTCATGTCGTGTTGTCCGAACGTGGGCGCCTCAACAGGCCTGGACCTGTTTACTTTCATACCACCAGAGACGGTCGTACGCTAATGGGTGACGTATCAACCCTCGATCAGTGTGCATTTGTCATAAAAGGGCTGTTGGCAGATGGCATGAGGAAACATTTCAGCATATTACCTCACTGTGAGCTACATAAACTGCCAACAACATCTCAGGGTTAACGCTGAAAAAGCTTCTGATTGCCTAAGAGGATTATCCCCTTTAAAATATTAGAGAAAAACCTACTATTTTCCCCCTGGAAAATTTCCTAGTAAAAATGAAGAATAATTTTAGAGGAATCTAAAGCTCACATAAAAAAAGATGTCAAAGATAACTGAAATTTGCAGGAAAAGGAAAAACACATCCTTGCTCAGTTATACCACAGATTCCCTTGCAGTTATTCAAATTATCACAGATGACAAAGCTTAAAAACTGGAATTCTCAAATCGTGCTAGACTGCTTATAGATGTTAGTCTGTCATGCTCACTAAGAGAAAACCAAACTGATATTCATCTACTTTAAAATGAATTATAAAGATAATTCTAGCAATACTCAGTCTGAAATTCAACAAAACCGTGATGTGATTTTTGAGATGCCTGGGAGTCAATTAAGCCGCAACCACAAACCTGAGTTTTATGGTTCAACTTCTGTCTTCAGATACTAGCCAGGAGCTCTGGGCCAGTGCTTTTTCCTTCCTGCACCTCCGCCTCCTGCTCTGTAAGGAAATTTGTTAAAACCATCTCTGACTTCCCACCTAAAGTTCTGATTCTATACCTTCAATCTCTGACTGTATCACAGATATTATTTTAAAAATTATGCTGTATAAATACAAGAAGTCTACTATTTGGGCCAACTCTATTAAGTCAAGATAATAGAGGTGCTTATAATAATCAAAGTCTCAATTTTAACACAGAACAGCAAATGCACATATTTAATCAAATATCCATGAAAAACTACATTTGCATCTGCTTTTAACAATGAGATTGATGCCATCTGAATCCTTGAACACACAAAACGGCTAGAATATCCTCAGAAGATTTTGGTCAATCCGTGGTTGATACAAGAAAGCTGGAAGGCACTGCTTGTAGTATGTGTTACGGCACGGACCACCTCCTTTGCAGCGACTTTGAGCCACTGGTACCACAGGCACCAGGAGAGGCACAGGCACCTTTGTGGACGACCTGCCTCTCAGCCAGTCCCCACGGATTTTCTAAATGTTGTGTTAGATGGAGACATAAAACACTAGAAGAGCCGTAGACCTGACATCCTTGGAACAGAGGCGCTTCCAGCTAGACATCAATCCACAACCCTGACCACTTGGAGAGGCAGCTCCTGTGATGCACTTCACCCAGGGGTAGGAATGGGGCCAGCAGGCAGCATGCAGGTGCCGGGCACAGCAACAGCTGGGTACGCCGGACTCTCGCCTTGCACATGGAGGGCCAGGCTCTCACCTGCATTCAGCTGTGTCCTCCGTCTCCTGTGACGCTGGCGCCTCTCACACCGCCCTGGCTGATCCTTCTCCAGCCATTTCACTGACTCTGGTTCCTCCTCCACCCCTACCTCTGTCCCGACCAAAGGCTGTGTCTTGTGAATTTGTGCAAGGTTGCATCCTGCCTCGGCCACTGCCCTCTGGGTGATCTCTGGCATGCCACTTCTCTCCTCTGTGCCTTAGCTCTTCATCTACAAAATAGAGCACAGGAGGCACTACCTTCTGAAGGTCTTAGAGGATTAAATATCCCTTATGAGCACACTTAGAACAGGGCCTGAGGCAACACTGAGCACCCAGGAAGCCTGAGCTGTAATTGTGTTTGCCACGGTCACGGCTGCCTGCCTCCCTCTCACTCTCCTGACTGCGGCCATCCCCACTCCTGGGTAATCTCCCTGGGTGATCAGCTGAAGTCCCAATCCTGATGCTGTCTTGTCCTGCCTTCACTGCCCATCAGTTCGGCCTTGGCTCTCTTATTGGCCTTACAGTTGGCTCCGCATACCTGCAGGTGGCACATCTGCAGGTTCTGTGTCCCTGAATTCAACCAGCTTGATGGAAAACATCAGAAAAAACATTATCTCTACTGAACATGTGTAGACTGTTACTTGATTGGTGTTCCCTAAAAGACTATTTATAAGAATTTACCATGTACTAGGTATTACAAGTCAACTAGAGGTGATTTAAAGTACACAGGAGGGTGTGCTCAGGGTATATGCAAACAGTGTGCCCTTGTGTAGTAGGGACTTGAACATCTACAGATTTGGGGGTCCTGTGGGTGGGGGTGGTCCTAGAACAGATCACCTATGGATACTGAGGGACAATTGTCTTAGGAAGCCTTGGACAAATCCCCTCAGCCTTTTGGGCTCTTGTCTCCTCACATATATACTGAGAAATTGGATTGCACAACCTTTAACTACAAAACTCTGCAACTCTGCTGCAGGATCTGAAGGTCACAGCACTGCCAATGGCCTTTCCAGCCATCTCTTACTTTACTTTAAAACATAAGTTCTACTCACGGGTGCGGCCTCATTTCAGTCCTCAAAGCCTTGAAGTCTGAGATGCATCTTCCAATCAACCCATTTTCCCTGCAGCCAATCGGGTGTCAGCTTCTGTCAAGGAATGTAGTATCCACCCCCTCCCCCGCCTTCCATGGCTCCTGTCACCACCCCAGCTGAGTCATTTCCCACCTCGTGTTTGAATAATAAACCTTCCTTTTCCTGAGTCATTCATTCAGTCATTATTTTTGGCTCCTTAATCTAAGAGGAATATGCTATACCACAATTATCCTGATTTTTTAAGACATTTCTTTTATTTGAAAGGCAGAGTTATGGAAAGGTAGGGAGAGAGAGAGAGAGAGGTCTTCCATCCACTGGTTCACTCCCCAATTGGCCGCAACAGCCTGAGCGGGCTGATCCGAAGCCAGGAGCCAGGAGCTTCTTCCAGGTTTCCCATGTGGGTACAGGGGCCCAAGGACTTGGGCCATCTTCTACTGCTTTCCCAGACCATAGCAGGGAGCTGGATTGGAAGTGGAGCAGCTGGGGCTCGAACCAGCACCCATATGGGATGCTGGCACTGTAGGTGGCAGCTTAACCTGCTACCCCACAGCACAGGACCCTTATCCTGGGCTTTTAAAAACTGTTTTCCCCAGGTCTTCAAAGAGGGAGGTGCCTTTCTCTGAAGGGAGGAGAGAACCTCCACTTTGACTATGACCGTGTCTAAACAAGATAAGAGTCGGAGAACTCAAGGGGCTTCCATAGCCTTGGAAACTCATAACTGGTGCATAGGGAGATTACTGATGCCATAAACAGGAGTGTCAATTGGTAAAGTCAACAACAGGAGTCACTGTGCACTTACTCCTCATGTAGGATCTCTGTCCTTAACGTGCTGTACACTGAGGCTTAATGCTATAACGAGTACTCAAACAGTATATTTAATTCTCTTGTTGGTGTGTAGAAAATTCCTCATCATTAACAGGTACTATAAATATCATCTAGTGATTGAAATTTAATTTTTCCATCAAAATGAGGCATTGCTTTTGTTCCTGAGCAAAAGTTGTCCATTTTTCTGTAAAACCTTCTAAACTATGATATAATTTGAGAATTGCTATACTAGGAGTGAACTAAAAAGTTTAGGAAGTTAATGGCCTTTTCTATTTCCATCTTAAAAACACTGCTTTTGCTCTCTGAAATTGTACAAAGAAACAAGTAAACAGGATGTGTGCTTGTTCATGCTCACACATGTGTAGAAATTAATGTCCATTTCAAAAATATCAAAGACCTTTCGGTAAATAGGAGAGGGTAAAATATATATCTATACTCTGTAGATGGGAAGGACTCTAATCTGCTTTAACACTTCTGGATTGCTTGACTTCAAGAATTTCCCTTTTTTCAGTCATTTAATGAGTTCCTTGAAGCCTGATGTAACCAGAAGGAGCCCAGGCAATATATTCATGTTTTATTTGGGGGAGAAAAACACATACCCACACACACACACACACACACACAGAGAAAAAATTTTATCTCAGAAATAATCATTAAACTGTGGGTATATGTTCAAAAAAAAAAAAATAAAAACTGTTTTCCCCATACTTTTGTCACTATTAGTCTGAAAAACTTCAGATACTGTTAATAAATGCATATATGATCATAATTTTATCTTGGCATTTAAAATTTTTTAAAAAAATTTTTGAGGGGCAGAGAACAGGAAGAGAGAGTGGGTGTGTGCTTCCATCTGTTTGCTCAGCCCTTAAATGCCCACAACAGCCAGAGCTGGACCAGGTCAATGCAGGGGGCCAGGAGGAATTCACAGGTCTCTCACGTGGGTGGCAGGAACCCAGCTACTTCAGCCATCACTGCTGCCTGCCAGGGTCTACACTGGCAGGAAGCTAGAGTCAGGAGCTGGAGCCAGAACTCGAGCCCAGGTGCTCAGATGTGGGATGTGGGTGTCCACTGCTAGGCCAAATGCCTGCCACGTGTTTTCTGGTTTTTATTTTTTTAAATGAGGATGGAACACCTCCCTCAGCTCCTTGTGTGTTATTTTTATATTTTTTTAATGCTTCTTTGACTTCAATTCTATTTCAGATGTCAGTATTTTTCATCATTCAAACTCATCTGTTACCTACTCCAGTTTGGGCACTGGGCTTCCTGTGGCAAGCACACCTCTGTGGTCTGGGGGAGGTGAGGTGCCACACTTACCAATAAAGACAGCGAGGTGTGGTGAGTGCTGTATTGTGGGGGCGGGGGCGGGCATGGGGACGCAGGGCTCTGCACAGCATTGCCTCCAGCATTTCACTGTTTGCTACAGAACTGCTTTGGAGCCAGTGTTGTGGAGCAGCAGTTAAAGCTGCCGGCGGCAATGCCAGCATCCCACCTGGGCGCTGGTTTGAGACCTGGGTGCTCCACTTCCGATCCAGCTCCCTGCTAATGGCCTGAGAAAAGCAGTGGAAGATGGCCCAGTCATGTAGGAGACCCTGATGAAGTTCCTGGCTCCTGGCTTCCCGCTGGCCTCACCCTGGCCATTGTGGCCATCTGGGGAGTGAACAAACAGATGGAAGATTATGTGTGTGTGTCTGTCTGTCTGTCTGTCTGAACCTTTTCTCTGTCTGTAACTCTTTCAAATAAATTCTAAAAATCTAAAAAAAAATAATAGCTGCCTTGCCTCCCCAATGTCTAATATGATAAAAAAAAAAAGGTCAGCTTTCTCTGGACCCTGTCTACCCTAACTTGAGCCTTTTATTCCCTCTGATTTCTTTGCTGGCTGGGTTTTCTCACTTCCTGTAAACCTTTTTTTTTTTTATTCAGATCTTTAGTTATGAAAGGCTCCCTCAAAGTATTTCTGTTCTTCAGGGACTTTGTGTTTTTTTTTTTTATTTTTTATTTTTATTTTTTAATAAATGTGAATTTACAAAGTGCAACTTTTGTGTTGTTGTGGCTTTCCCCCCACCAACCTCCCTCCCTCCCGTGGCCCTCCCCTCTCCCATCCCGCCCTTCGTCGAGTTTCATTTTCAATTACCTTCATATACAGAAGATCAATTTAGTATATACTAAGCAAGGATTTCAACAGGCTGCCCTCACACAACCGCACAAGGTATAGGGTATTGTTCGACTAGTAGTGTTGTCTTTAAGTTTCATAGTAAACCACATTAAGGACAGAGATCCTACGTGGGGATACTATACCCAGTGACTCCCATTGTAGATTTAACAATTGGCACTCTTATTTATGGCATAGGCAATCACCCGAGGCTCTTGCCATGAGCTGTCTAGGCTATGGAAGCCCCTTGAGTTCACCGACTCTGAACTTGTTTAGTCAAGGTCCTATCACAGTGAAGGTTCCTTCCTCCCTTCGGAGAAAGGCGCCTCCCTCCTTGATGGCCTGTTCAGGGACTTTGTGTTACAAACAGACTTGGGGAAGGCAAGAGCATGGAGAGACCTCCTCATGTACTGCCTGAAGCACTTCAGCGCTGTCCCATCCCATCTATCCAGTTACTTGCCACATCTCTAAGTCCTGTGTCCTCTGCAAGAAATGTGCCACACTCAACACTGACGTATTCTACTCTGTCCCATGTCCCCTGACACAGGGCTGTGCATACAGAAGGCACTCTGTCATTATCGAATGACTAAGGTAGATGTGAGGTGCAGTGTTCAGTGGCCACCAGAGATAGTTCACCCCAACAGCCTCAGGGCTGCTTCCTCCAGGGGCACAGCAAACACCCACATGCATGCAGACAGTTCCATGATGCTTGGCCCCCGGCCCATTGCCCTGGAGGTGACTGGCCTTGACCCACATCCTGGAGCTGCTGTTCTGCACCTCCAGGTGGCAGCGTCTGCTGGGATCTTCTTGCCCTTGCTGTGAAGGCAGCTCCTCTGGCCACGGAGTCTCCCTGGAGAGATGTGCCGAGGTCAGGCTGACTTTAGCTTATTCTGAGAGCTGCTCAGCCAGCCCTTGAAGAGCAAGTTTCTTTTCTCCCCTGTTGTCATGACCTCACCAGGCACTCCTTTGGCATTTTTTTAATTGGTATTTCAATCTTATTCAAAATTAATTTTTATTTGAGAGGTCATGAGAAAGAGGGGGGGGGAGCATATTTTCCATCTGTTGGTTCACTCCCCATGCACCTGCAATGGTCAGGGCTGGGCTAAGTTAAAGCTGGGCATGGTTGCTGAGCTTCCGTATCTACTGCCCACCTCTCTTCCCTGCGGCAGCTCCCATTCTCCCCACTTTACAGATGGGAAAAGTAAGTTTGAGAAGTTAAGAGGTTAAAAGACTTGCAGAGACAACATCTGCGTTTGGTCAGAGCTGGATTCAAACCCTGGCCAATCCGGCTTCAGTGTGCAGGTCTCAGCCACTGCACTATTCTGCACAGGACAGGGCGAGCCCTTGACCTCCACAGCCAGGCTCCCGCAGGCTCGCACCTCAGCATTCCCTGCCCCAGCAGCCCCACACTGGTGTTCACTGCACACGTTGGGTGGTCTCCCTGCTCTGTTCCTTCTGTCTGGACTGCAAGCCTCACCTGCAACTTATAGCACTGTCCAGTAAGGCCCTGTGGGTGTGTCACCTCCCACAGGGAAACTTGGGCCTCTGCTGGGCTGGATTGGCTGCTGCTACCCTGATCCCCAGTTAGACCCTGCATGTGTTTGTTCTAATTTCCCTCCAGTCTCAGGGGCCAGGTGCATCCTTGAACCATGTGAAGCCTGGCCCATCCATGACGGATGTCCATGGTCATGCAGGATGTCCCTCGCCATGGTCTCAATGTGCCCCCTAGAAAACGAGGTGGAAACTGAATCCCCAGTGCCAGTGATGGGAGGCGGAGCCTCTTGGGAGATGCTTAGGGCATGAGGACTCCTCCCTTATGAGTGAATTAAAGGGCTGGAGGCCATCAATTTGCTCTCTTGCTCCCTCGCTGTGTGATGCTTTCCACCAAGTTATAAGCAAGAAGACTGATCAGATGTATCTCCTTGATCTTGCAGTTCCCAGCCTTCAGAACCATGCACTTGCCTGTTAGGAATGACCCAGTCTTTGCTGATCTCTCAGAGCAGCACCAAGCTGACTAACTATTGTCCTGACCTGCTTTCTCTGTGTGCTTGTTATCCCTGCCTCTCTATTCTGCCTTGGGCTCTAGCCATACCCCAGGCAGTCTCTGTTTAATTGGCTGCCTAAACCACGACTCTGCTGCAGTGTAGCCAGACCTCATAGAATTGTGTGTAGGACAATAAGGATTTTGGCTTCCTTTGCTTTGAGTACAGATGCAAGCCCAGGGTCACTGGGCGGCAGTGTGACCAGTGTGCTTCTGGGTTTTACCACTTCCCGGAGTGTGTGCCCTGCAGCTGCAACCGAGATGGGACGGAGCCAGGAGTGTGTGACCCTCGGACCGGAGCTTGCCTCTGCAAGGTGAGGCAGGTCCTGCAGCGCGGAGGTCAGAAGGACCGTTCTTCACATTGAGTCAGCGGGGAAGTATGGGCAACGGGACTGGGCAACTGGTTTCCCAATGTGTGTGCATCTTACAGTCATCACATTCCTTAGAAATAATTAGAAAGAAATACCCTTCTCCTACTTTGAGAGCCACAGAGCCCCTGGAGACTCTGATGACAGACAGGTGGAGACCAGAAAAACCAACACAAATTTCCATCTAACAGGGGTGGGGGATCATCCAGCCTGCAGGTTGCAAGAATCATTTGGTCTGGCCCTTCCAAGGCAACTACAGGCAGGCTGTAAAATTCAGTAAACCTATAGCAGGCTAAGTTAAGCTGATCATTTTGTATGGTCTGTGAATGATGTTGTAAATATCCAAATGGCCCTTGGCAGAAAAAAATCCCCACTCTGATACAAGTTATTGTCTGTGCTCTTGGGGGTTCTGTGGGTGTGGGAGAGCACCCAGCACCTAGCTGATGTGGTGGGTGGAGCTGAGTGGGATGAGTCTGCCTCCCATCCTGGGAATCCTTTTGTTGCTATTTTGCCCCAGGACATTTTGTTATGAAATTCTCTCTTCCATTTGTATATGGTATAATGAATGTGATATGAAAACTTAATAATAATTATGTATCTTTTAATATTTTGTTGACATCCACATTCTCACATCTTGTGTGGTTATTGAATTGGTGCAAGTAGCAATAGCAACCAGGGAACCTTTCAAAGAAATGATCGCTTTTCCTCCTGTTCTGTATCAACAGGAAAATGTGGAAGGTGCAGAATGTAATATGTGTCGAGCAGGATCATTCTATTTGGACCCAGCCAATCCCAAGGGTTGTACCAGCTGCTTTTGCTTCGGAGTAAATACTCATTGTCATAGCACACACAAGCGAAGAGCTAAGGTATGTGAGAGTCTGGGTGCTTGCATTTGCTACAGCGGTTCCCTCCTCTTCCCAAGGGAATGTGTTCCAAGGCCCCCAGTGGATGCCTGAAGCCACAGAGAGTACCAAACTCTATCTTGTGTTTTCCTATTTGTTTTTTTAAGGGACACCTAAAAGTTGTATGTATTTACGGGTTTCATATAACATTCTGATACATATATACATGTTTAATATACAGATCAGGAGAAACATTTCTATCTATATCATTTCTTTATGGTGAAAACATTTAAAATTCGTTCTTCTAGCATTTTTTGTTTAAAAAAAAAAAAAACACGGAACCTTGTTGTCAATGATAGTCACCCTATTGTGGGACAGAGCCCAGAATGCTCTCTCACCTAACTAGAAGGTTCTTTCTGTTCCTCGATCTCTCCCTCCTCCTCCCTCCCCAGCCTCTGAGCACCACCATTCTCTCAGCTTCTACGGGAGCCACTTCTTTAGTGAGTCTTTCACTTAACATAATGACCTCCAGTCCTGTCCGTGTTGTTGCAAATGACATGATTTTGTTCTTCTTCGTGCTTTTTTCCCCTGTTTTACCACAGACCTTGGCAACCTCAGCATATGATTTTTATTTTCTTTCCTGAAGTCGAGATCTTTTTTCCCTCGAAGGAAGTCCCATGTGGTGCTTCCTTCCCTCTGTAGCACATCCAAATGGCCAGCATCACTACTCTTATACTGGGGGCCGCTGTTCAGTAAAATACAGACTGCAGCACTGAGACAACGGACGTGGTGACCCAGAGACCGATGGAGAGGTAGCACAGGCGGCACGGGTGTGCTGCACGGGCACGAGCCACTTCCCAGACAAAAGGGACAGGGAGAGCGAGAGTGTGGGGAGCAACTCGGACTAGACTAAGTTACTGGAATTAAGACTTATTCTATGCATCTGCTCTCCCACAATATGGCGCTGAGAAGGGAGAAACAGCTTCTACACAGCTGCCTCCAGTTCAACCAATAAACTGTAGGACCTGCTCCTGATTGGAGGAGAGCAGCGTACTCGGCGTGTGGGTAGCAGAGTTGGGATTGGTGGAAGAGGACTATAAAGGAGGAGAGAGCCAACATGCACCGTGAACATCTAAGGGGAACACCTGTGCAGCCCCCGAGAGAGCCGGCCGGCGGTGTGCCGCTCCCCCGCGGAAGTGGGGAAGGTGGCAGGGGGAACCGCCCTTCCACGGAGGTGGAAGGGACGGTAGCCAACCCGGGAAGAACCAGCAGCAAACCCGGGGAGGGCCGAGCAGACAAAAGAACAGCGCAGGGTCCTGTGTCGTTCCTCCACGAAGACAGGGAGCGACAGAGAGATCTGAGCACGCTGCTCAGAACGCCACACACTTACAGCTCATGGATTGTTGGATTCTGGGATTTTCCATGCAGACAACTGGAACATGCAGCACAACTGGGAAGAAGGGAGCGCCAGTGTCCTGAATGAGAGGAGGAGTTGACATGGGCGGGGGGAGCTCTCCTTCAATCCCTGGTTGAAATGGTGGGCACGGCCCTCATTTTTCCTGGGCCTGCAGCATCTTCCCCATGGATGGCCTCCTGATACCTTCCCGGGTTCGTCAGCTCTCTGCCCGGATCTCAAGTGCTCAGCGGGCTTTCCTCCACGGCTCCCAGCCTCTCCCTGTGCCCCTCCCCTGGCTTTCCCTACACATGTATCATTTCCCAGCATATCACACATGCGATTCCAAGGCCTCTTTATTACCCACCTCCCTCCACCACCACAGCGTGATTCCTGATGCACCTGCAGTGCGTAGGACAGGCGCTTGGACATCATGGAGATCAATAAGCACCCAGGAGATGAATAGGGTTTGCAGTTTCCCCCTTAAAGGAAACCCTCTTTCTACACTCACAACACTTCTGACACCAATGTGTGTGGGTTTTTCTTCCTTTGTTTTTCCCCAAGCAGTTCTCTATTTCTCTCCAGATACCAGCTGGGGGGTGGGGAGGGTGTCCTACAGTTCTGTTCAATTCTGACACTCTTTGCCTGGATGTAGGGCCAGAATCTGAAGTCAGTAACACTGTTCCCACTTCAGATACCAACCACAAGTCCTGGACATCCAGTTTGGCTATGAATCAGGGCTTCCCCCAACCCCCTCCTCAGTCTGATAATTTACTATGACAGCCCTCTGAGCTCTCACACGTGGCTCACCCTTACTGGTTTACTATAAAGCATGCAGATGCACAGGTGTGCAGAGTGGGGCCCAGAGCGCCTGCACACAGGAGCTTCTGCCCCCGTGGAGTTGGGGTGAGCAACATGGATGTGCGCACCTGCCCAGGGGCTTTCCAGAACCGGCATTTAGCGTTGTTGTGGAGGCCCCGTTATGGAGCTGAGTTTGATCAAATCATCAGCTGTTGGCAACTGATTCCATCTGCAGCGCTTCCTCCCGCCCCAGATGTCAGCTGAGAGCCCCAAGGCTCTGTCTTGGTCTTTCTGCCCATCAGCCCTCACCTTGAAACTAACTAGCAAGCCGGTGCCGTGGCTCAATAGGCTAACCCTCCACCTTGCGGTGCCGGCACACCGGGTTCTAGTCCCGGTCGGGGCACCGGATTCTGTCCCGGTTGCCCCTCTTCCAGGCCAGCTCTCTGCTATGGCCTGGGAGTGCAGTGGAGGATGGCCCAAGTACTTGGGCCCTGCACCCGCATGGGAGACCAGGAAAAGCACCTGGCTCCTGGCTTCAGATCAGCACAGTGCGCCGGCCGCAGCGCACCGGCCTCGTTTGGCCATTGGAGGGTGAACCAATGGCAAAGGAAGACCTTTCTCTCTGTCTCTCTCTCTCTCACTGTCCACTCTGCCTGTCAAAAATAAAAAAGAAACTAACTAGCAGCCCCAGATACCAGTGCTCACATTAGCAGGCAAAAGGACACTCACTCCTGAGATGGGGGGGGGGGGTGCTGGTAAGGACAAATACTGTGACAAAAGATGCTCCTGTCCCCCCACCGCCACCCCCAGGAAATCACAAGGAATCTGGAAATCTGTGCCAGGGCCTGGGGACAAATGAAATGAAATAGCTGCCTCTTACTATATCAGCAATATCACCCCCTCATTTCTCCTTTTTCCTTGTTTTACTTGCCTTCTCACCTGTTTTACTACATCTTTTCTTTGGTCTCATTTTAAGTTAACTTCATAAAAGTCAAATTTTTATTGTCTCCATTATTTCACGAACGGGCAGTCCCATGCTTGCTCTATTTGTGTGAATCTTACATTTAACAAGCATGCAAATTAATATTATTCTATATATCTTCCTGCCTGCCTCCTAAATAGAGCCCAGGCCGGTAATTGGGGAAAAATTAGTTTATAAATCCAGTGTGAAATCTCCTCTCCCTACACCCAGGGGAACCGGAAGCGCGCGCCTCATCAGTTCTTTCTTTTCTTTGCCTTACAATTAAACTGCTTCCTTTGTGTCCAGAGAAATATTTAATTTTGATGCTTCATTTGGAGAAAAATAATACTGAGAGCAAGCCACTGGCTTCCACCTCACATCTTCCTCTCTAAGGAGCTTGCCATTACAATGCCCACAGCTGTAGTTATTTATACAGTTGCTTATTTATTATGCAAACATTCACGGAACACCTGCTAAATGTGAAGACCCAGGATGTGTGTGGCCATCCTAGCTAAATCCTGCCCTTGTTTGGTCACTGTCCCTGCGAGCCCTTAGGTTGTGATGGGTCAGATGGGGGCAAAGCGGGGCAAGGGCTCTGTCCTGGGCGTCCAGGGAGGGTGGGCTCAACAGGAGACACCGAAAGGAGAAAGGCAGCCTTGGACGCCAGGAGCCAACCCCACGCCCTTTCCGCCCTGAGAAGCCACAACTGCACATTGCATCCCTTGCTTGTGTGTTGCAGTTTGTGGACATGCGGGGCTGGCGCTTGGAGACGGCAGAGGGCATGGATGTGCCCATCTCATTCAACCCCCGCAGCAACAGTGTGGTCGCGGATCTCCAGGAGCTGCCGGCCACAGTGCGCACTGCGTCCTGGGTCGCACCCCCTTCCTACCTGGGGGACAAGGTAACGTGTCCTGGAGTTCTGGTGGACCCTCTGAGCAGCATTTACCGGGCGTCTGGAGGGAAGCGTCAGGAAGTACAGGCCTCTGACATTGAAGAAGTTAGGCTAACTAGCAGTGGAGAGGGGGCCCTACTCCGGGATGGTGGGGTGGAGGGAGTGGGGTGCCTGCCGCGCATGCGCTCACCTGCAGAGGCCGTCCTGCCAGGTGTTTTGCTTGATTTGTGCTTAACGCCAAAGGATTTTCTTCTAGACAAAAATAACCGGTAATGTGATGTCTGTTGTGAACGGGACATGTATGCTTTTCACTGCCAATGCTGGGAATTCTTTATTTTGCAGCAAAGAAAGCCTCCTTGTCAGGAAAACAAAAGCTGACAAGTGACTCATGGGCTTATTAAAAGCAGCACAGGACCCCCGCCCCCCACCCCGCCAGTTCTGCACGTGTGCTTAGTTAAGCCCTCCTGGGGGTGCTGCGAGTACTCTGGTTCCAGAGCCTGGCAGGCTGTACCTATTGTGAGGACAGAAAAGCAGGCTCCCTGTGGGAACCCGGTCATGTGTCACGCTCTCCTTAGCAAGGGCGGGTCTCTGGAGAAGGGAGTATTTCAGGGCGTGCCAGGTTCTCCCACTTAGAGTGACTAACTGCCAGTGCCCCGGGGGCCTGGGGTCTCTGTCTTCCAGCTGGAAGACCATGGCTGCTGACATCTGAGTGTGGAGAAAGCTGCTTCTCTCAGCCCACTCCTCTCCTCCCTCCCTCAGTACTCTCTGCCGCCATGTAGTTGGCCCCATGTGTTGGTTCCCTGTCGCTGTGTAACAAACTACCCCAAAACTGTGCAACCTAAAACTGCAAACAGGTATTATCTGGCACAGTTCCTGTGGATCAGGAAGCCGGCAGGAGACAGCTCCGAGCTGTGGCCCCGAGCTGTGGTCATCTGGGGCTGGAGGATCCGCCTCCAGCTTCCTTCTCCTGTTGTTAGCAACCTTTCTTCCTCACTGGCTGGTGGCTGGAGGCCAGTTTCTCATCACAGGCTACCTGTGGGTCCTCATGACATGACAGCTGGCATCCCCCAAGGAACTCATGGGGGGAGGGGCTTAAGACAGAAAGTGCAATCTTGTAGAGGTGGCACACTCTCAGCTTTGGCTTATTCTATTCATTAGAAGCAAATCGTTCATTCCAGCTCAACACTCAAGGTTGAAGAATGAGGCTTCACCTCCTGAAGGCAGGATACAGAGAATCTGTGGATGTGTGATTAAAGCTGCCTTCGCATACTGAAAAGGCTGTTGTGTTTAATCTCTCAGGAAGAAGCTTTAAAATGTTACCTTGGAATCCGTGCAGGCTCCGTGACCTTAGCTCTGTGAGGCGTCCCCACGTACAGATTCCAGAACACCTGCATGTTGTTTGCATTTCCCCCACAAGGGTGCTTTGGGCTCTGTAGTCTGGGCTGATGTGGCCTCTGATTTCTGTCTTTCCTCCTTGGCTGATTTCTACTTGCAGGGTGGGAGGCATTAGCAGAGAGATGAAGCAGCTGTCAGAAAGCCACGACCGTTCCCCTCTGTGGCCCCACCACGATCCTACTGCTCCCGTGGCATTGACAGGCCATCGTGTCCCGAAGCGGGGTCATCAGTCCCGTCTCTGTACCCAGCAGAATTCGTGGCAGCTTAGGACAAATTTACCATCTGCTTCAGGAAACTCAATTTAAAAAAAAAAAAAAATTATTTTGAGAGATTCACTTTGTGACTGGTGGGTAGTACCCAATTCACTCTGTTACATAAGAAACCAATGGCCTGATTTCTCAGAATAGCTCTAGGTAGGTAAACATTTTGATTTAGTAGTTGTTCAGGAAACAAGGATCTGACTTGTTTCAGTATGATTCTCGTTTTCTGTTTTAATAGAAGCATCTTCTTGCTTACAGAACTCAATCATGTTCATACCAAACATTTTAAATGTTACAAAAATGGATAAAAGTAGGTTAAAATCCGAGGGTACTTCAAAAAGTTCATGGAAAATGGAATTAAAAGGAAAGTTTATTTTGGTGCAAAAGGTAGTTTTTTCCTAGTACATATTGCCCATGAACTTCTTGCCCTGGCCAGCCTCAGCCCCACTCTCTGAGCAGGTGGAGTGTCATTCCAGACTTTACGCCCCCTGTACTTCCTGTGTGGTTGATGCTGGCACAGCCTCCTGCATTGCTTGTGCTGTTGATGCTATGTGTTCAATTTCAGGTGTCCTCCTACGGAGGCTTCCTCACTTACCAAGTCAAGTCCTTTGGCCTGCCTGGCGACATGGCTCCTCTGGAAAAGAGGCCGGACGTGCTGTTCACAGTAGGTATCATACCGTGGCCCAGGTGGCAGGAAGTGGTGCTGGTCTAAATTCAGGATGTCTTGATGTTGTGGCCCACAGAATGTGTGGACCAGGTTGTTTCTAATACATTTTTTAAAAAGATTTATTTATTTTATTTGAAAGTCAGAGTTACACAGAGAGAGGAGAGGCAGAGAGAGAGAGAGAGGTAGGTCTTCCATCCGATGGTTCACTCCCCAAATGGTTGTAATGGCTGGAGCTGCGCCGATCCGAAGCCAGGAGCCAGGAGCTTCTTCCGGGTCTCCCACGTGGGTGCAGGGGCCCAATAACTTGGGCCATCTTCTACTGCCCTCACAGGCCATAGCAGAGAGCTGGACAGGAAGTAGAGCAGCCGGGTCTCGAACCAGCTCCCACATGGGATGCTGGCGCTTCAGACCAGGGCATTAACCCACTGTGCCACAGTGCTGCCCCTCCAATATTTTGTAGAAACTAGCAAGGAGGATGAGAGCATGTGCATCTCCCCAGGAGCCTGCTTCCTCCAACCAGGTAGCTCTTCCCCTCTGCCCTCCCAAGTACACAAGTGTGTTTCCCCCTGTGTCTCCTGAGTCCCAGCCTCATGGTAAACACGGGTGATGTGACTGTCTTTCCATGTAGTTTGATCGGTGCTTTTGAGTCCTTCCTGTGTGCAAGGCCACATTGCTGCACTCTGTTAAGGACAGGGGACTCCAGTCCTCAGAAAGGGGAATTAGGTGAAGACATTTAGCAAAGAGCTTAAGCCTGCAGTTGTATCAGAGTGCTTGGGTTTGAGTCCCAGCCCTGCTCCTGCCAATACATGCTCTGAGTGTCTGCGGTGATAGCTCCAGTGGTTGGCTTCTTGCCATGCACATGAGAGACCTGAATTGAGCTCCAAGCTCTTAGGTTTCATCTGGCTCAGCCCTGGCCATTGTGGGCATTTCGGAAGTGAAGTTGAGGATGGGAGAGAGTTTCTCCCATATATATATATATATATATATCTAGAGAGAGAGACAGAGACAGAGAGAGAGATATCCTTCCTCCCTTCCTCTCAAACAGAGAGGAATCAGAGCGATACACAAACACCTAAACCCACTGTGTAGTTAGGAGAAGTCCAAATAAGGCTTGTTGGAGCTGGGTCTGTCTGAGTAGGGGGCAGGAGTTAAGTAATATGAGAGACTCCCAGAAGGCTTCATGGGCAAGATTCATTTTGCGCCAGAACCTTAGGAATGGACATGGAGGGAGAAAAGCTAAGCCCTGGCAGAGGGGCATGCAAGACAGGAGGCTGGACTCCTGGGAGGCCCGGTCCAGCGTGGGTGTAGTTATCAGTGTGTGCCAGTCATTGAAAACAAGCTTGGAGGTGAAGGAGGAGGGTGTTTAATGCTGTGATAGGGTGATAGGAATTTAACTGCATAAAGACAGCAGGAGGCTGCTTTTTCTTTCTTTCTTTTTTTTTTTTTTTTTTTTTAAGTAACACCCACCCACTGTGTGCCTGGCACGTGATCCCCAGCTGTGATCTCCAGCATAGTTTGGAGCAGGACTGCTGTCACCGGCTGCTGATTCCCTTGCAATGCAAGGCACACAATACCGTGACCATGGGCCGTTGCACCATAGCCTGAAGCTGGCTCTGTTTCTGGATTACGTGCTGTGGTTCGTGCAACACGATCATGGCTTCTGGAAGGGTTTTCTTGCCTCTTTCACAGTAAACAGGCACCAGCAAGTCTCAGGCACCGCATCACCGCCGAGGGCCTCTCCTTCCCGATAGAGATCTGTGTTGAGGCAGTGTGGTGCTGTTCTGTTTTTATTGGTATACAAATCTGTTACATTATTGCTTTTAGAATTCCATGGAACCTTTGCAGAACAACTTGAAAACAAAGCAGCCACGAGTGTAGAGCTGTAGTGTGCAGATAAGCCGCAGCACAGCGGAAACTGTCACAGCTTCGCGTTTGTGCAGAACATCTCATAGTTAGGCCATTTGTTTGCCTGGTTGTTGTTGTTGTTGTTTTTAACATAAAAGAGATTATTGTGCAAACTATTAGAATTTACTGAAAGGTAATGACCAACATTTCTCCTTAATTTTACCTTCAAATATGGAAAATCATTTAGACTCATGAAACACACACCCTGCTGCTTTGCTCCAAACCACTGTAATTAAAAGCCTTGGGGAACATGCTTCTCAGATGAAGGTTTCCCTTGGTTTTGATTCCAGGAAATGCCCTTTTTTTCTGAAACACCAGCCCTGATGAATAGACACCTTATGGAGTTGGTGCTACCACAGAAATCTGGGCTTTTGTGTGTGTGTGTTTGCAGCAGGGTTGCTGGTGGTGGGCGCTGACCAACCCATCTGCCCTGCTGAGCAGCCCTTGTGTGTTGCCGTAAGGGAGTAGGGTGGAGGCTGGGAGGGAGCAAGGCCGGATCTACAAGGTGAGGGCTGCAAGCAAATCCCCACTTGCACATGGCAGTTCTGCAGCTCGTTGGTAACACAGGTGGCACAGTCAGGCTCTGCCAACCCCCTGCCCTTCCTCTCCATAACCTACCCACCAAACCCTTTCTTGCTATCACAATCTGACTCTGTAGGCAGTAATGAAAACCAAATGTGCTGCATTTACTGTAAAACATGTCTTAAAAATATTTTTCTCCAAACAGTGGCTCTTAGTCTCTCCTCTGAATTGAGCAACATGTAAAAATAAAATTTAAAAATGCTAGCATAAGGCATTTGGCCTAGCAATTAAGATGCCAGTTAAGACACCTGTGTCCCATATTGGAGTTCCTGGGTTCAATACCTGGCGTCAGCTCTGACTCTGGCTCCTGACTCAACTTCCCACCAATGCAGATCCTAGGAGGCAGCAGAGAGGGCTCAAGTAGCTGAGTTCCTGCCACCCATGTGGAAGACCTGGAATGAGTTCCCACCTTCGGGCCAGCCCAGTTCTGGCTGTTGTGGGCATTTTGGGGAGTGAGCCAACAGAGGGGATATCTATCTATCTATCTATCTATCTTACTTTCTCCTTCTCACTGTCTCAAATAAATGAATGAAAAATTTAAAATAAATAAGTAAAGATATATACATTTATAAGCATATCATATACCAAGTCTTTTTTTTTTTTTCAAGATTTATTTATTTATCTAAGAGGTAGAATTGCAAATAGAGGAGACACAGAGAAAAAGGTCTTCCATTGACTGGTTCACTCCCCAAATGGCTGCAAGAGCCAGAGCTGAGCTGATCCAAAGCTAGGAGCCAGGAGCTTCTTCTGGGTTTCCCATGCAGGTACAGGGGCAAAAGCACTTGGGCCATCTTCCACTGCTTTCCCAGGCCAGAGCAGAGAGCTGGATCAGAAGACGAGCAGCAGGGGCATGAACCAGTGCCCATATGGGATGCTGGCGCCACAGGTGGACGCTTAGCCCACTACGCTACAGGGCAGGACCCTTTTCTTTTTTCTATTCTTTTTAGCTACTTTTAGTCAAGGGAACTTTCCTGCTTTTCTATTTGTGAACATGCAGTATACTCTTATTATTCCATTTCCATGTCATCAATCCTTTTACAAGTCAATGAATTCTGAGATATTTTTTTAGAGCTAAGTATTTCACATGATGTAGATCCATTGAAATTGGTTATGAATTTTCAAACATCACAAGCAAGGCACTGATGGATTCATGGTTTTCTGTAAACAGGGTCGGCACATGTCCCTTGTCCACGAGGAGCCCAGTCACCCACGGCCAGACCGGCTGCATCAGGGGCGCGTGCAAGTGATTGAGGTAAAGGAAAAGCGTCCACGGCCTGGTTCTCAGTTCTCTGATTTCATGATTTCAGACAGTGGCAGATTTTTTAATGCTTACTTTAAGAAGAGAAATGTAAGTTATGCTTATATAAGTTTATATAGAGAAGTTTTTGAGCATTGATTATAGAGACTAAGAAGTAGCTGATGCTCCCGTGGCTTGGTTTATACTATCTTTATGGTACTTTGGCACTGTCTCTGATTTAATAGTTAATTAGCTTGGTCTTATAAACCCTGTGGTCTTGTAAATGCTGCAACATAGCTTCTCCTCATACTCAGGTCTCCTTCAGTACCTGGGACCTGGTCAATAGCCAACAAATGCTTGGGTTCTAGGTAAAAAAGCCATGGAAATGTCTTACATCAAAAGATATCAGAGCTCTCCATATTTGTAGGTTCTGCATGGGTGGATTCCAGCAACATATATTGAAAATACTCAAAAAATACCTATCCTGAACAAGTGCTGATATTTTTTTTCTTGTCATTTTTTCCTAAACCAGACAACATAGCAACTGTGTGCAGAGCATTTACTTTGGATATTCCTAGTAATATAGTAATATACTTTGGATATTCCTAGTAATTCAAGGTGACATAAAATGATGGGAGGATTGTGTTGGTATTATGCAAATAGAATGCCATTTTATACAAAGGACTTGAGCATCCACAGACTTGAGCATCCATGGGGGTGCTGGAGCCAGTCTCCGTGGATGTGGAGGGAAGACTCTATAATCAAATACAGGAAAACTAATCAGATCATAGAGTGTTTTGATACACCTATTTAATTAGAACTAGTCCTTAAGATTAGCATTCCATTTGCATTCTTAAATAGTACACTATTTTGAGGTGAAACTTTTGTGAATATTTTGGACTCAAAATCAGATTTTAACATTTCTGTCCGGATATAACAATACAATGAAATGCTATTTCATAGAAGAAACAAAATATTGATACCTCCTACAGCACAGATGAATTCCCATGGCGTTACACTGAGTCAAAGAAGGGAGGCACAGACCTCCCTGTGCCTGTTGTATCTGTGATTCTAGTTATGTGAGCGAGGTGCTGTCAGCAAAAATAACAGAGTATGAGCCTCCAAAAAGTCTCTCCTCCATAAAATCAATGAGAAAATTGACAAAACTGATCAGAATCAACTTTTACAGGATTCTGTCAATTAATCAAATGCTTATAGCCATCTGGAAAGAGCTTATTAAAAAAAATGGCTGAATCTGTGTAAGAACAGTGAGCGTTTGTGGTGTTCAGTTTGTTCCATTCCCATCCTTCTCTCTCCAGCTCTGCAGGAGCCTTGCAAACCAGCAGCTCATAACCACAGTGAACTCCAGCAGCCTGGCAGGTGCTAGAGGGTGCAGAGTGGGACTGGAGCTCCTTCAAAGCCTCTTTCCTAGAGAACTGTAATAATTTGTCTTGCCTGGAAGTTTGTTTTGAAGGAGCTGCTTACAAGATTGTCTTTATTTGACCTTGCTGGAGTTTCTTCTCTGGAAGTGTTATTGAAAGCATTTAGAGTTAATTGTTTAACTTCTTTGAGGGGATTGGAGCAAATAATAAATTTCAAAGCTCAAAATAAAATGCTGGGGAGTGAGGTGACTGTAGTAGCTTTGCAGAATTCCAGCAGAATTCTGGGATTGCAGAAGGCTAAATACTGTGCACACACACAGGATTGTGCATATGATTATGAAAGACCTGAGAAGACCCAAGCTCTTACCTCTGTCTCCCTGGGAGGCTCTGTGCAAGAGGAAGTGAAGGCTAAGGCAGAGTTGTCAGCTGCCTAGCTGAGAGGGGAGAGGTCCCCCAACATGCACACAGAGCCATTTTGCAAAGATTAGGTAACTTTTGGGTTCCATGCTTTCAAGGAAATCTCTGTCCAGTCATTTGGTGATTACTAACAAACAGGGACTCATAGGACCAAACATGTCAGAATACAGACTATATGGAATCAATCCAGAAAATTCACTAAAATAATAATAAACAACAATGACAACAATAAATCTTGGGGAATAAGGCAAAAATTATATAATTTTGAATGTCACTTTTCAATGAAATTATGAGAAATATGAAGAAACAAAAGATTTAGTCCACATAATGGGCAGAAGATGGTGGGGAACAACAATAAGTACACTGTCACCGAGTGCTATAGATTGAGTAGGACTCATCTCCCAAAAACTCATGATGATGTTTGAACTCTGGTCTCTTAAATGTTAATGATTGACAGATTAAGGGTGGAGTTAATCTAATTGTGAAATCTGAGAGATGGGTCTGCAGGGAGGTGTTTAGGTTATTTGGGGTGTGTCCTACGAGGGTGGTTCTTGTAGGAGGACTGATTATTTTGAATTTGTTTGTCCTAGCTATTCTCTCTCTCTCTCTCTGCTTCCTGGCTCACCATGTCATTCCCCTGCACCCACCATGACCAACCTCTATCAGACACCAGACTGTGGGTGTTACCTGCCCTGGTCTGTAACCTCCATACTGTGAGCTGAAATAAACCTTTCCTTTACAAGAAGCTCCTTCTGGGCATTGTAGTTAAAATAATGAAAAGTGAACTGATATAGTGAAGAAGACCAGATGTTAGACTTACTAGAAAATGGTTTTAAATGAACATTGTAAATATGTTCAAAAAACTGAAAGACATTATATTTCTTTTTTTTTTTTTTTTGCATTTTTTTTTTGACAGGCAGAGTGGACAGTGAGAGAGAGAGAGACAGAGAAAAAGATCTTCCTTTTCCGTTGGTTCACACATCCCCCCCCATGGCCACTGCAGCCGGTGTGCTGCGGCTGGCACACCGCACTGATTCGAAGGCAGGAGCTAGGTGCTTCTCCTGGTCTCCCATGCGGGTGTAGGGCCCAAGGACTTGGGCCATCCTCCACTGCACTCCTGGGCCATAGCAGAGAGCTGGACTGGAAGAGGAGCAACCAGGACAGAATCCGGTGCCCCAACCGGGACTAGAACCTAGGGTGCCGGCGCCGCAGGTGGAGGATTAGCCTATTGAGCCACAGCGCTGGCCAAGACATTATATTTCCATAACCAAAGGACAATTATGAGAATAATCTCTTACTAAAGAATATCAGTGAAAATATAAATACTATAAAGAAGAGTCAAATACAAAATCTGGAGTTGAACAGTACAATAACTGAAATGAAGAATTCACTGAAGGGATGCTATAGACTGAATCATGCCTTCTGCACTAATACATTGAAGCCCTAACCACCAATGTTGCTATGTTTGGAGTGAGGCAGTAATTTAGGTTAAATGAGGCCACTAGTGTGGAGTACTGGTGGGATTAATGTCCTCATAAGATGAGGCACCAGAGTACTCACTGTATCTTTCTGCCATGTAAGGACTCGGGAAAAATACAGCCATTGCAAGTAAGGAAGAGAACTTCACAAGGAAACAAATCAGGCAGTACCTGGATCTGGGACTTCCAGTCTCCTGTACTGTGAAAAAACAAATTTCTGGTATCAAGACTACTCAGTATATGGGATTTTGTTACAGTAGCTAAAGTTAACTAGGACAAGAGCTCAAAAACCAGTTTGAGCAGAAAGAAGAAAGAATCAGGAAACTTGAGGAAAGTCTATTGAGATTATGTAGTCTGAGGAATGGAAAGGAGAAAGAATGGGGAAAAATAAACAGATTCTCAAGGACACACAGAACACAGTCTAGTATATCAATTTGTGCATAATGAGATACAAGAAGGAGAGAAGAGAAAGGGAAAGAAAAAATGTTTTAAGAAATAATGGCTGGAGACTTCCAAAAGTTGACGAAAATCACTAATTTATACATCCAAAAAGCTCAATAAACTCTAAATAGGATAAATAGAAGATATCCACTCATAGATACATCATAGTAAAGATGCTGAAAGATGAAAAGCAAGAGAGAATCTTGGAAGCAGTGATTTTTCCCATGCAAGTAGTCCTCAGTAAGATTAGCAGTTGGTTCATCCTTAGAAACCATGAAAGAGGCAAAAGAAACACACCATCCACATAGAATTATGTATCTGGAAAAACATCCTTCAGAGATGAAGGAAGAAGCAACCAGAGTTATGGCATAGTGAGTAAAGCCACCACCTATGACACCAGCATCCCACATTGGAGTGCCAGTTTGAGTTCTAGCTACTCCACTTCTGATCCAACTCCTTGATGATGCACCAGGGAAGGCAGAAGATGATGTCCCAAGTATTTGGGTCCTTGTCATCCATGTAGAAGACCTAGCAGGAGTTCCTGGCTCCTGACTTTGGCCTGGCCCAGCCCTGTGATTTGGGGAGTGAACCAGCAGATGGAAGATAGATTGCTCTCTTTCTTTCTCTCTATCATGTATAAATATATAATTTATATGACAATAATAGCATAAAGAACAGGGGCAGGAATAAAACTAATAATAGATGCAAAGTTGTTATGTAGTGTATTAGGCAGGTTTTCAGCGCTATAACAAGATACCAGAGGTATCTAACTTTATATAGAGAAATAATTGGAATGGGCATTTGGCCTAGCAGATAAGACACCTGCATGCTGCATCAGAGTACCTAGGTTTGATGCCTGCATTCAGCTTCTGACTCCAGTTTCCTGTTAATGCAGGCCCTGGGTGGCACTGGTAAATGATTCAAGTCATTGGGTTTCTGCCACCCATGTGAGAGGCCTCGGTGGTGTTCCCCACTCCCAGCTTTCACCCCAGCCCAGCCTTAGTTGTTTTGGATAGTTGGGGAGTAAATGAGTGTGGGTTCTCTCTCTCTATTTCTCTCTCTTGCTCTCTATTTCTCTCTCTCTCTCTCTTTCTCTCTCTCTCTCTCTCTCTGGCTCTCAATTTAAAAAGCAGACATTTTATTTATTTTTTTTTTTTATTTTTTTTTTTTGACAGGCAGAGTGGACAGTGAGAGAGAGAGACAGAGAGAAAGGTCTTCCTTTGCCGTTGGTTCACCCTCCAATGGCCGCCGCGGCCGGCGCGCTGCGGCCGGCGCACCGCGCTGATCCGATGGCAGGAGCCAGGAGCCAGGTGCTTTTCCTGGTCTCCCATGGGGTGCAGGGCCCAAGCACCTGGGCCATCCTCCACTGCACTCCCTGGCCACAGCAGAGGGCTGGCCTGGAAGAGGGGCAACCGGGACAGAATCCGGCTCCCCGACCGGGACTAGAACCCGGTGTGCCGGCGCCGCTAGGCGGAGGATTAGCCTAGTGAGCCGCGGTGCCGGCCAAAAAGCGGACATTTTAAAGACAGAGCAAGAACAAGGTTTCTCAAGCTCACAGTTCTGGAGGTTCAAGTTCAAGATTGGGCAGCCCCATTGGCTTGGCCTCTGTGAGGGTGCAAAGGTAATGGTGGAGCCTGTGCAGAGGAAGGGGCACAGGGTAAGTCAGGAAGCAGAGAGAGCGGTTGGGCTCCACTTAGGCTTTTATAACCAATCCCCTGTGAGAACCAGTTTCCAAGGGAGTGCTCCCTGTGACCTCTGGACCTCCCTCTAGGCCCACCTCCCAAACACCATGATTAGATTAGCTCTGCATCCTTTTAGTACCATAACTTACAATTTTAAGGATTTAAATGCCTACATGGATTTGGGAGGCAGAGCATGTCCAAACCGTAACACATGCTATTGAAATTAGATTGTTCTTTATATAAACTGTTCAGCATGGGCAAATCCCTAGAGACAGAAAGCAGATGGGTGATTGCCCAGGACAAGGGAAAGGAATGAGTAGTGACCGCAAATTGGCACCAGGGTTCTTTGTAGGGTAATGAAAGTGTCCTAGGACTATATTATAGTTGCATACTTATATAAATTTTACTAAAACTTATATGTAAATTATTCCTAACGCTGTTAAAAATTGCCAGGGCCGCACTAGGCAGTAGCCAGGAGTCAGGAACTTCTTCTGGGTCTCCCATGTGGGTTCAGGGGCCCAAACACTTGGACCATCTTCCAGTGCTTTTCCCATGCCATTAGCAGAGAGCTGGATCAGAAATGGAGCAGCTGGGACTTGAACCAGTACCCACATGGGATGCTGGTATTGCCTAGCAGCAACTTCCTCTGCTTTGCCACAACACCGGCCCCTGAAAGCAGCCTCTTGTAGACGTATTTGCACACCACATTCATTGCAGTATTCTTCACAGTAGCTGAGAGCTGGGAGCAACCAAAACATCCACTGACAGATAAATGAAGGGAAATATGGTCTAAGCATACAAAGGAACGTTAGTCAGCCTTCAACAAGGAAGGAGTCCTGACAATGCTGCAATGTGGCAGAGACTGAGGACGGCGCACCTGGCTGAGGCGAGCCAGGCGCTGAGAGACAAGTACTGTACTTGCAGGAGGTATCTGAGGTAGTCAGACTCTTAGTAGAAGGGTCATTGCCTCGGCTGGGGGAAATGGGGCTGCTGTTCGGTGCCTACGGAGTTGCGTGTTGCAAGATGAGTGAGTTGGAGATGTGTCGAGCAACATGTATGTCACTCCCATGTCTAGTGTATAGTTACAAATGGCAGGCACGGTACAACTCGTGTTATGTGTTTTTTACTATAATAAAATACTGACATCCTGAGTGCATGTGTGAGAAAAAGTTGTGCATTCTGTCACTGTTGTGTGTTTAGTGACTGCTGTCATGACTCAGCTGGCTGCTGTATGCATTCCTTTCCTTTATCTTTCTCTTAAGTTTACACAGATACAAGTGCCGCCTACAATAAGAATCTGTCTTTATTTCTCCCTGTTCCCCTGGAGCTCCCCTCTCCTGGCTCCAGGAGGTTCCTCCCCATCTCCCTGTGGTTCAAGTTTCTGTGATTGCTTCTCTGCAGTCTGCCCCTTTGAACCCCCTGCACATGAACTTGCCTAAGGGAGCCCTCGCCCGTCTGTTTCCCCACGCAGGGAAACTTCCGACACGCCGGCAGCAGCGCCCCGGTGTCCAGGGAGGAGCTGATGATGGTGCTGTCTAGACTGGAGGGGCTGCGCATCCGAGGCCTCCACTTCACGGAGACACAGCGGCTCACCCTGGGCGAGGTGGGGCTGGAGGAGGCCTCCGACTCAGGGAGTGGCCGCAGGGCACACCACGTCGAGGTGTGTGCCTGCCCTGCTGACTACGCAGGTGACTCATGCCAGGTAAGACAGTGCCCTATAGCCGACACGACCCCGGGGCCACTGTGTGTGGCTGCGCTGCCTGTTCTGGCTGCTGCCCTGCGCTGTGGGATGGTTTGGGGGCGTTCTGTCTTCTACAGGGCTGGAGCTTGTGCCTTATTAGACCACCTTCAGCAATAAAATGTCAGGTAGACCTCGAACGGCCTTCCTCCTCGCTGTCCCAGGCCTCCCTCCGCCCTCTCCTCTCCCACCCCCGGTAGAGTTGAATTCCAGAGAACACCCTGGATTCTTGAGCAGAACTCACTTTCGCTTCCTGCAGTTCCTCATTGTTCCAGGGCCAGGTGGATCTGAGATGTCTTCAGGGGATTAAAATGTGCTATAAAATGAAGCCGCTTCAGAGTACAAGCTACCAGTGCAAAGAGAGGAGGGAAAAAACACACTGTTAGGATAACTGCTAGGACACAGCAAACATTCTAAGCCTGTGGATACCATACCTGCAGCGTATGTGGACTTGACAAACCCTTTACTTTTTGCACAAGCTATTTCTGCTTTTGAAGCCTGCCCACCGGGACTGCTGTCTTGTGCATTTGGCCCGCTGGTAGCCTCCATCGCCCCCTCCCCTCCGTGTCTTTTCCAGCCTGCTTAAAATAGACAGCCCCGGGAAAAGAAGGGAGCCGGCATGACCACCTTCACACCCAGGGCGTGTTCTTGGCCGTGACTCAGCCTGTGATTTATGGCTGCTCGAGCTGTCTCGTGCTGTCTGCGGGGCGAGGTGGGTAGAAGGTGATGCCTGCCCCACCTCCCAGGAATTACAGAGCGGTGTGCTTCCCTGCGGGACTGTTACCAGCGCGCTCTGGCGCAGGCTGACTCATGAGTGAAGTTTAAAGGTGGGGCCCCTTGCCACGGTCCGCCTTCCTTCCTTCAGTCAGGCAGGCCCCAGCACTGAGCAGGAAGGGCAGGTATAAGAGGGAGAGGCAGAGGTTCCTGTGCACACACAACACAGCCAGTGCGGGACCAGGATGCCCCCTGCGGCGAGGCGGTCAGCCTGGAGCTCCGGATGGCTGTGGGTTTTGGGGGCAGCCTTGGGGCAGTGTTTGGGATACAATTCACAGCAGCAAAGGGTAGAACGCCTTCAGCCTCCGGGTCAAAGTCAACTGCAAGCAAGCTATGCGGAGTTTAGACCCAGCCAGGTAACATCCCTTTTAAGTTTTGCTTCTAGATGAGGACGGGTTCCCAGCTTTGTGACATTTTGAGTTCTGGTGATTGATAAGTCAGTGGGTGGGCTGGGGGAAGGGCTGACAGCCTCCCCACGGTGTTGACTGGCAGTGTTTATTACAGGACCTGAGAGACTGCTCTCCAAAAAGGAGCTATTAACCACAAACCCCATGAACACCAGCGCACCTGGAAATGCCCTAGAGATGTTAATGTCCCAGGAAACATTGTGTCCCTTAGACACTAACCTTAGCTTTCCGACAGAAGAGTTCAGTGCCTGTAGGTTCCCAAATTCTGCTCCAAAGAAGATTTACCCACGAAGTAAGGTGTAAGAAACAATTAAATCCATGCTTAAGAAAAGTGATCCAAGTTTGTACAACATCTAAACAACAGGCTTCAGTTTGCAAGGGGCAGACTATCCAAAAATGCTGCTTTCTTTAAACTCTCTGGGTGCTGCATGGATATTGATGGATTCTTAGAAACAGATCCTACCGAAGCTTGAACAGCCCTGGAAAGAGAGAGGGATCTGATTTTATCATTAGCACTACAAAAGGCTCCTGGGAAAGGTTAACTTGAAAAAATATTGCTTTGGGAAAACTTAACTGCATACAAAATCCTTTTACTGAAATAACATACAAGGATACATTCATTTTTCACTTAAAGAGGAATTCTTCAACCTCATCTGGATTTTATGTAAAATAGGAGTTTGTTGCTTTCTAGGAGTGAAAAATGATTGAATTTCAGTAACTGACACATGCCCTGCAAGTCACATGATACAAAACTCTTAGAGTTATTTTTTCCTGCTTTTAATCAGAAGCAAATGAAGACAAATGACTTCATTGTATTTCGAACAGACTATTGTCCCCCAGCATGTTTAATTAAGGCTCTTACTCAGGCACGTTGTCATAAACTCACCAGCTGTATTTGTTTATTGGAGTAATTTGTTCTCTGCCAAGTATGATTATCGTATAGGCAGGTAATGCGGTGTGCGGGGTCATTGTAAGGCAGGTCTCACGTCCTAGAAGAGATTATTATTTGTTTGTGGATCTGATTGCACCGTTCTTGGCTGGATCCCGCTCAGAGGCATCTAACAGTTGTGCTTTCAGTGAAAGAACATTCCTTTCATACTTCGATTCTCCCTTGGACAAGCCTATTCACATAACACATAGGTAATCTGATTTCTTGCAATGTTCTTTTGCCTACACATGGTTCCTAATAGATGAAAGGAACGCTGTATTGGAAATCATGGTCTTGTGCACGACCAGTTTTCATTGGTAACTGTGGAAGAAGCAGCTGGGAGTGACTTGGAGGGTCCTCCCTGGGGGCACCTGAAGCACTCCCCTGACCCCCAACCACATGCTTCTTCCTCTTTTCCACCTGACCGGGTAGAGACCTTTGTGGCCAGGAATGAGTCAGAATGGGTTGATCAGTATTTCCTTTCACTGTAGCCTCAGAGTCTTACAGACATTAAAGAGGATTGGATAAGATTATCCTGCATCTTGGAATATTAATTTTTCCTGATAGTTTAGTGATAGGGAATATTGGAGATTCATGTAAGCAGTAAGGGCAACATCTGATTCTAATTTATGTACCAATTAACTCTGCTGAAATAAAGAACCTGTCTACAAATCTCTTTAAAGACAGAAATCTGAATAAGTTTTGGATGGCTGGTATAAGAACCATTGCTTTTTCTTTTCTGTTGGAGGCATTAATGAGATTCATCCTAAAAGGATACCAGCACATGAAAAGGAAACTGTAGTTCTTTTCATACAAAAGAGAAATAATAACTTGTATTATTATGCTGGAAGGAGACAATATACTAGAGATAGAGAAAAAGCAATATTGAACAAGAAAACAAGACCAAGTCAACACAGACTCCCTCAGACTGCATCTGCGCTCACTATGGAGCAAACATTCTGGAACATTCCTGAATGTGAACCCAAGCACCTCCCCTCTTCCAGGGCTCCCTGTAGCCCACAGAAGAGTGAGTGGCAAGGAAGTGATTCCAAAAATTCTACTATGGTTGTGTAGACTCTGATTAAAACTCCCCACCACCTCACTCCTTCTCCTCTTCCTCCTGGACAGCTCCCCGACTCCCCCAAGCCTACACTTGGGGAAGGGGCAGCTCCCAAAGAGAAGTTGAAGTGATCTGTTCAGGACTGGGGTCCTCATCCTCTGGACTCCTCTGTCCCATCCACCCGGCTCCACAACAATTGATGTAGAAGGAAAAATGCCCACTCCCACTCTCCACCCGCACTCCTCACCCCACGCCCACTCCCTTGGATTTCCCCTGCCAGCACATGGAGACAAAGCAAAAACACAGGTGGCTGGGGTGCAGGTGAGGAATCCACACACACTGACTGAAAGGCAGAAGAGAGGAGTGAATTGCTTCACAGTCAAAATTGTCACCTGCTTTGGATATAACTGGTTTCTTCTTTGTATTGATTAAACACTTTGTTTGAAAAACAGAGTTGTAGCTCTGGATACTATCGGGATGCCAACGGCTTGTATGCTGGACGCTGTGTTCCCTGCAATTGTCACGGACATTCAAATCGATGTCAGGATGGCACGGGAATATGCATTGTGAGTAAATTGATGTTCTGATGCTACCAGCAAGCCATCTGTTTCCTCCCCATGCCCTACTCTGCCTTAAGACATTGTGTTACATCTCCCATCAAACTCCAAATAGCCCTGTATATGTAGGAAGGTCAGTGTTATCAAGCTGAATTATGTATTTTACATTTCATCTTTCTTTTACCTTAACAGGCACCATCAGAAAATAACACCTGTCTGAACAATTACACCTTTGCTTCTAAATCCCTGCCTCATTAAATATTGAGAGGTGGATATTGAGAGGTGGATCCTGGGACACAACTCTTGCCAGGGTGTAATGAATCAGTCCCTTACCTGGGCCGCAGTTTTATTGTGGTGGGAGGAGGTTGCGAAGGGGGGTTGCCACTATCAGAAGAGCCGCAACCCAAGGAAGCAAGCGGGAGAGAAGGGGATGGAGAAGGGCTTCCAGCTCCTACTCAGTCGTGCAGACACAAGCCTTCCTCCATTGCCAAGACAGAGAGGGGTCACTGGGAGGGGAGGGCTTGGGGGAGGCGGTGCCATCTCCTCCCCTTCCTCGCAGCATTCCCAGGCTGTACGGCCCTGTATTGACTTCTGTTGTTTCTCAAAGCCTCAGGCTTTGTATAGATTCATTACTTAAAAAAAATGATCTGATTTTAAAATAGTTTACAAAATTCTCTCCACTGAAATTCATTTCCTAGGAGTCTTTTTCTTTCCTCTCCTGAATCAGAATATTTTTTATTCTGTTCCATCATCCCTTCATCAGAGTTCCCTTCCTTGGTGGCCAAGGCCTCTCCAATGAAGGGGAGGGAGGGAGCATCAGGACTCCCAGGAACAGAGCCCCTGGCTGTGTTGTGTGCTTTTGTGACAATGGCCTGTTCTGGCACGGATTTCCTTTGCATTGTGTGATGCAACTCGAGTGTCTTTCAATTCTTTGAGCTCCTACACTCTATGAAGGCAGCTCAGCCTGTCCCAGAGAGCTGCTTCCTCTGCAGGATGGGACAGGCCAGGACAGGAAACTGTTACAATGGGGCATTTGGTAGGATTGTAACCTTATAAGTTCAAAAGGAATGACAGATATTGAGAAATACTGTTTTTCAGCTCGTAAGTATTCCTATGTCACAGTGTATGCTTGAGACCACATGTTGTGTGTAACACAGGTAGATGCTTTGATGAACAGTGTTTATCTTGCCACTGACACATTCTAGAAGTCAAGTCCTCCTCATAAAAACTGCCAAAGAACAAAGGGAGTTTTCTCTGAAGTCCACTTACCTAGTGAAAGTCATAACTCGGAGTTTAATCAAACAAGATTTTCTTTCCCCTTCCCTTTCTCCGTAGCTGTGGGCACTAGTAACCCATTTATTCAGGAAGCCCTTAGGAACCCCCTACAGAGTACGTGCTGTTATGCCAGGTATTAAGCTAAGTGCTGGGGTTAAAATCATCACACATAATCCCTACTCTCAAGAGGCTTGCTGTCTAGTGAGGAGCGTGCAGTGTGCACACCCATATGCATACGTGTGCCCCCTCATGTGTGCACACACATGCAGAGCCCATGCTACACTCAAAGGCAAGTAGCAGGTGCTGATGCTGTTCAGAACTGTATCCATTGTGTGGAAGCCAAGGAGATGGGCCTCGTTCTCAGGAACACTACTGAGCAACCCAGTACCTTTGAGCTGCAAATGAGTTTTCAGACGAAATCCACTACAAAGAGACCTCCACTTCTCAAGGTGTAAAGTAAATTTCTAAAGTCGAGGACCTTCACGCAGGTGCAAAGCTCCATGGCATTTTGAGAATCAACTCTGAAAAAGCAATGTCTTTGCTGGCAGGTAAAACAGCATGTGTCCAGCTCCAGGGGTGGGCGGCCGACTTCCCCTTCTCCGCCCAGGTCCCAGGTCCCGGCCTTGCTGCCTTCTCCTGACTCAGCTTTCTCCCCACATTTTCTCCCTTCTTCCCAATTCCCCTGCCTTCTACTGCCTCTGTCACCCCTTCTACCAATGTGTGGCCGTATCTTCCTCTCTGTCCCCATGTCTGTTCCCCCTTCTCCTCCCATCTTCTTATTCCCTAACACTCAAGCCCACCTTCTGCATTTCCCGGAATGATTTACCTGAAACTCACGGCTGCCTGGCACTCTCCAGAGGCTGCTGGTGGAGGAAGCCCTCGACCCTCAGTGCATCTCGGGGCTGCTGCCAGCTGCATTCTGCCACACTGCACGTCAGCCTCTGCCCTCCCACTGCTCCTCGCCTTGTCCACTTGCCACCATGCTAGTGCAAGACTGACACTCTGTACACTGTTCTCTGCACCTGCAATGCCCTCCACTCACGGCTCCACCCAGCTAGTCCCTCTGCTGTCCTCCAGGCACCCCGGGCACCTGCAGGAGGCTCTCCCGGGGCTCTGGAAAAGCCTCTTGCTCCCAAGGGACGCTGGCTCAGCTTTGCCGCAACACATTTTCCATATTGCATTGAAGTGTTATTTACAGGGTTATATTGCTCCTTCTGAGTCAAGGTGCCAGCCCATCTTTCATCCCTAGAAACTTGCACAGTTGGGCAAATAGTAAGTGCCCATTTGGTGCCTGGTGTCAAATGGAGCTGGGGAGCACATGCCATGGGAGTGTTTGTAGGCTCCTGTGGTATTCATTCATTCATTCATTCACAGTGGGACACTAGGAAACACGATCGGTAGATGTCACAAGTTTGCAGGTCATGAATACAGCTTCCAGGGGAGCTGCCCTCAACTGAGAGCAAAGGATCTTGCAGATGCTTTTATGGGACTGATTTAAGCAACACAGGGCTGAGCCCCTCCTCCCCTTTCCTACCTGAGAACGGGCGGTGCTCTGAATGTTTTCAGTTGCATGAAATGTCCCCAAAGCAACCCTTGCTTCTCCATGTTCTTGTTCCTCCCCTGTTTCCAGCTCCAGGAACAATAGACATAGAACTCAAACACAAACGTGCAGACTTGTTCTCCTTTGAAATTGTCATTTGGCTTTAAGAAAAAAAAAAAAAGGCAAGGTAAAGGGGAAAGGTAATGATCAGCTGGAAAGGGTGGATGTTTTGAGAGAGACTCAGGGCGCCTGAGCCAAGGACAGATGCAGGTAGCAGTGGTGTGTCATCTGCCCCAGCCAGAGCTCCCCGACACGGTGGACAAACCACAGGGTGAGAACTGGGCACAGGCGGGTTCTCTCTGGTGGTGATCAAAGTGAATGTGTGAGCAGCATCCTGCTGTAAAGACCCTCCTCATTTTCTAAGCTTCCCAATCCATATATTTATTGCATCATTTTTTATCCAGAAAAAAATATGAAACGGCGTCATACTAGCATCATAGTTTCTTTATAATTCTGTTACTCAGTGGTTCCTGGAGGACAGGTTTGTTTAAACTGAACAAAACAGGTCCTCTTGTGATACGTGTGGATATTGTTTACCCAGCCTGGCTTCAGACATTGCTTTAAAATTCATATCCCTTAAAGTTTCCTACTCAAGAACCACTTCTGCATACAGAGGTAAAATTCATCAACAGATTTTAAAAATCATACTCATTCCAAGTCATTTAATTAATGCATAGTATCTCTGAATGATCAAATGTCCACAGCAAGGGGAGATTTTCTGAATGTTTTTGTCCATGTAGATCTTTAGTATCAAAGCCACAGCAGGTATTATCAGATTAAAAATTCCACATAATGAATTAATTCAACACAGCCCATTAGGCTTTGGCTCAAAAGAACGCTTGGTTGCAAAGTTGCATCGTTTAAACACTTTCCCAAACAACTCTCATTAGACATTGTCTTTGGCATGAAGATAATTGGATTTACATAAATAAAATGCCTCAGTAAAATTCATTTATTCTTTGGGACATAAGTTGAGTGATTTCTTCAAAAACTATGCAAAGTTTTATTTTTACAAATTCTGTGGTTTAAAAACTTATTTCCATGTTATTGCTCTTCAGCATATCAATGTTAAGGGAAATAAAGGAAAATGAAGTTACTTTTCATAGAAGCAGTTCTAAAGGGAAGAGGGAAAAGAATTGATGTTTCCCCTGGACCTGGTGCACTTTACTTTTAAAATCTTCCCAACACTTTTGGAAAGTGAGCATTTTCCTAACTGTGCATTTAAGAAAATTACAATTGTTTGTGATTCTGAAGTCAGCAAAATTGGTTTATAAAAAAAAAAAAAAACTACAGAGCTCAGTGAAGGAACGTGCCCACAATTGCACAGCTATGAGACGTGAGAGTGGAGTTGGGACACAGCTGTGTCCACTGCATCAGGCTACCTGAACACCTGATGAAAGGCACCCGTCCCTGTGATCTGATAGACGGGAGCCATTGCTGGTTAGCAACCCGATGTCTGTGCAGAGTCAGAGGACCTGACTGTGGGTAGCACAGTGACCTCCAAAGCCCTTGATGTCCCAGGTTGCAAGTAACTCTTCCGCTTGTCTGTCCCAAGAACTGTCAGCATAACACCGCGGGGGACCACTGTGAGCGCTGCAAGGAGGGTTACTATGGGAACGCCGTCCTCGGACACTGTAGTGCCTGCCCGTGTCCTCACACCAACAGGTACTGTCCATGCTTGAGAAAGAACTGTAGGGACCGGAAGTAGCTTGGCGGTTGCCGGGGTCTGGGCGAGGGGAGAGGGACAGTGGTGGAGATGGCAAGTGCCTGCTGACGTTACAAGCCTGCTTCTTGGGGTGGTACATGTGGTCTAAAATGGACCGTGGTGATGGTTGTACAATTCTGTGACAGTGCTAGGCCATAGAGTTGTACACCGTACATGGGTGAATTGTACAGTGAGTGATATAGCTCCATAAGGCCCTTACGCTTTAAAAACCACAACAAATAGAAGTAGTCTCTCAAGTTGTGCTCCTCTGGCCTTTTCCTTTTCCTCTTCTTTTTGCTGGTCGCTCATGGTCACACAGTGATTTTCTGAGTGTGCATCACAGCAGGCCTTCAGAAGATGTTAAGCAGGGGCCCGAATGAGGGGATGGAGTGAGCCAACCTTCGGTCTTAGCCAAGGGCTCTCACATAAGGCTGGTGCAGAAGGGAAAAGCCCCAGGAAGAGGTGTTCAGAGATGAGAAGGTGAGGGGCTGGAGTGGGAGAGGAGAGCAGCGGACAGCCCAGGCTCAGGTCCTGAGACTTACAAAGCATAGCATGGCATCTGGATTGGGTCATCTGTATAGTGGAGCCTTGGGGACAGTGCCCAAGTCCTGAGTGACATGATCGGAGCTGTCCTTCAGGCTCCAGTGTAGCCGATAAGACTAGGTAGGTAGGAAGTCACCAGTGTATTCTCACGGCAGTCCATGTTCTCCTTGGACTTGGGACCTTGTCCTATTCTTGCTCATCACAATACATTTGCTGTGGGATCCAAGCACAGAACCACAAGGAAGACAACCAAGGGAAGCAAGGGTCAGTGTGAGAATCAAGCCCCCATAGTGGACAAGCTCGGAGACAAGGGTGAGCCCCGGAGGCAGCCCTGTTAGCTGCCCGGCATCAGGCTTGCCGAGGCTCTGGTCGCCAGAAGTCAGTGCCCAGCAGAGCTACCTGTAGTTGCATTTCTGGGATGCTCACCAGCTTTGCTCTCCGGTGTTTGATCCACCACAGCCTGTCCAGTCCTGCAGCTGCATTTGTGGAGGGATCTATCACCTGATGCTTGCCCAGACTTGTTGGAACAGCGCTGGCAAGAGCAGAAGGCAGTACAATTTCCACGGGGTGCTTGCCAAAAGCTTCCCATTTTTGGTTGTAGAGCGTGTTGTTGGCTTCCGTGAAGGTAAAGGGGCACGCGGTTGCTCAGGTTGAGCAATAAAACCCTAGGCTCACCCGAGACTCCTTCCAGCTATACTGAAGCCTTGCACGGCTGCTGGTTGCTAGCTGTCCCCAAGAGGTGACATCTGCATCCGTCTCATGGGACTTCCAGTAGGAAGCCCCTTCCCAGCGTCCACCCTCAGGTGTGTGACAGTGGCAGGGTCAATGGACAGACTCAGACACTTCACAAAGCAACAAGGGTTTTCCATGGTCTTTTTGTTTAAAAAAAAAAAACAAAAAACAAAAAAAAAAACAAAAAAAAAAACACCTGCTTCTCAGCTCCATGTGAGTTTGGAGCAGGGGTGGGAAGCGCCCAGCCCACTGGCTGCATGAGACCTGTGAGATCATTTGGTCTGGCCCTGCCAAGGCAACCGCTGGCGGGACTCGAAATTCCATAACTCCATAGCAGGTTCATTTTTAAGTTAGTCATTTTGTAGGGCCAGCAAATGATGTTAGAAATATCTAAATGGCCCCTGGCCAAAAAAAAAAAAAAAAAAAAATTCCTCACCCCCTGGTTTAGAGCTAAAAGAAAAGGGATCAAAATTCTACAACGTGGCCTAGAAAAATATACAAATCACCACTGACTGTACCCACAGAAATACCAAGGCAGGCGGGCCGGCCCTGTACTCCATTCTGGGCACCACGAGCCCAGGCACCCCCCCCCCCCCCACACCAGCAACTTTTCTTCCCAGAAGGCAATTTACGTGCACGATATAAAACCACTCATAAACAAGGAGACGAATTTTTAGAAGAACCAGAACTCTCTGTTCTTCTTTCTGCCTCGACTTGTTTTATTCCTTGCTTGCTGCTCCTGGAAAAGTGCTGTTGTAATCATCTCTTCCGCGGTGAGTTACTTTGCTCTGTCTTAAGGGAAGGAATGCATTTCTCCAAGCCAGAAATGAAATGAACGCCTTGAGTCCTATGCGCCACGATTTGCCCAGTGTCAGCTGAAATAATTCATCATTATCTCTACAAGTCTCGATGGGCAACATTTTCCTCACACAAAAAGGAGCGAACTCCTAGCTTTCAATTTTCCCTTCGCACCCCGCCAGCCCCTGGGATGGACAGCCGTGAGCAGAGGCTCACAGATGTCTGTTTTCACTGAGACCTCTTGTTGTCTTCTTGCAGCTTTGCCACCGGCTGTGTCGTGAATGGGGGGAACGTGAGGTGCTCCTGCAAACCCGGGTACATGGGAACTCAGTGTGAGAGGTGGGTCCGACTTCCCCTTTCCCCCACAGGTGGGGGAAGGGCAGGGCAGGGCATCGGGCACCTGGGCAGTGGGTGGGGCCCTGCTAGGTGCTGGCTCTGAGCTAGGGGTGGGGCTAGTAATCCTGAAGGCTGGAGGAAGGTGTCCTGGGACAAATACAAGACAGCTCACTTAGCGAATCATTAACGTCCTGCTCTTTCTTGCTTGTGTGTGTCAGAAAGCTGAGAATGAGGCCCGACATAGGGACATACCACACATGGCCCTGTGCACCGCCCAGCACCCATTCGTGTGTACCCAGCCTCCTTACACATCATCCCTGCTGCCTTCCCCCCATTTCTACATCCCCTCCCCCCAACCTGATTCATCCCCCTCCTCCATGGTTGTTCTCCCTCCCCGTGGAGACTCATTTCTGCGTACCCCACCTCCCCTGTGTACGCATGCCTAGTTACCTGTACGCACATGCAGCTCCATATACTTCTGCACACAAACACCCACCACCCCAGATTTCCCTGCATGCCCCACAACTATATTTGGAATTCTTTCCAGAACAGTATGCATTCTGTTTGTTTCCGAATCCTGGTGCCTTGTGTTGTCAGGTAGATGGTTAAGCAGGAGTGACTAGGGAGGGGGCCAGGGGCCCTGCTGTCTGCTGGGAGCTACCCAAGACCACCCACTTGGCAGGTTAGCTTGTGGCTAAAGCGTTCTGATAAAACAGGAACTCAGCCAGACCAGAAACTTCTAGTTAGGGCACATGCTCAGTAGGAAACAGTTTGACACCGGAGCAACCTTACTTCATTATATGATCATTAGATCATTATAACATAATTAGCATTGTGGTTTTGCGCCCCACCTCCACCCCCGCACTGGGGGCATTCCCAGTACATGCTGGGAAGCCACATATAAAGTGAGGTCAAGGTGTGCAGTTCCCAGATGTCAATCAAAAGTGCCAGTCGTGAGCATCGCAGCCACTTCACCAGTTACTGTCCCTCAAGCCCAAGCCAGGAAGACAGGCTGCCATGCGCTCTCTCTAATGTCCCATTCCTGCTTCTGAGCATATTTCAATGAACCTTTGGTTTGTCCCCACTTTCATCTCTGAACAATAATTCATTACTCCACCAGCGAAAAGAAACCAAGGCAAAGCAGCCACCGCTGGTGATGGTATGGTATTGTTCAGTAATATTTGTGAAACGAAAGGATAGACAGTAGAGTGGAAAAATGTAAAAATAATTATTGAGGGCCATGAAGCCAAGCTTTAGTCTTCATGGTCATGTTTTCTTGTTCAGCTGCTTTGCATAGGGCACTGCTGAGTATCATGAAACAAAAGTACTTAGAGTCTAGTGGGGAAAAATGTATTTGTGAAAGTAACAAGAAATGAATTATATTCTTACAATATTTTCAAGATATCTTAAAATTTACAACAATTTTAGAATAGAATTAACCCATGTTAATCATAAAAATGACATAATAATGCTGAGCAGAGAAACAGGTTCCCTCCACACCCCTCCAGGGCCCCTTTACACTTGTATGTGTTCACATTCGGTCCCATTCAAGTCACTTTACCCACAGAAAACCATTGTTGAAAGCTTTCTGGGTATTCTTTTTTTTTTAAGATTTATTTATTTTACTTGAAAGTCACAGTTACACAAAGAGAGAAAGAGAGGCAGAGAGAGAGAGAGAGAGAGAGAGAGAGAGAGGTCTTCCATCTGCTGCTTCACTCCCCAATTGGCTGCAATGGTCAGAGCTGTGCTGATCCGAAGCCAGGAGCCAGGAGCTTCCTCCAGGTCTCCCACATGGGTGCCAGGGCCCAAGGACTTGGGCCATCTTCTACTGCTTTCCCAGGCCACAACAGAGAGCTGGATTGGAAGTGGAGCAGCCGGGTCTCGAACCAGCGCCTATATGGAATGCTGGCACTGCAGGTGGTGGCTTTACCTGCTATGCCACAGCACCAGCCCTGCTGGGTATTCTTTCAGATCAATTCTATGTGCATGGGCTTTAAAAAAAAAAGGGGCAACAGGAGACTCCTATTTTACTTTGCTTAATTATCTCACCCAATGTTATGTTAGTAGTCTCTTTCTGTTTCAATAATATCATGACAGTGCCCAATGTTCAAATAAAAACTTGAGACAAATTAGATTTAGCAGCCTGTAATTGAGCAAATAATAATTAACAAACCCAGCAGCACCCAGAACCTGGAGAGCGCTCCACTGCAGAACATGGGGAGACAGCACTGATGGGCAGAAGATGGAAGGGAGGTACGAAAACAGCTCAACTGGTTACCGCTGAGTGTCTGAGCCATTTGAACATGGTCTGATCTTGGCCACCTGTGATTGAAATCTGGCTGCTGATTGGCTGAGACTCAGCTATTTGTTACAAAAGCATGCTCCTATGTGAAACAGCTTTCAGTTAGTCTATGGACTAAGGTCGCAGTTCATTATGTAAGGACTCAAGTACAGAGGCATTCTTAGGCCAAACTTAGTGTAACATCCCCCATAGGGCATACTGGCACCACAGACAGAGGCTTAACCTACTATGCCACAGCACTGTCCCCCACCCAGTAACCTTTTTACTAATTAGGGAGCACAGGGTTTTCTGTTTCCGTTCTACTTTCTGAAATGTAATAATTTCCAGTGAACCTATTATAAGATGAATATTTGATCATGTCTTATATTGATAGCTACCCTTTATTGAATGTCAGTTGTGTGCAGACATCGTGCTAGGTTTTTACTGCATTATCTTTTGTAGCCTTAGACCTCTGTAGCTATTATGCATTCTTTCATTCATTCAGCAAATGATTATCTGGCACCTAGGCATATATCAGTGAGAAAAACAACCAAAGAAATGTCTTTTTGGAACTCATATTTTCATGGGGGAAGTTGATGAAGAAACTGAAGTTCAAGGGATGTGAAAATAGCCCAATATCACACCACTAAGTGTAGAGACAGGGGTCCAGCCAGACCTTCCTGATCCAAAGCCCATGTCCTTTCCATTACATCGCCATTGTATTCATCACTAAAGTGCATTAAAATTGCCTAACAGTTTTTTGATGCAAAGTTTTAAATTAGAGGAAAAGGTTAAATCCTATATTCCCTTGATTCTATCAGTTCTGTTGATGATAATACATCAAACATCAAGTTAAGGACAATTTGGGAATGACTGGGCAGGGAATAGAAATTTGCTCATGGACACTGATACCCCAACTCCAGAAACATTAACATGCATGTGTTATAGTTCTTAAAAAACAAAATCTAAGAATCCAGGAAATACGATGTTCAGACCTGGAAGTCAGGAATTGAGTGCTTGCCACTGAATTATCTAGAGTACCTTTAGTACTGAAAGACAATGGCAGCAGCACTCCCAGTCACTCAGGCTCATTATATATGCACTTGCAGCAACTGGTGCAAAGAGGAACTATGCAGGCTTGAAATAATACAATAGGAAGGATAAAAAGAAAATCTTCGTGCAAAATATGAAACTATATGAACCTTTACATTTGTTTCTATAAGGAAGTTAGCTTTGAATTAAACAACATGTGTGTTAGATCTTCAGGAATGTAAGTCTCACATGAACTTCAACCACTCTTGATTTCCATATGGGTCAAACCATTGGCCCCCATGTGCGTTTTGTTCATCTGCTATTTAGCCATCATGGTGTTTGAGGGAAGGAGAGGAGCAACCCCCGCCTGCCTCCTGCCCTCACCAGGCTCACTCTTGTGTTAAACACCATTTTAATGTTAAATTGCCAGGGAGACACTTTCTTGCAAGGCAGTGCAGTCTTCCTCCCATAGAGTCACCATGGCCCAAACAGGAAGCTAAAAGTTCAGGGAATTGGGTAGGATAAATAAGGATTTCTTTGTATCTTTCTCCTCCTTTCTGTTTGTATAGGTGCGCACCAGGATATTTTGGGAATCCCCAGAAATTTGGAGGTAGCTGCCAACCATGCAATTGTAACAGCAATGGCCACTTGGGCAGTTGTGACCCCCTGACGGGAGGTAAGATCCACACACACCTTTGCTAACCTGCATTTATGAGACTGGTATAAAACAACAGGCTAAGAAGCCAAGCCCATGTCTTCAAGAAGCTTCCTACACAATCCCAGCTGACAAATTGCCCCTTGTTTTGAAAACTCTGGGAGTGCTTAGCTGGCACTTACAGTTGTGAGAATAACTTACTGCAGTTGGGAGGACGTTTTAAAGTAAATTGTTTCTTAAACCCAACTAATTAAAGCTAAAATAATGTCAGACCCTACTTTTGGTGATTTTTGCTGAGATTTTCCTTTGACATAGCAGGGTATTGTCACCTCATCTATCTTCATGAGTGCATCTAAATAAGTCAAAATACTCTTGTGGCAATACAGATGTTGGGGGTATGGACATGCTTTTTACATACCAAAGGAATAAAATTAGTGGAGGTTGCTATGTGCTCATCAGGGGCAACTCAAAGCAAAAAGGAGAGCTAACCTTTTCCCTCTTGGAGAATATTAATATGATTTTTCAGGAAAATGCAATGTGTTACCCTTAGATAAATCTCTCGTAGTTAGTGGACAAGATGAAGAACTAAACCCACACGTGTGGGTTCAATCTGAGTGATCATTTCTGAAGGAATGCAGGGTAAATGGATAAAGGCCCGGCTAGAATGGGCATTTATTGTTGTCCGGACTGCATCCTCAGCTCCATGTTGTTCAACAGTTGTGACTTGGATGGAGTGACAGAAGGCATGCTTGCCCAGTTTTCAGATGACACAAAGTTAGAGAGGATAGCCAGTGCCTCCATGACACATTCAAAATGCAAAAGATTCATGTTTATGAGAATTTCACACTTAAAGTTTTGCTGTGGCAAAGCTAGATAATTTTGTAGAGGGAAGAGAGAGGGCATATTAGTATGAAAACATGTGGTAGGAGAAAGAATAGAAGTGGTAGAAGGAGAAAGTATCCAAGGATGACCACAAGGCCCTCCTGACTATAGCTGAGAACCTCAACACCCAGCTGATGTGTGTGTGCCTGTCTCTACACAGCATCTGTTGAATTGTGGGACTGTTCAGCCGCAGGGCACTAGGGGTTTTGTCTTGTTCCTTTGTACTTCTTGCACTTAGCACAAGGCCCCATCCCACAGTGTATACACAAAGGTACTCAATGAAGGTTTGTTCAGTGTACTTGGATGATATTGGAAGAAGCGTGAACATGGAGGAGGCTATGCGATGAATAAAGCCTGACACTAATGGTTAGGAGATTTCCTTGATTATAAAAGCATGGCCCTCTACAGTGAGGGACCTTGGTGTGGAAGAAAGGGAATGTACGAGCACGGAGGCCACAGAAGAAATCCCAGCAGCAAAGCCTGCTGGGAGATAGGAGTTCCCTGAGCAGTGGCGCAGGAGAGGGAGGGAGAAGAGCGAGCCAGCAGCGCTCTTGGATGATTGGATGAAAAAAATCTTCCAAGATAAACTTCCCTGAAAACCAGGCTAAGAAACAGAAGAAGAGTGAGTATCTTCTTTGGTTATTTTCTGATTTCAGATTGCATCAACCAGAACCAAGAACTTAAAGACAGCAGCCCAACAGAAGAATGTGATGGTGAGAAGAGGAAGCCCTTACCCCTGTCCACTTTGGGGGGCTTAGTTTAAGATCTGTGAGACCCACGCTAGACATGTGGTGTCCAATCTGGGAAGGCGACGGTGGAAGGAGGCGGGAAGAGCACAGCTTGAGGTCAAATCCAGCCTCTGTTAGCCACCGGCTGACTTCCAGCAAACAGCCATTACTTCTCCAAGCCATTTCTTCATCATCTGTAAAACAGACCACAGCCTGAGTGCCCTTAATCCAAAAATGCAAAAATGCAAAACCCCAGTTCTCCAGAATCTGCGACTTTGGGAGCACTGACAAAATGCCACAGTGAAAAATTCCACATTATAAAATTTTGTTTCGTGCACAAAGTTATTTAAATGTATATAAAGTGCACAGAAATAAATTACATGTTTAGATTTTGTCCCTATCCCCCAAATATTATATATATGCAACTATTCCAAAATCCAGAACACTTGATCCCAAGCATTTTGGATAAGGGATACTCAACCTGTAATAACTAAATCTAGCTTATAGGACTACAAGGAAAATGCTTGTGAATGCCCACCACAATGCCTGGTCAAGTAGCAAGCACTCCACAAACAAAAGTGATTTATTATTATTTTCCCAAATACAAAATAAGCCATAAGTTGCACAGAGCCCTCCTTGTATTTCCAAAGGCTTCCCGTGTGTAGGGCTCTGCTTTTCTTACAGTCTGTACCCCCTGAGAAGGCCAGGCTTGTGGTTTCAGCCTGCAGCCATCTGTGTGCATGTGAACTGGGCTACACGGCCCTTGTGCCCTCCTTGCCTGCCTGCAGTTGTAGCCTGCAGCACTTTTGCCTTTGACTGTGGCCCCTGCAGATTGTGACAGCTGCGTGATGACCCTCCTGAATGACCTGGCCACGATGGGTGAGGAGCTCCAGATGGTCAAGTCGCAGCTGCAGGGTCTGCGTGCCAGCGCAGGTGCTCTGGAGCAGATGAGGCGCCTGGAGACCCAAGTCAAGGAGCTGAGGGTAAATGACCTGGGGGCCCAGAGTGGAGCCCTGGTGGTGGGAGGAGGCTGCAGGAATGGGCAGGAGAAGGGAGAGGCTGATTCCACTGATGGCTCCAGGAGGCTGCAGGAATGGGTAGGAGAAGTGAGAGGCTGATTCCACTGATGGCTCCAGGAGGGGCTGTTTTCCTTCTTTCTCTTGTCCAAATGAAGACAATTTTACTGGTAGAAACTGCTCATACTCATGAATACAGAGAGCTAACACTTCTAAGTGTTACTCATAGGATCACCAGATATGCCCAAGGAGATAGAGAGAGGGGAAACCTCCACTCACTGTATGAGCCTGCAAACATTTATTCAACAGATAAACAATGGTGGAAAAAGACACCCAACCAAAGCAGCCACCAAGACATGGGTTCACTTCAGATAAAAGGAAGAGGAGGACAATCAGAACATTCCTTTGGAAAATAGTATCCATTAGAAAGAAGGGAAAGTAGGACAATTGAGGGGTTAGGAATCCACCAGAAATCAAACAAGATGAGAAATCAAACAGTTATAAGAGACCCCGTTGAAAATGATGGAAGGGATAAGTATACTCATGGATGTTAGAGACTTCGATGGATGAGATAAAGCCTAGAGCAGACACAGCGGAAGAGGCCTTGGGAAAGTTTAGTGAAGTGTGTTTGGGAGGAAGGCTGAGTCTAGTGGCTGTATGTGAGTGTAGAACAGAAAGGCCATTCTAGAAAAATGGCTCTTTTTAATCCCTTCAGGGTAATTTTAGTCCATGGGTTATGGACTTGATAAAGAGGTGAGAGAAAAGCACGCCTTTACGTCTTGAGGACGAATGACTGCGTTGCGCTGATTCCTTGCTGCAGCCTGCACTTTCCGCACGTGTGCTCTGTGTGGGGCTCCGCTCTAAGCTGCTTTCTGTGCGCCTCGCCACCTCCCCGTGAGGAAGAGCGTTGTTTCTGTTTAGCACACATGGAGAAGGTGCAGGTAGTACATAGTGGTTCTGGAAGAATTCAGAATCAAGCCTGTGCTTCACCCAAGACTCCTCATAAGTGTTCTACTAACACTTCCACAGGGTGATGTGCCTCAGTGTCTATTATAACTAGTAGAATTCAAATAAAATTATCTTCTTGCTACATCACACAAACACTGATAACTCTGTAGGAGCGAGTGTGAGACAGGAACAGACATTTTTGATTGCTCAGGTACGTGGCATTTTAGAACATGCTAATTCACTTAGCACCAAAACCCACCCTACAGCTTACCGTAACAATCCCCAAGTGACTGCAGAAGGGGACAAGGGTTAGGGGGCTCCGAGACCTAGGCTTGGCACCCAGGCTTGTGGCTCTGACATAGAAATGGAGAGCATAGTAGTATCGTTTTTATCTTGTCAACTTTTTCAAGATATTAACACTTTTTTCCTAAAGTCTTGAAAATAATCACTGCTGCAGATATTATATGCAGCAATATCACCCTCTCAAAGCAATGAGGCAATTTAGTCTTATGACAAGGACAGGGACCCGCAGCCGTCGCCAGCTGCACAGCCATGGCGAAGTCACTCAGCTCCTTTGGGCTTTCATCCTCTCTTCATGACATCAGGTGTTCTCCACCCCGTGAGCTGTGACTTCCTCTCCAGCTCTGTTAGATTGGATTATTTGAACCTAATGTACTTTCAAGAAAGTAGCCAGAGGTAACTATCAGGTACATAAAGTAGCATTTCAGGTTAACCACAGGTTTTTAGTATTGCCAGCTTAACCCTAGCTTTTTAAAAACTTCATTTGTTATAGAACCTGGAAATGAATAATCAGGTAAGTAGCATCCCCCTCCTGTCTATAATGGGTCACTCATTCAAGTAAAGTATCTTTGATCTCCCAGATTTTACATTTTACAAATATAAAGCAGCAATGTAAAAGCCATCCAATTTACATCATCTCAATTTACATTAGAGAGTGGATTCTCCATGTTCTACTTCACAGAATCCATTTCCCCTGTGGACCAGACATCAGTCTTACTCAACAAATGTTTTCGTTTTGTTTCCACCTCTACCAGATTTGGTGGGATTTAGCCAAAGTGTCTAGGCCAAAGTGAGGTTCACGTAGGGTTTTACTTTCAGAATCGGTTGCTCAACTACCGCTCTGCCATTTCAAGTCATGGATCAAAAATAGACGGCCTGGAGAAGGAACTGAGTAATTTGAATGGTGAATTTGAAACTCTGCAAGAAAAGGTAAGGTGTTAATCACCTTGACTTTTTTTTTCTCTTACTTTTAAAATATGTTTTCTTTTCTCCATCCACTTAAGATACTGCTTATTAATCTATTATTCCTCTAGGCTCAAATAAATTCCAGAAAAGCACAAACGTTCTATAACAATCTTGACCAGACAACCCAAAGAGCAAAAGAGCTGGACACGAAGATTAAAAGCGTCATCCGGAACGTGCACAGTAAGGAGAGTCGCTCAATCCAGTGAAATGGTTCTCTTGTTCTTACCTAGCCCTTGTTGTGTGCTGGGAGAATTTCCCTTTGAGTTCAGTATTACGACAAAGATCCTGTAGCGCTACCAAAAACTAATATGAAACCTCCATAAAGTTCCTGCCTTTTTTTTTCTAATAGTCTGCTGGAGCCCCAAATTCCCAGTTTAATCAACTGCACATTGTTTTCCAGTTCTCCTGAAGCAGATCTCGGGGGCAAACGGAGAAGGAAACTACTTGCCTGCGGGAGATTTTTCTAGGGAGCTGGCTGAGGCTGAGCGCATGATGAGGGAGCTGCGGAACCGGAATTTTGGAAAGCACCTGAGAGAAGCAGAAGCTGAAAAGAGAGAGGCTCAGCTCTGTAAGGATGCCCCAATTTATATAAATCTATATATTAAAATTTTTTAATTTATTTTAGTTATTGTAAGGCAGAGACAGACAAAAACCTCTTATCCTCTGGTTTGCTTCCATTTGGTGCAGGTTGAAGCTGGGGGCTAGAAACAGTCTAGGTCAACAGCGAGGGTTGCAGGGACCTATGTAATTGAGCCGTCAGCGGTAGCCTCCCAGGGTGTGCATTAACAGGAAGCTGGAATGAGAGCAGAATCAGGACTTGAATCCAGGCACTCTGATATGGGATGCTGGCATCCCAGCTGCTGCTTTGACTGCTATACCAGATACCCACCCTTGGAGACTTCAAATCCTTACACCTAGTCCACTCTAATTGGTTTGAAATATGATGTGCAAAGTATAAGACAGAGTTCCCAGTTGCAGGTGGAAGGTCTCCTCACTTCAGCAAATATTACTGTTACAGTGTCACATGATGATAACAGGTAGCACCCCCTGGAGACCAAGAGTATTTTCTCTAAGTGACCAAGAGGCTGTAGAAAATACCTTACTCATCATGCAGTTAAAAAAGTTCTTCTCCCATGAGTTTTATAGTGATAACTTTTTCCTTTCTAACTTCATTTTGATTCTCTGACATTCATTCATTCATCTCATTCCAGTTTTCTCATCGTATTGTTTTGTCATCTTAAAAACAGATTTTTGAATCACAAATCAATATTAGCATTACTATTACAAAAAGGTGGATATCCTATAAGTTAAGTGAATATATCTAAAGGTTTTGATAAGAGAAAATGTCTCATTAGTTCAAAACTTAGAAATATAAGGAGTCTTCAAACATTTATTATGTAAAAACCATGCATGGATTTCAGCATTTTTTGCACCAAGATAAGCTTATATTTTGACTCCCTTTTCCATTAACTTCTTGAAGTACCCTCAGATTAGCTCACTGCAAATTTTTATCTTTGGGTAAACTGATGCTTCAGTAGTTAATATATATATATACATATTTATATGATATATATGACATATATATATATATCATAGTTTTCTAATCACATTTGTATTGTTCAAATATATCAATCTCAGCCTTTCACTGTAGGAGGTAGTATTCTGGTGGAAGGAGCATACTCTGAAGTTCAAGTTCCAAGTGTGACTGGTCATGGAAATTGAGTTGATCCCCTGCTTTCTAGAGACCTCCATTTCTGAAACATGAGTGTGATGATTGCCGTCTGAGTGGCTGTGGAAGCTATATGAGGCAATGCATGCAGTGCACATAGTAGGTCTGCATAAGTGTCAGTTTGGTTTCCAATTCACTCAAAAGTTCAAGGAAAATCATGAAATGAGCAGAAACTCAATGCTCCTTCTGTAGTCTTTATAATTTAGCTTCATTATATTCATCTCTCAAGAGAAAAACATAATGTGGTATATTCCAGTGCTGAACCAGATAAGAAACTGGCTGGCAACCCACCAGGAGAATGGCAATGGACTGGCTAAGAGTATGTGGGATTCATTAAACGAATACGAAGCCAAACTCGGTGACCTACGGGCTATGCTGCAGGAGGCAGCTGCCCAAGCAAAGCAGGCCACTGGCCTCAACCAAGACAATGAGGAGACATTGGGAGCCATCAAGGTGAGTTGACAGCTGAAGTCCCACACCTGCATTAGCAATAAGGATGAAGGGAGCAGGGATCTCTATTGTTATTAAAGTAGCACAGCCAGGTCCCTTCCCACGTGTCTGGTTGTACCACATCAGATCCTGATCAAACAGGGATGAGGCATTAGATGCAAAACCTAAGTCATCCCTATGCCTCAGCTACCAGAAATGGTTGTGAACTTAGACCCTAGACCATGCTGTGAAAGCAGCTTTGGCCTCACCTCTAGCAGGAAGAGTATTGGAGAAATAGTGTTCCACGTAGATGTGAAATAAATAATACATTTATTATATATAATAAATTATAAATATGTAATAAATAAATAATAAATTATATAATTATTAATAAATTGCAAGCATACATGATATATTTTCCATTAATGACTTTGTATCAGATCTGTAAATGCCATTACCACACCCACCAGCAGAGGGATCTTAAGCCATTACCTGCTTTATAGGTAAGAACTGGAAGTCCAGGCCACTACTGAAGTCACAATGACAGAATTTCAAACTCAAATTTTAGAGTTTATGCTTTTGATAGTGAACATCATATGCTAAATCAACAAAAACGTGAGAGATTGTACAATGATAGCGTGATCAGAGTTGAGTAACATAGGCCCAATCCAAAACAAGGGAGCAAGTCAGTCAATGAAAATAAAGGACCTCAGCAAGGTGCCCGAAGGAAGCCCCCTGAGGCAGTGTGAAGTCCCTGACTGTGCCAGCGGAGGGAGGGAGCAGGACGCGGCTGTGTGTGGCAGCCCTCTTGCCTGGCCTTCTTGGGGCCTGTGTTCTCACATTCAAGTGCCTGCTCTGTCCTCACTGCGGCTGGCGTGTAGCGTGTGCCGAGGGTGGGTCCTGATTGGAGTTCAGATGCATCACCTGTTCCACCAACCAGAGCCCAGGAATATGTCCACCACAGTGGCTGACTTGCCTCGCACCCGGTGCAGCGGGGCCGGGACTGCCGGGCGGGCACACGGTGTGACCCTGCAGAGGCCTGCGTGCCCTTCACTCAGTAGTTGTCTACACCATCTTCGGGTTCAAGAAGACGTTCTGCCTCAGAAGTTAGACCTCTGCTGTTGTCTGACAGATGCAGCCGTGTCTTTTTGCTAACGTATGCTGCAGCTCAAGCAGATCTCCTCTCTCTTCTCTGCAGAGACGCGTGAAAGAAATCAGCTCCCTGCAGAGTGACTTCACCAAGTTTCTGACCACTGCAGACTCTTCTTTGCTGCAGACCAACATCATGCTGCAGCAGATGGAGGAAAGCCAGAAGGTAGTGAACACTGCTTGCTCTCCAGAACTTCTAAAAATATTTCACGGATATTGCCAGGAAATTCTGAGATGCAATGACCTTGTTTTTCTCCTTGACTATACATCTTTTAGATGAAAAAGAATATACCAGAATGTGAACAATGGCATTACCTATTTTGTTGGCAATGAGCAAATTGTTTTTGTCATCACAAAATATTGCAGTGCTATTTTTTTAGAATATCAAGCATGCTTGTATTAATAGATGACATTTTGAGCTTGATAAAAGATTGACAAAATGTATTAGCAACCCAGGGAGTATTTTGAAAGTATCTTTTATGATAGCTCTTTTTATATGATAGAAAGGTCCCTTGGTTTAGTAGACCTTGACATTGATGGTGACACGGTACTTATATACTGATACTATAGGGAAAATGTTCAAGACTCCGGTAAAACCTGGAGGGATATTATCAGTGCCACTATCTGAAGTAACCAAGGGTTAATTGGTATGGTAAATGGGCTTGAAAATAGAATTTCTCATGGTTACCTTCTTGAAACACTGTTTATGAGAGAGTTTCAGAAAACGGCATATACAGTCTTTGAATTCATGCTGTTTTGTGTGCTTGTAAAAAACAATAGGAATATGAGAAAGTTGCTGCCACTTTAAATGAAGCAAGACAAGAACTAAGTGACAGAGTGAGAGAACTTTCCAGATCCACCAGCAAAGCATCCCTGGTGGAGGAGGCAGAGAAGCATGCGCAGTCTTTACAGGAGCTGGCGAAGCAGTTGGAAGAGTGAGTGTACGGCCAGGGCGGTCCAGTGGTGCGTGTTCCCCAGAGCCATCCGCAGCCAAGCCAGGTCCCCCAGTGGGCAGGCTGGGTCTCTGGGACAGGGTGGTGGTGAGGGCAAAGCTGAAGCCCCACCCAGGACCTGGTGCCCAGGACTGAACCAGACCACCAGTGAGGGAGCTGATTCCCAGTCGCATCCATGGGCACCGTGAAGGCCACTGCCTCTGGTCTCTGCTTGCCGAGAGAATGGGGAAGATATGGGGAGAGCAGCTGGAGGAACTAACCCCCCGTCCCGCCCCCAGGATCAAGAGGAACACCAGTGGGGACGAGCTGGTGCGCTGTGCCGTGGACGCTGCCACTGCCTACGAGAACATCCTCAACGCCATCCAAGCGGCCGAGGATGCCGCCAACAAGGCCAGCAGCGCGTCTGAGTCCGCCCTCCAGGTGCGCACCTGCCCCGGCGGCGTCTCCAGATTCACTCTGGAGATGGTTCAGCTTTCTTATTCTCTTTCCCTGTATACTGAGGGATATAAGCAAACATTCTTTTAAACCTGAATTTGTTACATAGAATAGACTTGAACTTGCCCCAGATAGGGGTCTTGTAAGTATTTCCTTGGCTGTTGACTGAAAACGTTATTTGTAAAATTGAGTAAAAGTCAAACCAACTACCTATTTTGAACCTCAATAAGTACTCCAACCTGCAACCGACCAGGGATGTTTAAGGTTGTATTTAAGCATTGACTATTCACCAGAAAGAGAGAGCTCTGCTCCCGATGATCAGGTCTTAAATCTGAGCATTCTTGCAGTCCTCTGGGATCCTATATGCACCCAATACTATTCTGAGTTTTGAAAAGAAAGACAGAATATCAGATATCACAGCTGAGTATCCAGGCCTTTTGGGAAGACTGAAGACCCTGTACCAAAGCTGGAAAGCCCAGCAGTAGCCAAGTGCTCCCTGCCTCCATTGCAGGCAGCGCTGCACGCGTGTCAGTGTGTCACCACCGACCCAAGCCACAGATGTCTACCTGGAGCCCTGTCTTTTCTTGACCTCTCTACCTCCAACCCTATCCTCCTATTTGAACGTCATCCTCTAAAGATTAAGGGTTTCAGGCCAGGATGAGTAAGCTTAACTGTGTATTTCCTGAGCTACAGCATTTGCTGAAGGCTGATAAATGCTTTGCTTTCAGACGGTGATAAAGGAAGATCTTCTAAGAAAAGCTAAAGCCCTGAGTTCCGACAGTGATCAACTGCTAAGCGAAGCCAAAAAAACAAAGAAGAAGCTACAGCAAGGTATTGGGGTAAAGTGGGGGTGACAGGGACAGTCAGAGGCCTTCAGTGAGCTGTGGGACCAACAGGGGCAGCCTCAGCAGCAAATGCTCCTCTGAAATCTCAGTGTCAGTGTGCACAATGCTTTGAAATCCATGATGTATTTTAACAATGTCGTTCATCCCCCGATACTGTAAAGTGCCCCACACCATCACATAGGACACTAGAACATGTCTTGAAAGTGACAGGCTTCTTTTGGCCTGACCTTGAGGTAGCGTTAATTTAATCTACTATCAAGATTTTTAGTTTTTTTTTTTTTAATTTTATTTCACTCACTTATCAAGATGATTTATTTGGGGTCATTTTAACAACTGCTTAAAGTTGGCTGGCGCCATGGCTCAATAGGCTAATCCTCCGCCTGCGGCGCTGGCACACCAGGTTCCAGTCCCGGTCGGGGCGCCTCTTCCAGGCCAGCTCTCTGCTGTGGCCTGGGAGTGCAGTGGAGGATGGCCCAAGTGCTTGGGCCCTGCACCCACATGAGAGACTAGGAGAATCACCTGGCTCCTGGCTTCAGATCAGCGCGGTGCGCCGGCCACGGTGGCCATTGGAGGGTGAACCCACAGCAAAGGAAGACCTTTCTCTCTCTCTCTCTCTCTCTCTCTCTCTCTCTCTCTCTTTCTCTCTCGCTGTTCACTCTGCCTGTCAAAAAACAAACAAACAAACAAAAAACACAACTGCTTAAAGTCCTAAAGTCTTAGCAATTAAAAGTAACCAAAATTGCTAATACTGGGAAACGTAAGAATTATTTTAAGCATAAATTTTATCTCTGGAAGACTTCCGTTTGTCTTTAAAAGGAAAAGAATTAAACAGATTTAAGCTCACTGTGTTCCTGTGTTCTGAAAATGCTGTCTGTTGAGTTTCTCATTTCTCGTGGTCGTCCGTGGCTGAGCCTCAGTCTTCCCTCGGCCTCCTTGGCCTTTCAAGGGGATTGGATTTTGGCCTTGGAAACACCTGCCTTCCCCCGCCCCTTTCTCTTTCCTTCCTGCTCTCTTTCCTTCCATTCTCGTTTTTAAAAATTAGAAGCATGGAACATAAAATACAAAAAGAATGTGTAATCATCCCTCAGTATCCACAGGGACTTGGTTCCAGACTCCCGAGGGTACCGGAATCCATGACTGCTCAGGTCTTTTATGTCAAATGCTGCAGCATCTGCACACAACCTAAGCTACGCTTTAAATCATCTCCAGTTTGCTTACAATACCTAATAGAGTGCAAATGATCTGTAAGTAGTTGCTATATTGTTTAAGCAACAATGACAAGAAAAACGTCTATACCTGTTCAGTACAGATGCAATTATTTTTCTCAGATATTGCTGGTTGAATCCACACATGGGAATCTGCTGATACAGAGGGTCATTTGCCTAGCAAATTTCAAGAATTAAGATTTCCTGGTATGAGGGCTGGTGTTTCGCCAAGAAGATGCCTGTGACCAATATTGGCGTGCTTGGGTTTGGTACTCAGATCTGGCTCCCAATTCCAGCTTCCTGCCAATGCAAACCACTGGGAGGCAACAGATGATGGCTCAAGTAATTGGGTCCCTGTCACCCACATGGGAGACCCGAATGGAGTTCCCAGCTCCCTGATTGGCCCTGCCCCAGCCCTGGCAGTTTCAGGCATTTGAGAAGTGAACCAGCAGATAGGAACTCCCTCCCTCCCTCCCTCCCTCCCTCCCTCTCTCCCTCTCTCCCTCTCTCCCTCTCTCCCTCTCTCCCTCTCTCCCTCTTTCCCTCTCTCCCTTATCATCCCCCCCCTTTTTCTCTCCCTGTCAAATGCATAATTAATTTCTAAAGGTATCCTGTCGTGACATCTGCTGTCTATGCAAGATTTGAGTTTAGATGCAGGGTGAGTGCTTCTCAGTGCTTGGGCTGTCATGTAAACCAGTCCTGGAACCGTAATTAAAGTCATACCTCATCAATTGTGATGATTTTCTACGACCAAAGATAGCAACATTATCAGCTAGGCATGTCTGCTAGCTTCTTCCCTTTCATGGAACTGTAAAATGTGTCAGCTTAGAAATGAGCAGAAGCAAACACTGCCCACTCTGTGTCTACATCTGCTTGCATGAGGCGCTCTCAGCAGCACTCCTTCTGCATAATTCATTTGTTCATTCATTCATTGATGCATTGATGTGTACAGCATGTATATTCCAATATTACGCCTAGGCCAGACACCACACTGTGTGCTGGGACACGGTAGTGAGTTCAAGGCAGACACATCCTTCCATGAGCAGTCTGATGCAAGGGTAGCCCTCCCCTAAGTTCTTCAGCCCCTCTCTGTCTTCCTGTGCGTTTCCAAGGAGCCTGTTACCAAAGGCTCTGGTGAACTTTTGGCCTCTGTGACCTGGGGGTGCCAGGACTGTGGGCTGGGCATGTACATTGGGCATCTCTGGGATGATCCCTAGCATGCAAGTCTGCTCGATGCTTTGCAGACACTGGCTCCTTTGGAGAATCCCAAATGCAAATGGAACATCTAAATCCACACAGTAATTTTCTCTTGGTGCTTTGTTTTCTTGCAGAAATCAACCCAGCTCTCAATAACCTAAAGCAAACCTTGCAGATGGTAACGGTTCAGAAAGAACTGATAGACACCAACCTCACGGCTCTGCGTGCAGAGCTTCACGGGATACAGAGAGGTCAGCATGTCCCCGGCCCCCAGCACTTGGCTTCTTTTCTTGAATGTCCTAGATCCCTGCAGCTCCCTACTTGTGTGTGCTTTAGGGGACATCGATGAGATGATCAACAGCGCAAAGAACGTGGTCAGAAAGGCCGATGACATCACAAGTGAGGTTCTGGACGGGCTCAACCCCATCCAGAAAGATGTGGAGCGGATTAAGGATACCTACGGGAGTACGCGCAGTGAAGACTTCAACAAGGCCCTAACGGCTGCAGATAACTCGGGTATTGGGCATTGGGCGTTCTTTGGCCAGGGCGCGGTGCTCCCGCTCCGTTGCATGCCTTCCCAGCAGGGTCTGATCTCAGAAACTGAAAGCTTAGAAAACAGCTCCACGTGACACATTCTTTCTGTTGGAAGGACTAGATAGGACTTTTGTTTAATCCTTGGGCAGTGCTATTGACTTTCTTGTTCATGGAGTGAGAATACAGCTTCCTGAATCAGCAGGTACTGAATTATGATTGGTATGAAGGATCAGAAAACAAAGATGTTCTTATCCTATCATGATCAAGACAGCGATGTGGTACCTAGATTGCACAGTATAACCCACAGTGCATTTAGGAAGGCTGTGACCTGAGTATGAGCCATTCTGTTCAGTATGTGGGGCCTGGGCCATCTTCCACTGCTTTCCCAGGCCGTAGCAGAGAGCTGGATCAGAAGTGGAGCAGCCGAGACTCGAACCAGCACCCATATGGGATGCTGGCACTGCAGGTAGCAGCTTCCCCTTATTTTTTATTTTCTAATTTTCCCCTCAGTGAAAAAATTAACCAGAAAACTGCCTGATCTTCTGAGCAAGATTGAAAGTATCAACCAACAGCTGTTACCCCTGGGAAACGTCTCTGACAATGTGGACAGAATACGGGAGCTGATTCAGCAGGCCAGAGACGCTGCAAATAAGGTGGGCGCCTTCCCAGGGCGTCAGGAGCCGGGGCGTTCTTGCTGAGTTACCACATTCAGCAAGAAAGGAAAACGTCTGTTTACCCAAGAGCCGGTTGTCTTTCTTGCCCTAATTCTTGGTTACTTGAGATACAAAGGTTGATGTCTTCCTGTTGTCCTTTACGCAAGATTTGCCTCCTCAATTATCTGATATGTCGGAGACCTGAAGCTGTTTCTTTCCTTAGAGCTCATGAGGGCAGGAGGAAGGATTTTCTTCCAGGATCCACTCAGGAAACTGATAGGAGATAGCGCGCTCGCTCGTTCTCTCTCTCCCCCTTCTCAAATATGTAAAACATAAAAAATCAAACTAAAAAGGTTGTTAAAAAGCATTCTCTTAGGGTCCTATATGTACTCCTTTTTAAAATTTTTTTAAAGATTATTTATTGAGAGGTAGTTACAGACAGAGAGAGACAGAGAGAAAGGTCCTCTATCTGCTGGTTCACTCCCCAGATGGCTGTAACAGCCAGAGCCGAGCCTATCTGAAACCAGGAACCAGGAGCTTCTTCTGATCTCCCACATGGGTGCAGGGGCCAAACCCGCACCCATATGGGATGCCAATGCCACTGGGCCTAGTCAACTACACCACAGCGCCAACCCTGATGCACTGGCTTTTAAATACCGAAAGGTTGTATTAAATGTGACCGTATCATGAAATATCTGGCTGGGACTCGGTTTCTTTAAAAATACATTTAAGAATACGTCTGCTGTATTCCGTGTGCACTACAAGGCAGGCACCCTCGCTCAGGTTGGCTCACCTGAGCGAGAACCTGGTGGAGCTGGAGTTGGGATTATTACTACAGCCAGTGCAGAGACATCAGAGTGCTTCCCAGGGACCGCTGCTACTGCACAGGAAAAGCGTGAGTGCTTTATTACCCAGCTCCTGGAACAGCTTCATGAGTGTCAAATCCAAGTCTAGGAGACATCCCTTCTGCCTTCTCCTTATCACAACTCGAGAAAGGCAGCTGCGTAGCGAGGAGGGAGGTAACAAAGGCACAGCCCCTTCTTCGAGCACAGTCCCTCTCTTCACAGCAAGTCTGACACCACGTAACTCTCCTCTCCCAGGTCACTGTCCCCATGAGATTCAACGGGAAATCTGGCGTGGAGGTCCGCCTCCCCAGCGACCTGGAGGATTTGAAAGGATACACATCTCTGTCTCTGTTTCTCCAAAGACCTGACTTGAGAGAAAACGGGGGCACCGAGGACATGTTTGTGATGTACCTTGGAAATAAAGATGTAAGTATCACTTGGGCATTTCTCTCAGGTTTAAAAAAAAGCTGTCCGGGGAGATGTATGCTTTCAAGGTGTGGAACACGAGTGTGTCACTGCCATGGGCTCAGCAGGTGGCAATCACAGCACCTGTCTGCTGTGTGGGCCGTGAGCAGCTTCCCATCGCTATGCATTGTCGTCTGCTGTGGGCCGAGAAGACAGCTTCCCCAGGGGCCCTGCATGTGGTGTGGGCATTCACGTGCACTCACGAGAACACACACCCTTGCGGGGGTGAGGGGCCGGGCCCCCTTTTGCCACAGTGCCAGGGTGTCAGCATCCGGGCTCCGTAGATGTCAAAGCAGCTGCTCCTTCAGCTTTGTGTCCCTGTCCTCTTCCTCGGCATGCCCAGCTGTGAGGCCGCCACAAAACACACCAAACGCAGGAGTGAAGGGAAAGGTTTATTGTCAGGTGGGGTAGGCTGATGGGCAGGGGAGAGGGCAAGAGAGTCGAGAGAGAGAGTGGTCAGGAGAGAGTGAGCATGTGAGCTGGATGCAGGTCCTGTGATACCTTTGCTGGGGGCAGGGAAGTAGGAGCAGTGAATCCCACCGGGGTGAGGGGAGGGCTGACACCTCTGGTTGGGCCGTGGGGCTTAGGACCCAAGCTTACTGCACAAGGTGACGATGGGGCCAGAGCCCATGATGGGACCCGGGGCATAGATGTCGCCACAGATAAGATGGCACCATTTTACTACACCAGCCACAGACCCTTCCTGCAGGCAGAGAGGCAGGGATCACCCAGGAATGAGGATAGAGCGAGGTGAAGCCTCTCCTGGCAAACCAACAAATGCAGCTGTCCCCACTGCCATGCCAGGCATTTTGAATGGTTGGGTTTAGCTTTTAATTCCTTCTTCTTTAAAAAAATATAAGACTTATTTATTTATTTGAGATGCAGAGTTACAGAGAGAGAGAGATACAGAGAGAAAGGGCTTCCATCCCCTAGTTCACTCCCCAAATGGCCACAACAGCCAGAGCTGGGCTGATCTGAAGCCAGGAGCCAGGAGCTTCTTCCGGGTCTCCACATGGGTGCAGGAGCCCAAGGACTTGGGCCATCTTCTACTGCTTTCTCAGGCCGTAGCAGAGAGCTGGATCAGAAGAGGAGCAGCCGGGAAATGAACCAGGATCCATATGGGATGCCAGCCCTGCAGGTGGAGGCTTAGCGTACCATGCCACAGTGCCTGCCCCTGATTTTGTTTTTCTGGTTTTTTTTTTTTTTTTAAGATTTATTTGTTTATCTGAAAGTCAGAGTTACAGAGAGACACAGAGATCTTCCATCTGCTGGTTCACTCCCCAGATGACCACAATGGCCAAGGCTTAAGCCAGGAACCAGGAGCTTCCTCTAAGAATGGGTGGCAGGAGCCCAAGCACTTGAGCCATCCCCTACTACCCTTCCCAGGCCATCATCAGGGGGCTGAAATGGAAATGGAACAGCCAGGACATGAACTGGCGCCCATGTGGTGCACTACAGGCAGCACCTCACCCACTATGCCACTATGCCACAAGGCCAGCCCCAGGAAAACTGTTAATTATTACGAGTGGACATTGTATTTAAAGATTCTTAGAGTTAACACCATTATTACTTAACCTTTCACACTTCAAGATGCTGGTCCTTTAATTACAGCTTCTGCTTTGTATTGTGACAAAATGCATCTCTCTTTATTCCTTCTACAATTTATACTATAAACTTATCAGTTCATACCATACGTCTGCCATATGCCACACCCTGAATCTATAATAAACAAAAATCTGTTTCTTGAATATACCCTCATGCCAATGTACACTTAAACATGGTTAAAATAGTAAATTTTGTATTATGTATATTTTGTAATCATTAAGAGTTTTTTAAAATTTATTTATTTGAAAGGCAGAGTTACAGAGAGAAAAAAAGAGAAGGAGAGAGAGAGAGAGATCTTCCATCTGCTGGTTTACTCCCCAGATGGCCACATAGCCAGAGCTAAGCCAGGCCAAAGCCAAAGCCTGGAGATTGATCCAGGTCTCCCACATGGTGGCCAGAGCCCAAGCACTTGAGCCATCTTATACTAGTTTTTCAGAAACATTAGCAGGGAGCTGGATCGAACTGGAACAGCCAGCACCCATATGGATGCTGGTGTTAGTCTGCGGCTTAACCTGCTGTACCACAATGTTGGCCCCACCATTACAAAATTTTTATTTAGGAGGCTGGTGCTATGGCATAGCAGGTGAAGGCGCTGGCATCCCATATGGACACCAGTTCATGTTCTGACTACTTCTATTCTGACCCAGCTCTCTGCTGTGGCCTGGGGGACCAGTGGAGTATGGCCCAGATGCTTGGGACCTTCCCTGCACCTGCATGGAAGACCCAGAAGCTCCTGGCTCCTGGCTTCAGATCAGCCCAGTTTCGGCTAATGCTGTCATCTGGGGAGTGAACCAGCAGATGGAAGACTTTCTCTGTGTTTCTCCCTCTGTCTGTAACTACACCTCTCAAATGCAAATAAATAAAATCTTTAAAGAAAAATTTTTATTTAGGGGCTTACTTTGTGTAGTGGGTTAAGCTACTGCCTGCAATGCTGACATCCCATATGGGCACCAGTTGGATACCTGGCTGCTCCACTTCTGATCCAGCTCCGTGCTTGAGCCTGGGAAAGCAGCAGAGGATGGCCCAAGTGGTTAGGTCCCTGTACCCATGTGGGAGATCTCGAGGAAGCTCCTGGCTTTGGCATGGCAGAGCCTGAGTTACAGCCATTTGGGGAGTGAAACAGCAGATGGAGGATCTTTGTCTATCTCTCTCTCTCTCTTTCTTTCTCTGTAACTCTGCCTTTCAAATAAACAAATCTTTAAAAAATTTAATTATACCTTAAGGTGCTCCCATTTTAACAGAGAATAAAGATGCATATCAGGATACTTCAAGAGGTTTGTGTATAAAATGTGAATTAAAATGTGTATGGTGCCAAACAAAGTTGAAATCCATGGGTAGTTTTTTCATAATGCATATTTTCCATGAACTTTCTGAAGACCCCTCACATATAATTGGCCACATTAATACAGAGGTGTCAAGCCGGCGCCATGGCTTAATAGGCTAATCCTCCACCTTGCGGCGCTGGCACACCGGGTTCTAGTCCCGGTCGGGGCGCCGGATTCTGTCCCGGTTGCTCCTCTTCCAGGCCAGCTCTCTGCTGTGGCCAGGGAGTGCAGTGGAGGATGGCCCAGGTGCTTGGGCCCTGCACCTGCATGGGAGACCAGGAAAAGCACCTGGATCCTGGCTCCTGCCATCGGATCAGCGCGGTGCGCCGGCTGCAGTGGCGGCCATTGGAGGGTGAACCAATGGCAAAAGGAAGACCTTTCTCTCTCTGTCTCTCTCTCTCACTGTCCACTCTGCCTGTCAAAAAAAAAAAAATACAGAGGTGTCATAATAGAGGTGTACACATTGTATGATTCTAGGGAAACAAAAATGGCTTATTCCCTTTCCAGACTATTATCTGATGGATGGCTGAGTCTGTATCTGGTCCATCATTATAGGCATTTGTGGATCGAGCAAATGGGGGAATGAATAAATGAATGAGTGAATTAATTAATTAAATGAATAAGCGTATTAAAACAGGAGCAAAGATTGTTTATAGAAATTGTTGATCAAGCACTTGATATTAATCTATATGAGGAGAAACTTCTTTACCTTGTCTGCCCAAGGCTTGTTGCACACATTGGGAGTTTGACATGTATCCTTCTGGGGTGAGAAGTTGACAATGTGGAGAGAGAAAGTGTTCTAAGGTGACCTTTGCCCTCCAGGCCTCCAAGGACTACATTGGCATGGCAATCATAGATGGGCGGCTCACGTGTGTCTACAACTTGGGAGAGCGTGAAGCTGAACTGCAGGTGGACCAGATCTTGACGGAGAGTGAAACTCAGGAGGCAGTTATGGACCGGGTGAAATTTCAGAGGTGTGCATCTGACTGATGACTGCTGCCCGTGAACCTGACCTACACTCACCAAACTCTTCCATCTACATATCTTATTGACCCCATCTTTAGTACCTTGCTTTTGAGTTCTTTTATTTTTTTATACGACTTTGCTATCTAATTTCTTTTTACACAGAATTTATCAATTTGCAAGGCTCAATTACACCAAAGCAGCCACATCCAATAAACCAAAACCACCTCAGTTCCATGACATGGATAGTGGAAATAGCAACACACTCCTTAATTTGGATCCAGAAAATGTTGTGTTCTATGTTGGAGGTTACCCATCTGACTTTATAGTAAGTATAAACATTATTCCATAGTATGAAAATATTTAAGTTTACCTTGATATAATGGGCTAATGTCTCTATTTTAATTAATTATAGGCAAAAGGCATTTATGTATTCTTAAAGCACAATAGAGATAATAGCTAGCACTTAGTACTCATTCGGGGCATTGTTCTAAGCTTAAGTATATTAAATGAATGTTATTACCATTCCCATTTTGTAGATGAAGAAACAGAGGTTTACTTTCTTGTCCGGGGTCATACAGTTAGTAAATAGCAGAGTCAGGGCATGCAAGGTCCACGCCCTTTGCCTGCATGCTACGTAGGTTATTAAGAATGCTCACCTTTTACTGGTTTGTGTCAACCTCATCATTGTTCTTTGTTCAATTAGTAGAAGATTTTGTTTGTTTGTTTCATTTTTTAGCTTCCCAGTAGACTAAAACTCCCTCGGTATAAAGGTTGTATTGAATTAGATGACCTTAATGAAAATGTTCTGAGCTTATACAACTTCAAAAAAACTTTCAATCTCAATACAACTGAAGTGGAACCATGTAGAAGGTAAATACAGCATTGAAACTGATGTCTTTATACTGGTATCGTACTTCTGCATGTAAGTGAGGGATGGTCCAGTGAGATGCCACTGACATTGCTGGTGCTTTGGGCCAGCAGTCCTTGAATTACACTTGTGTGCAACGCCGGAAGTCCATCCTGAGATCTAATAATGGCCGCCTTTCCTAATTTCTATAAAATGTTGAATCGGCAGTTTTCTCAGCTTTTTAAAGAAATACATCTTTCTAAAATTTTTGGTGTCTCCTCCCAGGATGCATTCAATATTAGCTGGCATGTGATGTAGGCACTAAGTTTTACACTTACTCAAATATTAAAAACTAACGGTTCACGAACTGTACCATGACTGTCCAGGCGCTCTGGAGCCTGAACCTGTTTGAAAATCACTGCCTTGAGCTCCTAACCTTCCCTATGGTTCAAAGAATTTGGAATATTCTGAGGCCAACCAAGTATTAACGAGATAATAATTATGAATAAAATTATACTTCAAGCTAGTATGTTTTACATTTCATGGTTTTCAGCTGGTAGACCACATCTTCTAAAGTAGACATTTCCAAAGAGACTCTTGAATATTCTGGGTTTTTTTTGTTTGTTTGTTTGTTTTTTTGAGCTGGGGTTTGATTATCATAGAGTGTTAAGAATACTTCAGGAGAAAAAGCTGCATTCATATTCTAAAGATGTATGCTCCTCTTGAACAAAGAGGTGACTACTGGACTGTGCATTCGGGGCTGCATTGCATGCACGGTAGGAGCTCATGTTCATGAGCACAATGTCACAGAGGCCCTGTGCTGTCGTGGTCTGATTCACCGTGATTGATGTTGGCAGGAGAAAGGAGGAGTCAGACAAAAATTATTTTGAAGGCACAGGCTACGCCCGAGTTCCAACTCTCCCAAATGCCTCGTTCCTCACCTTTGGACAGACAATTCAGACCACCGTGGATACAGGTGTGCTGTTTTTTGCAGAAAACCAGGTAAATGAGATCCATCCAAATACTACCGAATGTGTCCATTCTATTCCATGTTTTGGGCATGATTGGGTTGTTACAGACCTCCAACCGCATGCAAATAAGCCACCACAGGTGTTACCTCCATCTTTTCCCTTGGCCCAGTTATACTTCCTGTTGCCTAAGGAGTGTGTCTTTTAAATAATCAGGAATTTAAGAGGATGCCAACAAAATGTGGGAGACATCTTCCCTTTTGTCTTCTACTCTCTTTGTCAACTTTATCTGAAAATTGCTGTTCACCTGATCATCTAACTTATTGTGCCTTAAAACAAGTGAACCCTGCCTGGGGTCTCTGAGCTCTAGATTGTGTGACTTCCTGCTGTGTCCATCCTTGTCTGCCTCTTGCCAGGCTGTCTGGGACTATGTATTTATCAGCCTGATGCTTACTCCCACATGAAAATTCTCTACCTTCCAGCAGACGAGGTTCCCATGGACCATTCTATTCATCCTCTGGTTCACTCCCCAAATGCTGTCAATGTTTGGAGTTGGGCCGTGCCATATCTGGTAGCCAAGGTCTCCCACATGTGAGGCAGGAGCCCAACCACGTGAGCCATTGCCACTGGCTAAGGGGCCTGTATTGGCAGGAGGCTGGAGTCAGTAGATAGAGCTAGGCACCAAATCCAGAGATTCCAATGGGCATCTTAACTGCTAGGTGGACCATCTGCTCCCTGAGAGCTGTTCTTAAATCCTTTAGATTAGAAAAGTCACTCATCAGTGACCTTCTTCAGGTGATCATTAGCACCACCTGCTGGTCGATGTGGAGTTGGTGTGATGGTTGCTCTGGCTGCTTTGTGGCTCAAAGAATCAGAAGCTCTGTAGTTGCTCTTGCAGGCAGTATTTCTGCAGAAATGTGCATCTGCCCACGCGATCTCCGTGGAGCTTGAGGTTTTCCCAGACCTTCTACCTTCAGGGTAGGGACACAAGCGTGGCCCAACCCTCTTCCCTGGGTTTGGTCTGAACCCTTCAGGAGGTTCTAAGGCTGCACCTGTTTTAATGGTTTGGGAAGGTCCCAAGCAGAGAGCTGACAGTCATGTAGCATCTGCAGGGCAAGAAGACTGATTTCACAAGGTCTTCTCTGTACAGGTCGGAGTACCCCTTACTCAAAATGCTTGGGACCAGAAATGTTTTGGATTTGGGGTTTTTTTTTGGGGGGGGGGGTTGAATATCTGCATATAAATAATGAGATATCTTGGAGATGTGACTCAGAAGTAAATATTAAATTCATTTACGTTTCATATAGACCTTCTACACATAGCTTGCAAATAATTTCAGGCAATGTTTTCATAATTTTGTACATGAAACAAACTTGTGCACATTGAACCATCCAACTTGTGGTGTCACGTTGGCACACAAAAAATTGTGGATTTTGGAGCATTTCAGATTTTGGATTTTTGGATTATGGGTGTTGAACCTGAGCTACACTTTGGGGTCTTAAAGATGAAGACCCTGGAACACAACTTGTATCAGGAAAAACTTGCATAACACCATTACATAAGAAATGGCTCAGAGAGCTGCTGTTACGTGGGAGGGCTTGCTACTCCCAGGGAGCTGTGTTACTCTGCTGCCTGTGTGAGGAGCCCTAACCTGACTCCCAAGGGCAAGATTCAGGATCCAAGGGCCAGTTCTGTAGCCTAGTGTGTTAGGCCACCACCTGCAACACAAGCATTCCATATGGGTGCCATTTCAAGTCTGAGCTGATCCGCTTCTGATCCAGTTCTCTGCAGATGGTCCTGGGAAAGCAGCAGCAGATGGCCCAAGTGCCTGGGCCCCTGCAACCATGTAAGAGACCCAGAAGAAGCTCCTGGCTCCAGGCTTCCACCTGGCCCAGCTCTGGCCATTGCAACCAATTGGGGAGTGAACCAGCGGATGGAAGATTCTCTCTCTCCCTCCCTCCCTCCCTCCCTCCCCCCCCCTCTCCTTTCTCTGTAACTCTTTCAAGTAAACAAATAAATTAAAAAAAAAAAATAGAGGCGAGGCCATGGAAGCTGAAGCACCTTGTGGCTTGGGAGGAAGCCAGGTCCAGTGCTCCAGCTGCCTCTGGTGATCTGCCTGTTTCCATGTTCCAGGACCGCTTCATCTCTCTCAACGTGGAGGACGGCAGTCTCAGGGTGCGGTACAAATTGAACTCGGGGCCACCCAAAGAAGAAGGCATTCAGGACATCATCAACAACGGGAGGGACCATTCGGTACATCCCTTGCATCTATTTGCAGGAGTTGCTGAACATCTTTACTTCTTTAACACGCAGTCAGGACCCCAAAGAATACAGCTCTAGAGCCAGATGCACGGATAGTGATTACCCAAGGGGGACACATCCTTTGACAACTCAAACATTCAGGCAGGGAGATGCAAATGGTATATATGAAGCACATGGATAGCCATTGCAAACATTTCTAGTACAATATTTTCGTATCAGATTCTTATCTAAAAGTACTACTGCCCAGTCTTCCTGACATGGAGAGAAGTGAATCTGAAAGGAGACAAATGAAATCTCAGCGCCCACAGTCACTGGGAGTAGGACGCTGTTGCTTCCATGGCTTGCTAATTCATCTCTTGTTTCTTCCAGATTCAGATTGTCATTGGAAAAGCCCAAAAACTGACGTGGATAAACGTGAATTCTCAGAAAATTAAAATTGAAGGGGAAATATTTGATTTCAGCACATATTATCTGGGAGGAATTCCAATTGCAATCCGGGAGAGGTGAGACCACACATTCCATTTTGGTTTAAGTAGTTTGTCTTAGTAGTTGTTTGCTAATGACAAATCTGATCTACCTTGTTTAATCCTAGCCACCAATAAAACAAAAACCTGTCAGTATTAAGTTTAGTCAACAGAGTAAAAGAGTTATAAATTCTGTATCATGAGTGTCACCTTTTGAAAGGGGGCACCTGGGGGGAACATGTGTAACCCTCTTTGTCATTCTTTTTTAAATTTTGTTATTGGGGGGAGAGAGAGAGAAGAAATATTCACATCCCCCGATTTACTCCCTAAATGCTCACAAGGACTGAGGCTGAAACCAGGAGCTGGGACCATAACCCATGTCTCCCATGTGGGTGGCAGGAACCAAAGTACTTGAGCTATCACCACTGCCCCTCTGGGTGTGCACTGGCAGGAAGCTGGAGTTGCGAACCAGAGCCGGAACTCTAGCCTGGCACTCCCTGGTGGGATGTGGGTGTCTTAGCCACTAGGCTGAATGTCCTCTCTGTCCCCATTGTTGTTCATGAGTAGAGAGAAACCACAACAGATACAGCTGAGATGGCAATGCTGCCAACAAGCAGAATGGAGGCAGTGGCCCTGGGCCCTTCAAAGTAGTGCAGGAGCATGCAGGCTCCCCTTGGGCTGAGAAGCAGCACTGGGCACTGGGCACTGAGCACTGGCAGGCAGCCTCCTGAAGAGGGCAAGAGCCAGTGCGTCACCCGCAGGTGCACTACCTGCCCCGTGTGTGCTATCAAACATGGAATAGCTGCCTAACTGTTTCTTGGATGAATGAATCTAGGAATGAATTAATGTCAAAGGCAGTAAAGCTTAATGTGAGTGAAGGAAAAAATGCCACCACTCGGAGAATGGCCTTAAAAGAAACATTCACATTTTGTTTCTCCAAATAGGCTTTTAGACCTCTGATGAAAAGGGGGGGGGGGGGCTTCCTGGAAGGGTCAGCGCAGCCTCATGAGGAAGCCGAAAGTACTCCCCGAAGGCTTGGTTATGCTTCCTTGTACGCGAGAGCTGAAGCAAGATAACTCATTTTCTGATTCACAAGTCAGTAGGAAGGAGTGCTAGATGGGATTTATAAGGTGTCAGGCAAAGCTGCTCTTCCTCTAGAATCCTTACGCATGCGGGCTGGGGTCCTGCCTTGGCAAGGAGACACTAATCTTGTTTTAAAGCTGTCAGAGCTGCCCACTGAGACAGAGATGTCGGTGGGAAAGCCTGGCACTTTAATAAAACTTGGAGTGGATGTCATTACTCTCCAGACTCCTTGGGTCGGAAGGGACCTTGCCCTTCGTGGTGGGTGACCCTGAATTTTACAAATGAAGACATTGACTGCCAAAGAGATGATATCAATATTAAATTCATAGTTCAGCCACAAATAGAATGTTATGAAATACACTGGTTGGAGGCATTCTGCACTTCCGTGTACATTTGAAAGTCGGTGCTTATCTGTTCATTGCACAAGCATTTGTGGAATGCTGAGTGTTTTCCAGGCCGCGTGGCAGGTGTAAGGGAGACAGTGATGAACAGGGCAAGCCCAGAGACAAGAGAGTTCTTCCCATGGGGCCGATGTTGGGGTGCCATGAGTTAAGCTGCGGCTCACAATGCCAGTAGCCCATACCTGAGCAGCAGTTCAAGTCCCGGCTGCCTTGCTTCTATCCAGCTCCTTGCTAATGCACCTGGGAAAGCGACATAAGATGACCCAAGTACTTGGGCCCCTACCACCACATGGGAGACCCGAATGAAGCTCCTGTCTCCTGGTTTTGGCCCGACTCAACCCTGGCCATTGTGACCATTTGGGGAGTGAACAGCGGATGGACGATTCTCTCTCTCATGGTCTCACTCTCGCTCTCTCTCTCTCTTTTTGTTTGAAAGGCAGAGCGAGAGAGTGAGAGAGAGAGACAGAGACAGAGACAGAGAGACACCTATCCACAGCCCAGAGCCAGGCCCTGTAGGGGCAACCTACTGCTCTTTCAAAGAAGGGTTGTGTTCTGCTCCTTCTAGGTAGTCAGGGTGGTCACGTGTGATGTGGAGCAGAGCCCCTCTCTCTCTGTGTGGTGGATCTGTTAGGGATGGAGACCCAGATCTCAGGGTGATTTAAGATCGTCAGAAATCCCAGCCTGTTGATCCCATCTGCTTCCCAGGAGAGCAGCAAGTCAGCCCTGATCATAGCAGAATGGTTGACATGGACCAGGCCATTTTCCCTGAGGACATACCCTGGTGGCACAGAAAATAAGAGCAACACATTAAAATGAAAATAATTCAAAAAACAAAGTCAGAGATCCAATGGACATCTGCTAAGTAGCCAGCACGTTTGGGATTGCATTTTGCTTGTGTTGCTCTCTGAGAGCTGCCTACAACAGCAGTGGAGCTGGCTAAAGTTTTGTGGACAGATTGGCCCAGAGTATGTATGCAAACTCTAACGTCAGAACCAGTTAATACTATGATCTGTGCCCCTGCACGGTCACAGCCCTCTAGAGTCAACACGGAAGTCAGGGACTTCAGATGAGCCAGGGTAACAAGACCCATCCCCACCCCTCCTCTGGGACTAGCAGAAATACATCTTCCGTCTTCACACCTCTGCTGCAGAGAACTGCTCTGTAGGAAGAAGTCCTGAAGCCAGCTCTGCCACTGACCCACTGTATGACCTTAGCAAGGACCTCAGCCCCTTGAGCCTCATTGTTACAATGGTAATGTGGGCGTGATAGGCACTCATTCCTTAGGATGACCGTGAGGATTCAAATGTGTACAGGAATGAGCAGTGCTTGGCTCATGGTAACTGCTCCATAAACATTACAAGAGAAAATACCTCTCTCAAGAGGTTATTGGAAGGGTGGAGTCACAGTGCCTTATCAAAACAGGTGCTACGTAGTCAATGCCTTTATCGCCCCTCCTCTTCCTTCTCTTCTGCCTTTAATCTTTACTCTATGGAGAGAGTGACGTCAGAGGATGTTGTTGAAACAGCTCCACAAACATGTGCGAATAGACAAGCTCCAGGAGCTGACGTGGACCTGCCTTGCCTCCTGAGGCAAAAGGGCACCTTGATGAAGTCATTAAACCTGAGCTGCAATGTCAGTGAGAATTTGTTTCTTCCTCTTCCTTTTAATGAAAATTTAATTTTATGCATATGACACGCAGCGTAATGGTTTATAATGAGTTGGATTAAAACGAATGCAGACACCTTTCCATTTAGAAAAGTGAGCCTTGGAGATTTGTAATGAAATCAGCTTTGAGTTTCCTTAACACATCATTTGTTTAAGAAACACAAATATTTATTTCCCTGGACTTTAGTCAGTTCATGTGTGATAATGCTTTATGTGAATTAAGTGCCAGACAGATTCAGAAGCCAAAAGGGAAATGCCAAGGTACCATGTAGGAAGAGCTGCTTTAGAAATTGTGCTGGGGCAGGTGTTGTGACACCATGGGTTAAATGGGCACCTGGGACACCTGCACCCTCTGTTGGAATACCTGGGATTCGGTCCTGCCTCCAATTCCAGTCCGACTTGTTGCTAATGCACGTAGGAGGCAGCAGATGACAGCCCAGGTACTTGGGTCCCTGCCACCCACGTGAGAGACCCAGATTGAGTTCCAGGCCTCTGGCTTTGGCCTGGCCCAGCTTTGGTTGTTGTGGGCATTTTGGGAGTGAACCAGCCAATGGAAGATCTCTCTGTCCCTGCCCCCTTACTGCCTTTCAAATTATTTAATTAATGTTTAAAAATTTTCCAGTTTTTTAAGCAATAATATCATGAGGAGAGTCACTAATCTTCACCTCACACTGAGTCCCTCTTTGTGTATCAGGCACTATTTGGATACATTACACATATTAGCTTATTTTTTTTAAATATTAATGATCCTAAAAATTTGTTTGAAAAGCCAAGTAAGAGAGAAAAAGATATTCCATTTACTGGTTCACTCCCCAAATGGCCACAGTGACTGGGGCTAGGCCAGGCCAAAGCCAAGAGTCCTGAGCTCCATCCAGGTCTCCCACAAGAGTAGCGGGGACCCAAGCACTTGGGCCATCTTCTGCTGCTTTCCCAGGTGCATTAGCAGGGAGCTGGATCAGAAGCAGAACAGCCAGGACATGAACTGGTGTCGTATGGTTTGCAGGTTCGCAGACAGAAGCTTAGCCTGGTGTGCCACAATGCCAGCCCCCCACATACTAGCTTATTTAAACTCATAACAAAGTTATGAAGCAGATTCACATATTCCTGTTATGCAGCTGATAAAACAGAGATGTTAACCAGCTTGCTCCAGAGCCAACAGCTCTGAGAAACACCTGGGAGTTCACGTTCATGTGCCACAGCCTGTTCTCAGCCCTTGCTGTGTCATTTGCCTATCCTTGCCCAGGTCCACAGTTAGGGGGTGAGGGACACAACACAGGCACCCAGACCGTGCTTTCCATCATTTGAGCTTAGCACTGGTTAAATCAGGCTACATTTCCCATAATGGAACAGAGCCAAAAGATAACCCTTCGTGTCTTCAGCATTTACAGTGGCTCGCTTAAGAGGGAACAGAAAAAAGACAAAGTTTTCTAGAGAGTTCTTGGTTCTAACAATTTTTATTAATGATTTAATGCATACTTATACAGCATGTATTGTATTAACTTACTAACATGCTGCCCATGTGATTCTGCGGGCAGGGCGGGCAGCTGTAGATACCATGCATCTTCTATATCTGCTTTTGGAGACTCTGGCCATCCTTCTGTGAACTTTGTTGTCTGCATTTCTTCAGCTGGGAGTGCTAACTGACCCGGAAAGGAAGTCGGTTTTCCCAGCATCCTAAGACAGCATTACAGGAACTCCGTGGGAACAGACAGCCTGAAATACGTTCTTGCTTATAGGGAGAAGCACTAGAGAGCACAGCACTCTCTATTCTCAGCGGAGCCTGAGACGATCCCTTCTCTTCCTTGTTTCCATTCCTCATCAGATTAAACATTTCTACACCTGCTTTCCGAGGCTGCATGAAAAATCTGAAGAAAACCAGTGGTGTGATTCGGTTGAATGACTCTGTGGGAGTAACCAAAAAGTGCTCAGAAGACTGGAAGGTAAGACAAGGGTCAGAACCTTGAGATTCTTCAGAGCACCCAGACTCAGGAACACACCAGCTTACGACTGGTCCTGGTAGCACACCACGTTACGGTGAATAAGCACATGTTCACTGCCCACGTACCTGCAAAGTACAGCATGGTCTCAAGTTCACCGATTACACTTGAGGGAGAGAAGCAGGCATTGTGGTGGCAACTTGATACGCCTGCATCCCATATCGGAGTGCCTAAGATCTAGTCCCATCTCTACTTCCAATGCAGCTCGCTGCTTAAGCCCCTAGAAGGCAGCAGAATGTTTGCTCAAGTACTTGAGTCCCTGCCACCACACTGCAGGCCCAGGTTGAATTCCTCGTTCCTCCTGGCTTCAGCCTGGCCCAGCCCTGGGTGTTGTACGCATGTGGAGAATCAGCCACTGGCTGCAAGATTCTTTCTCTCTTTGTCTCTTCCTCTCCCCGTCACTCTGCCTTTCAAATAGATAAATAAAGAGATCTTTTAAAAATACTAAATTTGTGGGAAAGGAGGAAGCCCAATTGTACAACACAGAACCTTACAGATGATTTCAACTTCTCATGTAGAAAAGCAACTTGTTTCTTGCCGAGATTTCGTGAGTCACGGTGATCGGTTTGGGTGAGGTGATGCAGGCAGGATAAGATACTGTCCTTCAGCCGTGAAATGATTGCAGCACCAGTAATTAATACCACGTTTGCCTTACAGCTCGTGCGATCGGCCTCATTCTCCAAAGGAGGACATTTGAGTTTCTCTAATTTGGACCTCCCGTGGCCCAACCACTACCAGGCCTCATTTGGGTTTCAAACGTTTCAACCCAGTGGGATATTAGTGAACCATCAGACACGGGTATGTGATAGTGCATCAACACTGAATGAGTCTTAAGCCTGTCCCGAGGGTTGATGTCAAAAATAGCAGAGGGCTTTGGGAGGTGGGGGGGAGTCTTGCTCACTTGGCTTTAGAGATCTTTGCAAAACTAGCCCTGAGAAAGCAGATGCTAACACTTAGACTGTGGGGGTGGCTTTTCCACCAAAGCAGGATGTTTTCACTTAGCTCTTTTGACAGCTAACGTTTGTTTCCTCTGCCACACATAACAACACTTAGTACAGGGCACACAATATGATCAAAAGCAGGTGGGAAATTTGGTTTAGCAAAAGATTAGATCAACCCTGGATAATGAGGAATCCCAGAAACATCCTAAGACCTTTGCCTTCCATCTCTAATGAGGTAGCCAAGAAATCCATATAAATTGGCAGCCTTCGATCCAGTCATAATGAATACTGCAAACTATAAAAAATCAACACAAAATACAAACAGCAGTGGTTATAGTCATATATAGTAAAATTGTTTTAGACTGGGGCCGGTGCTTTGGCATAACAAGTAAAGCCACCACCTGCAATGCCAGCATCCTGTATGGGCACTGGTTCAAGTCCTGGCTGTTCCACTTCCAATCCAGCTCTCTGTTATGGTCTGGAGAAGCAGTAGAAGTCCTTGGGCCCCTGCACCCATGTGGGAGACCTGGAGGAAGCTCCTGGCTCCTGGCTTCAGATCAGCACAGCTCCAGCTATTGCAGCCATTTGGGAGAGTGAACCAGCAGATGGAAAACTTCCCTCTCTCTGCCTCTGCCTTTCAAATAAATAAATCTAAAAAAAATTGTTTGAGACTGAAAGCTCACCAAGAATTACTTCTTGTTGAAAACTACAGAAATTGTATCTGGTAGAAAAAATATGAACAAAATTGAAGTTACCACTGCTGAAATTATATATTATTTTCATTAATAATTGGCAGAGTCAAATCATCTTGACAAAATTTAGATCTGCAATTTGACATGGCAGATTGGATTTCCTAGAAATAATGACTAGAAAATAAAAGACACATAAGGACTAAAAAGAAGAAATGATTGTTATAATTGTTTATATGAAAAAAATTGACAAGTCAACTCTGCTATAAAATTTATTCAGAAAAGAATCCTGATGGAAATAACTTCAGCAAGATTAAAGTAAAAATAGAAAATTTTAGAAGTGATTTAACTGGTTTGTGTAATCGTTTGAGAAATTAAATTGCCTTAATGAATGTAGGTCCAGGAAAATGATTTTGACAGATTCACTGGTGATAAAATCACTTACATAAGATTTTTATATTCTTAAAGATGGAGTCAAAATATTCAAACAATAATCTTCATATCAAAATGACAAAGTCAAAACATTTGGATTGAAACATCCTGTTTTATATGTAGTTTGATCATAAATACAGTATTGATACAGTCATTATCTGTAAATGCAAACTGATTCTTGATGCGTGTACTCTGTGACAATTTCAGACAAGTAGCCTGCAGGTCACTCTGGAAGACGGTCACATTGAAGTGAGCACCAAGGATAGCGGGAGCCCGATTTTTAGGTCTCCACAGACGTACACGGATGGCCTGCTGCACTACGTGTCTGTAATAAGTGACAGCTCTGGGTGAGTGCCGAGGTACTTCTGCTGGGGCTCTATTTAGTTCAACAGAATTTTCTTGATGTCTTTTTGCAAAATATTTTCCTTGACCTCTTGGCCTTATTTGTTCGATATCAATTTCCTCATTAAAATCAATCAACAGTTGGATGAATGTATTCAAAATGAAATTCACAATGTGTTCAAAATGAAATACTATTTGACAATGATAAAGAAAGATCTAGAACTGCATTTAATGACATAAATGAAAGTTACAAGCATACTTTGGAACAAATCAAAAGAGCTCCTTCCCTATGATCCCCTATGATTTCATTTATTTATTATATGATTTCACTTATTTATAAGTTTAAAGACAGGCAGAATTCATCTATGCTATCTGACTCGAGGATAGTGGTTATCCTTGGACAGGGATGGAGGCTGGAGAGTGAAGGGGATCACAAGGTTGGGTTCCCAGTGTGCTGATCCATTCTGTTTCCTTATTTGGGTAGTAGTTGTATTGGTGTATTGATGTTGCCAAAAAATCACTGAGTTGAACACTTTTGACATATTCCCGTTCTGTATATATATAATAATTTAATAAGATGATATATACAAATAGAAATACATGAAGCTTTTTAATGCTCTTTTAAAATAAGCATGATTTAACTGTATATTTTCTGTAACAGATATAGAGGTGAAGACAGTAAGTTGACCTCATAGCAAGAGTCTTCTTTCCAGCAGTTCTCAACTTTGCTTTTCTCTCCTCCCCTTTCAGCCTGCGGCTTCTCATTGATGATCAGCCTCTGAGAAGTAGCCAAAAGCTACAAGGCTTTTCAAATTCCCAACAATCTCTGCGCCTGGGCGGGAGTTATTTTGAGGGTTGTATCAGCAATGTTTTTGTCCAGAGGTGAGTGATATTTTCTCTGTGGGTAACTGATGAGAACAACCTGCCCACACTGACGACATCTCATGGGTCTGGTTGCCGCAGTCAGATTTGTCAGTGTGTGCTGCACACTGCAGAGCAGAGAGAGCTCCTTTCGAAAATGTACCTCTTACTGTCATGGCTCCCAGGAAAACCTTCATTTCCTACCTCTAATCCCATCTGGAAGACTGAGAAGGGCTTGAGATGTTTTATTGACTTGGACTGTGGCAGGGTCATGGAGGTTGAGAATACTATAGCTCTTTCTTTGGAATGGATGTCATCATCTATGACATGCAAGTCAAATACACACGGAGGGGAACATGGGACGGGGTGAGATGGGATGCTGGTTGACATCAGGACACAGCAGAAGGGGGTTTATGGAAGGGAGAGCTGATGGCGACCAGGTAGCAAAGTCTCATGGGAAAATCTGCCTTTTCTCATGGCTGTTGTCTGAGCCTCATAAGAGCAGGAAGGTGGTGCTAATACCTCCTTGTCTTCTCCACTGCTTATACTTCCTGCTTCAAACACTGAGCTAGGGGGCAAGGACAACGTTTCAGCAGCCAGGAGGACAGTGAGAACTCTGAGCCTCGTCCTGGACACGGAGGTCAGCGTCTCCATGGCTGGGAGTGTTGACAGCACCATCACAGCAGCCTGCAAGTCCAAGCCTGAGTTTGATACCCAGAACCAGGCCCTCTCTCTTTCCTGGAAAGAATTTTGCCTCTTATCTAAAAATCAAAAGAAAGCATTGAGGGGCCAGCGCTGTGGCGCAGCGGATTAACGCCCTGGTCTGAAGTGCCGGCATCCCATATGGGCGCCGGTTCTAGTCCCAGCTGCTCCTCTTCCAATCCAGCTCTCTGCTATGGCCTGGGAAAGCAGTAGAAGATGGCCCAAGCCCTTGGGCCACTGCACCCACGTGGGAAACCCTGAGGAAGTTCCTGGCTCTTGGCTTCGGATTGGCACAGCTCCAGCTATTGTGGCCATCTGGGGAGTGAACCATCGGACAGAGACCTCTCTCTCTCTCTCTCTCTCTTGCTCTTGCTCTCGCTCTGCCTCTCCTCTCTCTGTGTAACTCTGACTTTCAAATAAATCTTTAAAAAAAATAAAAAAGAAAACATTGAAAGGCTTGCATGCATGGAAGAACTGAGCTCTCTTCTGTCTACTAAAAGGCACATTCAACACTGATATTGGTCTCTAGCACTACATTGATCCAGGCAATTCCTTGGCTTTGCAACCAGTGGAGAGCTGACTAGATCTTACTGTGCAATATTGATTAAAATAAAGTTTCAGAGTGATTATTTTCCATGGCCATAATCTGAAAGTTAAATTATTTTCCATGGTTATGCCAAAACACTCTTCCAAATGGACACAGGGCCTGGGACTCTTTAGTTGGTTGATTTTTATTTGTGTGTATATTGCCAAAGCAGGTGGCATTTCAAAGACTTTCAGTATGAGAGCCATGGGTCTTCCTTTAATGTGGTGGATGTTAGCAACAGCCTTCCTTTCCATCCTTGTTTCAGATTATCACAGAGCCCCGAAGTCCTAGATCTGGCCAGTGGATCTACCAAGCGAGATGTGGCCCTGGGAGGCTGCAGTTTAAACGAACCACCTTTCCTAATGTTGCTTAAAGGTCCTGCAAGGTTTAACAAGACCAAGGCTTTCAGTATCAACCGGGTAAGTGTCATGACCCTTCCCTGGTTTCTTCTCTCCAGAGGTTTCTCCTATGGGATTCTATGGGATTCTCTGTGGGATCCTATAGGATTTTCCTGTGGAGATGGTAGGGGAGGAGGAGAAAAATCATCTATTCCCATGCAGGTCTGTGTCTGCATGAAGTGGCATTGATGGGCCATCAACAGTTGAATCGCTTCAAAATGTCAAAAGTGCTTTTCTTTGTAGCTATTATTTTGTATCTTGATGAAAATTTGAAAATGTGTTTTTTTGCACTCACAGAACACACAGTACCTTGACTGGGGCTTCCTAACTCTGTAGTTGATGTCTTACTCTTTTGACACTGCTGCTATGATTTTGTCTAAGGCCCATGCCTCTTTCCCTGCCCTTAGATGTCACCTCTGCACTAATGTAGCTCCTAAGACAAAACCAATACATGGTCCCAGGCCTGTGGAATCCAGTGCAGCTTACACCCTGAATGCACATTAGAAATACCTAGGGAGCTCTCCAATCCCAATGCTCGACATATGTGGCTTCCTTTTGGAGCAGGCCCAGGCTTCAGTAGTTTATAAAGTTCCCCAGATGGTTCTAAAATGTACAACCAAGACTAAAAGGAAATGCAATTCCTTGTGTGAAAGAGTGGAGGCATTGTAATAAATTGAACACAGGATTAGGACTTAAGGAATTCCTTACTCTGTGTGAGGTCACCATGAGTAAGATTAATGGATAACCTTGAACAGCCCTGATCTGCCATGCATTGCACTAAGCCCTCCAAGTGGATCTTCTTGCTACGTTCTTAAATAACCTTAAGAGGTAAGTACTATACTAGCCACAGCTTATAGAAAAAGAAAGCTGGGGTTTGGAAACGTAAGCAACTTGCCCAAGCTCCCACAGGTGCAAGGTGGGGCTGGCATTCCAATTGCTCGGTGAAGAGCAATGCATGAAAAATGTTCAGCACTCCTCTCATGTCTTGGTACCCACATGCTGCTCGGCTCCTGATATTTTCCTGCTGCATAACGATTTGGGGGAATCGTGAACAGATAAGGCATAATAAGAAATGTTTTCTGCTGCTAAGAAGATCTGTATTTCATAAATCCCAAAGGGTTGCCAGTGTGCTGTTATGAAAAGAACATCATTAGAATTGCCTCCCTCAGAAATAAAGTTATTCAAAAGAACTTCAAAAACTTCATGGGAAAGTAGACCTAAAAGATAAGCTTATTTTGGTACAAACTGATATATGAGCATAGTTTTTTCATAGGCTGGAAGTTATTGAGAGATGAAATATGCACAGTGATGGTGGAACTAGAGAGAAGGAGATGGGTCCAAAAGCTATTTAGAAGATAGACTATATATTGGAACCAGCATTGTGGTACAGTGAGTTGAGCAGCCGCCTGTATGCAAGCATCCCTTATGAGTGCCTATTGGAGTCCCAGCTGCTCCATTTCCAATCTAGCTCCTACTGATGTACCTGGAAAAGCAACAAAGGAAGGACCAAGTGTTTAGGCCCCTACACTCACATGGGAGACCTGGAGGAAGCTCCTGGCTCCTGGCTTTGGTCTGATTCAGTCCTGGTCCTTTGGGGCATTTGGGAAGTGAACCATGGAGTGGAAGCTTTCTTTCTCTCTTTGTCTCTCCTTGTCCCTCTGTAACTATGCCTTTCAAATAAATAAAAATAAATCTTAAAAAAAAAAGAAGATAGAATATCTAGGACTCGAGAAAAATGATTGAGTTTGGGAGACAAAGAAAAGGCAGGAGTTAAAAGAATTCTGAGGCATTCGTCTAGGGTTGTTGGGTGGATGGAAATGCTATTGACATTTCCAAGGAGTTCGGAGAAGGACACATATTTGGAGGCGAAGAGAAGGAATGGACTTTGTGGCCTAATGAGTGACAGGTCCCTGCAAGAGATCCAGGTGGAGTATGTTCATGGGAGACTGTTGGGGTCTCTGAGTGGGTCTTCCCAATAGGGTGGAACCAGGACTATTGCTATGGGAGATGTCAGTGCATTCATTATTTAATTTCCCCCATTCCAAGAGTAGATAGAGCAGCAGCCCAGGGCAGAGAGAATGCAACAGAACTGTGGCTAAGTATTAGATTTGGAGGTCAGACTTCCTGGGTTTGCATCAGGTTGTAGGAGAATGATTATTTAACCTCTCTGTGGCTGTTTGCTCCAGTGTCAGTGAAGATGAATAATGGTAATATCTTGCGCCGTTGTGGTGAGGTGAATGGGGTCATAAACACCAAACACTTAGAGAAGTGCTACACACATAGGAAGTGTGCAGTGAATGTCAGTTGTTACTACTGTGCACACTAATGAGAACCCAAACAAGGGCCATGATTGCCACAGAAGTGGTGCAGCAGGAATTTTCCTGCCACACAAATCCAAGGGTTCTTCTTGAGGAGGCGACCCCAGAGCTGGATCTGTGGGGAGTGTGGGTGGAATTTAGATGAGTGAATATTGGTGCTGCCTGAGCAGAAGCCCAAAGCCCAGAGGCAGGAAGTGGGTAGAGCTCGCAGGTACTTGGTGTGCATTCTCTCTGATTCTCTGAATCCTATCTCTTTCAGTTCTCACCACACCCTTCTGAGAGCAGAATCAAATGCCAGCTATACAGGTCAGAAATTGCATCTCAAAGAAGCGTAACAAAATCTTGCTCGAGACCAGCCTGTCAGTAAATGGTACAGCCAGAATTCAGACTTTGGGCTGTAGACTCCCGAAGGAGGTGCCCTTCGAGGCACACCGGGTAGCATGCACAGACTTGGAAATCTCGATGAGCAGAACAAAATCTGGTGGGAAAATGAGTTGGGGGGACTTGATGTCACACACTGGAGCCTGTGCCCTGCGTAGTTTGTCCATTTCCCTGTGTCAATGTAATTGATGAGTGCTTTCAGCCCTTTAAGCGATTACAGATTATTACACTGGCAGCAGTCTGTGGGAATGCTTGGTGTAGGCAAGTTGTGGAGACAAGAAGTCAACCTGGCAAGCTCCTGCAAGAGTCCAGGCAAGACGGGGCTGACTTGGAAGGCAGAGACACCAGAAATCAAAAGAAAGGAGTCAAAACAAAATATGTCACAGAGAGAAACAGGAGGACTTGAAACTAAATGCATAAAGGAGGCAAGGGAGGGAGGTGTCCGTAGCTAAGATGCCGAACCTGAGTGCCTTGAAGATTGATGGCGCCATTGAGAATCAAGGGAGACCCGGTGGCAAAGGGTCCCTAAGTAACTGTTGATCTGGGTGCTACTGCTAGCGAACAGTGAAGTCTGTCTCAGACCCCCTGGGGTAAGTCCCAGTCAGGAAGTCCCAGGCTGGGTTCTATTCTCAGTGGGATCATGTTTGGTTCTGATTTTAGGCAAGTCACTTACATTGATGGGTATGATTAACCATCTCCATTCAGCAATGAATCAGCATAATCTGTTCCTTTTTTAATTTTTACTTTAAAGAGAGAGAGAGAAAGAGAGCGCTCCAACTTGCTGGTTCATACCCCCCCCCCAAATGCCCACATTGGCCCCCTACTGGAGCTGGGAGCCCAATCCATGTCTCCCATGTGGGTGGCAGGAACCCAACGACTTGAACCATCATTGCTGGCTCCCAGGGTCTGCATTAGCAGGAATCTGGGGTCAGAAGCCAGGGCCAGGATTTGAACTCAGGCAGTGTGAAATGCAGGCATCTTAACTGTTGTCTTAAGGAATGGGCCACATGCCTGTCCTGACCGTTTTAAATATGGCTGTCCAATTTGCACTCTGAGTACTGTATCCAGGAATCTGGTTGCAGGGGAAATCTGATCTGAAGGGATCTGTATTGGGAAGCCTTTAGCTGCTGGTTCCAGAAAACTCACTGTAAAATGACTTAAACAATTACAATAATGTCACATAAGGAGCACTTCAGTGGTTGGTGGGGCTTGGGGCCTGACTCTGCTTCTCCAGTTCTCTTTTCCTCATCCCTCATGGTTCCTGGAAGCATCCTCACTGGACAGTGTCCAGAACAAGAAGTACTGATTCTCCCTGGCTTCTCTCTACTAGTACAGAAACTTTTATCAGAAACCCCGCCTCTCCCCAACTTCTCTCAAGGTTCATTGGCTGGGAGGAAGTCACATGTTCATCCATAAACCAATTCCTAGCAAGACAAATCCTTACCTTTTGCTTTGACTAATGGAAATTCCCTACTGGATCCTGAGTCCCTGGGAGGGACATGGACTGTTCATAATCTGGGCTGTGAACCAAGGAAAGATGGAAGAGCTGGGGGATCTGTTTTTCCAACAAGTCTTCTAGTCACCTTGGTATTTATTATGGTGTTTTTTCTGCATTAAAGCTCAGTCTTGTTCAAGGCTCAAGGCATTGTCCAGCATGGGACAGACTTCTGTCTATGGCTCCACTGTGATGAAAATGGGGACGGAGTGGGGTCTCTCTCCTGCTGTCTTCTCTCCCCGACTTTTCACCTGCCCTGCTGCAGAAGACCAACTTAGTTGTCACAGGGCAGGTGGCAGGGTTGCAGCTCCGGGTCTCACTGGCTGGCCTCCATGCCACTGGCCAAATGCCAGCTCTCTCAAGGGACTTGTTGGTTCTTGCATTGCTCTGTGGTGGTGGTGGGAGCTGCTGGATATATACAATTGTTCAGTGCTTGTGTAGGACAGAAATAGCCTGTGCCTGATCAAAGCAGAGAGGGAGAGAAAATGGGGATTCAAACCCTCTTAAACTTTATTTCCCCAAAAGAATGGCCCCTTCTTCCATCCAGTGCTGTTTTAAACCTTCCCAGGGGCAATCCCCACCCCACCCCTTTCAGATCAAAGCCCCAGTAGAACTTTAACGGGTTGGAAAGGGTTATGGAGCCAAGACTGAGCTGTGACTCCCCCTCTGTCTCCTCCATGCCAGAGGTAACCTGCAAGAAGGGCTGTCAGTGGGAACTCCCCACCCTGGGAACCACTGGCCAGTTCTGTTTCTCTACTGAACTCATACCTGAGGATCAAGAGTCCAAATGGAGCAAGACACACGGCGAGAAGCATTGTCACTGTCCCCCTGAGAATTAGCTGCCTGACTTTTGGTTCTTCTCCCATGCAGCCGCTGCGGGACACACCAGTGGCCTCCCTGAAGAGCATGGAGGTGTGGCAAGATGGCAAGTCCTGCCCGCCACTTCCCAGGGCCCAGGACAGTCATGGAGCCTTCCGGTTTGGGGACAGTCCCACCAGCCACTTGCTCTTCAAGCTTCCCCAGGAATTACTGAAACCCAGGTATTTTAAAATTTCTCACCCCAGTGCCAACTCAGAAGCCAATTGCAGTTTGACCCCAGGGAAGTGTTGCCAGCATGATGTCACGCACCTGGCACTCATGAAGATGGCACTGTCATTGCCGTGAACCGAAGTGCCAGCCTGCACGGGACAGGGAGCGTGATTGCCTGCCAGGTGCTCTCCTCCACAGCTGGGCTGCGAATGTGACAGTGCATGGCTCAGAGACTGCAACAGCTCAGCTCTGGCTTCAAATCAGCAGTGTTCTAAAAATAAGGCTGATGTTTTCTTCCAAAGCTGCTATTTATTTCTATGGAAAATCACCTTTCTTCTCTTGCATTCTGTAGAAGAAAATTATCCTTTTAGGTAGACCCGGTGCCAGCTAGAACAAGTTTAGAGAATGTAGTTAGACTTTTTATGCTAACAAGTTACAACCCTGTGGAGGGGGAGGGGATGAGCAGTTGTATCAATGATGTCAGAAGAAAGTAGAAAAACCAGGTTTGTCAAGTTCAGGTGATATGAAGGAGATGTAAATTGAGAGGTGGCAGCCATTCCTTCAACACTTCCCTACAGAGGCAGATGTCCCAGGAATCAAGAAGACCTGGCTGTAGCTCCTAGCTTCAGACTACACGGACTCATTGGGAAAGTCTGGGCCAGGCGGGGGTTACTCCACGCAGAGATGACCCCTGGGAAGAATCCAGTATTGACCCAAGTGGCCCAACTCCGATACACCTGCCGTGCCCAGTCCTTGGCTGGCAGCATTGCCCCTGCAGATCCATAGGTGTGACACTGGGAATTCCCTGTCTCCCCAACATCAGGTTCTTTGAGAGGAAACAATTTTCCTACGCTTAGGCTTTCTCTCCCTTCCCGGCTCCCTTGTTTTAACAAAACGAAACATCGCTCTGGACCTCAATTTTCTCATTGGTCAAATGCAGTTGATGATGTTTTCCCTGCAGGGAGGGGAGGTAAGAGCTGGTAAGGAGCCTGCTTCTGGGAAGTCCATTCCGAAAACCATGACTGTGACTCACAGGCAGAGAGATGTCAAAGCCAGAAGTGAGGAATGCCGGCTTCTACAGGAGACTCCCTGCGGGAGGCGCCAGGGCTCTGATCGTCACACACAGCGCCCCTGGGTCCCTCATTTCCCTCAGTTGTGCGAGTGGACGACTCACGCAGGGAGTAGGGATCATCCACTGTTACTTCCCAGTGGGGAGGCCCTGTTCCCCATCACAGATCTCTTGGTCAAGCTGGCCTTCACAACAATCTCTCTTTTTGCAAGAAACGGCAGTTGCCAAGGCTGTCCCTACTGCTCTGTCCCCAGCCTCTCTCCCTCCACCCCTCCTCTCTGGCATCTTCTCTCCCAGCACATCCATTGTGATTAGTAATCTGGCTTCTGAGGAGGCTGCAACCCATGCCTTCCTGTCCAATGCTGCATCACACATCACACATGAAAACAGTAGCATTTGCAAAGGCAACATGAAAACATGGCCCATCATTAATAAATGTAATTGTGAAATATATTGTAATCTCAGTGTAGCGATCAGATTGTATTTTCAGGAAGTTTCGAGACTTGCGTTTACTATTGTTCTCCTTCTGATTTATATTCTAGAGATGTTTTGATTCTCCTTGGTAATTGGCACCATTGTTTTTTAACTCTTTGGTGTATGCATAAAAACGCTAATGAGGCCTCTGTCTTTCCCTCCCTGTCCCCAGCAATGTGCAGCCTCACGCGCTGGAATTTGAATCCACTGCTGCCTTTTTTGGTGTTCAGCAGTTAGTCTTTTCTGAAAGAAAATTGCTTTAGGAAACAGTTCTGGAAAGCAAATGTCAAGTCTGATCATTGAGCTCACATATGTAAAGTGCTTCACATTCTGTAGTGCCTGCTAATCTCCTCCCTAAACTGGCTAACCCTCATTCCCCAAGCCTCCGCACCAACACAGGCACACGGAGAGAAACACTGAGCAGTGTTACCATCTGGCTGGTTGAATTTAACAAATATAGATTTCTTTTTCACTTTGAAGCACACTGCCCTCCAGGAAACCTAGAAGAATAAATGTGCAGCTCAGTCTCACAATATTAAGAAGCAAAGAGAGTATTAGAAGCAAAGAGCATTAACACTGCAATTTTTTTCTTCCACTGTGAGGGTAGGCCTCCAGATTTTCCACGGACCATGCCATGCATTTCAGGAACTGTTTGTTGAGTTCCTACTGTGGAGTTGGCACTGAGCAAACCTGTAATGCTAGGAGCAGTATAAACCCAGTCCTCGCCTTCTCTCTGGGGTGTACCTGGATGTTACCCATGGGGAACAGGTGATGACAGCTGATTGATACCTGGGTCTCCCACTACCTTGTCATGGTGCACCTTTGGGAGCCCCTCCCAGTGCATCCCTGTGCCACAGACAACTCAAGGAATGAGTTACTGCACTTCTAGCATGGTGCCCAGAGCACACTCGTTCTGTTTTTTATTGGATGGAAGGATGGATGGAAGGAAGGAAGGAAGGGAGTTTTCATAGAAGTTAAAGTTTGCTGAGGCAAAAGTGCACATGATGTGTAACTATCATACAATGTATAGTAACTTATATTATCTGCTTTTTCTGCACGATATAGGCCCCATTCCTCTTCCATCATGGGTGGGTGTTAGGGCCTGAGGAAGGTAGACGTAGGTGAGACAAGATGTGTCGGTACTTCTGTGCCCTTGTGTTAAATATGGTGGGACTTCAGAAAGTCCATGGACAAATGGAATGGAGAGATGCCTGCCTGATGCTTAAATCACATCACCATATTCACGTTGTCCCCTACTCCTCCTACAACCTCCCTCTCCCGGAGTTTGCACATATTGGAATGCGTGTTCACTGGGCTCAAAGAGTGCAGGCTACCACGTGAACTAAGCCAGCCACAGAGATGAAGACTGTAGGACTGCATCTATAGGTGGATGAGGGCCGGAAGGTAGGGAGAAAGCAGAAGAGTGGGTCCAGAGGCTGGGGCGGGGCGGTAGGTAGCTGCTGCTGAGAGGGTAGGGGTCCAGGCTTGCAAGGTGATGAGTTCTGGGGGTGACTGCACAACACCACGAATGCACTTCCTGCAGAGCCGTGCACTTCAAAGTGGCTCAGCTGGTTGTTTTAGTCCCTTTTTGTTGCTATAAAAATACCTGAGTAACTTACAGTGATTGATTTGGCACATGATTCTGGGGGTTGGAAGGTCCAAAGGACATTTTGTTGGCCTCTGGAAAGGGTGCCTTCACTGGGTAACAACGTGGCATAGAAAGAACAAGGGAGCAGGCCGCATCAAAGGGGCCAAGCATGTGGAGCAGCCCTGCTCTCCTAGGGCTGGTGCTGCCCTGACTGCCGTAATCCCTTCCAAGGCCAGGGAGGGGCCTGTGACCCACGCACCTTGCACTAGGCCCCACCTCTTACAGATCCACCACCACAACCACCGCCATACTGGGGGCCAAGCTTCTAGCACGTGAGCCTTGGCTAGGGCCCACCCTCAGACCCCATCCACACCCTGGCAACGGTGAATTTGATATTTAGTGGATTTGACCTTAATTTTTTTAAATGTGGAATTTTGTAAAAGCCCAGGCATGTTGTCCCTGCTTGCGTGTGCTGGGACATAACACCATAGCTAAGCTGGCCACAGAAGTTCTGCACTATTTCTCAAAGCAGTCAGGAGAGCATACAGCAAAACTGTTCACAGGTGGCGTCTCAAAGGTTCCCGGAGACGTGAGTCAGTTAATCATCCAATCGGTTGACAGATGGGGTTTCCGGTGTTGGTGCCTCCCTCCCGTGTCCCGGCTATAAGATGCACCATTTCACTTCATGGCCTGCTGCCTGCTTCACCCCACAGGTCGCAGTTCTCCGTGGACATGCAGACGACAGCTTCCGGAGGGCTGGTGTTCTTCGCGGGCTCTAGGAATTCCTTCCTGGCTCTTTACCTCTCGAAAGGACGGCTGGTCTTTGCCCTGGGGACAGCAGGGAAAAAACTGCGGCTCAAGAGCAAAGAGAAATGCAACGACGGCCAGTGGCACACGGTGAGCGCCGGGGCCCAGGTCAGCGGGTGGGAGGCCAGCAGGAGGAGCCCTGGCAGCCTTCCCAGGCACGGAGGCCTGCGCGCTGGGAGAGCTCGTGTGGTTGGCGACGCTGAGGGACCCGCATCTCGGCACAGGGGGGCTGCACCCCCAGCCGTGCAGGGACGCCATCCTGACTGCCCCCTGGGCTTCACTCCCTGCATCTTCCGTCCGCTACACCCCCCTGGGCTGCCTCACTCCCCTTGCCCATTCCCACCCCTACTCCCTAGACAGTTTCTCTCTGGGGGTCAATTTCCCTTCTCCAGACTTGGAATGCCTTCCTCGTGGCTTAAGACCCACATGCCCAGCACCCCAGCTCTCATATGGGCACTTCCTAGATTTAAAGAAACACAGGCAGCCGGCGCTATGGCGCACTTGGTTAATCCTCCACCTGCGGTGCCAGCATCCTGTATGGGTGCCAGTTCTAGTACCGGTTGCTCCTCTTCCAGTCTGGCTCTCTGCTGTGGCCCAGGAAGGCAGTGGAGGATGGCCCAAGTGCTTGGGCCCCTGTACCCTCATGGGAGACCCGGAGGAAGCACCTGGCTCCTGGCTTTGGACCAGCATAGCTCCAGCCATTTGGGGAGTTGTGGCCATTTGGGGAGTGACCCAATGGAAGGAAGACCTTTCTCTCTGTCTCTCTCTCTCACTGTCTGTAACTCTACCTGTCAAATAAATAAATAAAATCTTAAAAAAAGAAAGAAAGAAACACAAGGTAAGGCCAAAGGAAACTTTTTTTTAAACTTGAGATGCACAAAGAAAAACAGAGAGCTTCCATCTACTGGGTCTCTCCCCAAATGCCCACAATGGCCAGGGCTGGAACCAAGAGCTGGGAACTCAATCCAGGTCTCCCACATGGGTGGCAGGAAGCCAAGCACTTGAACCATCGGGGCTGCCTCCCCCAGTCAGCGTTGGCAGGAGTTGGAATCAGGAGCGGCGCTGGGAAGTGGACCCAGACTCTCTGCTACAAGACACGGGTGTCCTAAGCAGCATCTTCACCACTCGGCTAAATGCCTGCTCTGTTTTCCTTTTTTCCTGAGGAAAGGAACTAGAACTCAGAAAACTTAAGTGGCTTGACGAGTTGTGTTCACTTAGTCATTCAGCAAATATTCTGTGAGCGGCTACCCCAGAGAATATAAGCAAAGCCTCCCCAGTGTGACATCAGATAGCGATGAGTGCTTTGAGAAAACGCGAGGGCAAGGTGAGGAAATGAGGAAGCAGGGAGACTGTAGATACCGTAGTCAAGAGAGGGGAGATGCCTCCAACAGGAGCTGGCTTCCTGTGAAGGGTGGGGAGGCTGTTCCCAGCCCAGGGAATAGCAAATATGGAGCCCCTGAGGTGGGCATTAGCTGAGTGAGCAGAACATGGAGGGATCAGAAATGGGATTAGAGAAAGAAAAGGGCCCAGGTCGTTCAAGCTTTGGAGGCCCAGCTAAGGACTTGGGATTTTATTCCAGGTGTCCCTGCAGCTTTTAAAGAGTCTTAAACTCTAGCATGAATGGATTTGGGTTTTTTCGACCTGTCTTTAGCTGCAGAGACTGCACCGGGGTTAAAGTAGAAGTGGGGAGAGCAGAGGGAAGCTCCCTGCATTGTGGAGGGAAAGAGAGGAGCCCGGGCCACATCTCAGAGCTTCGGGCCGGCAGCAGGGCTGGTAGTTGGGAGCTTACTGAGGTGGTGTAGACGGAGAGGAGGTGGAAGTGGCTGGGGAGAGAGCAGTTTTGAGCTGGGGACAACAGGAGATCTGGGAGCACCTTCCCATCCAGGGCCACCAGACATTGCAACCTGTGTGCCAGCAGACAGTGGCGGCCCAGAGCCTCTTCGCTCTGGACATGCGTGCTGGGGAGTCTCCAGTGAATGATTTCACCAGGGAGTAGCCCTGACAGGGCAGGAACCATCTAGATCCCAGGGGTCCTAACTTGCAGCGAGGAGTGTTAGTCACTTACTCCTCCTGTTAGGAAAGAAGCAGCCATCGTGCACTCTCTTGTGTGCCCTGCCCTGCGGGAACTTCCAAAAGTCCCTGGGGGTGCAGATGTGTTGTCTGCAGGGTAAGGTGCTGATTAAGATGCCCACGTTCCACACTGCGTTGCCTGGGTTCTGTGCTCGGCTCCGGCTGCTCACCGCCTGCTGGTGAGAACCGTGGGAGGCAGGAGGTGATGAATCAAGTACTGAGTCCCTGATACCCACATGGGAGACTTGGATTGAGTTCCTGGATCCTGGCTTTGGCCTGGCTGAACCCCAGCTGTTGCTAGCTTCTGGAGAACTCTTTGTGTCTGTGTCTGTGTCTCTGTCCTTCCCTCTCTTTCCCTCTTCCTCTCAAATAAATGAACTTTTTTTAATAGATAAATTAAACTTTATTTCTTTAACTTTTATTTAGTAAATATAAATTTCCAAAGTACAATTTATGGATTACAATGGAGTTCATGGAAAATGGAATGAAAAGATTAGTTTATTTGGGTGCAAAAAATTTTGAAATCCATGCCAATGATGAATCTTTAAAAAGTTTGTGGAAAATACATACTGTTAAAAAAAACTATGCATGGATTTCAAACATAATTGTGCACCAAAATAAACTTACCTTTTTGTAATGTTTTCCCAAGAACTTTTGGAAGTCTACTCACCTGACCCCCTCCTCTCAGCTCTGCACCACCACTGTGCTCCTCCCCCTTTCTTGCACAAATGTTTGCTTACTTTGGTGCCATTGACTCTCTATGTTTTGCATACATTTCCAGATCCTTGGCATTTTTGTATTAGTTCATTTTTGAGCTCCACTTGTTCAGTAGCTAACTTAATCTCACAGAATGCCGGTGATGATAGCAGGAGAAAAAGGGGCAGAAAAATATTTTTCAAAAATGTCCCTGTAACCATGCACCAAATGCAGCCGCAGTTGTCAAAGGTGAAAATCAGATCCACTTATTTTCTGTCCTCTGCAGGTGGTGTTTGGGCAAGATGGAGGTGAGGCACGCTTGGTTGTGGATGGCCTGAAGGCGCAGGAAGGAAGACTGCCTGGAAATTCCACTGTCAGTATCAGAGCCTTGGTTTACCTGGGAGCATCTTCATCCCGGAAACCCAAGGTGAGAGGTCACCCTTCAGAGCCCAAGATAAAAATAACTCACCTTGTACTGTACCCATGACGGTTATGTGAGCTCTCTGAACATCTCAAAATATTTCGGATGCTTTTTAAAATACCTAATTACTGTTCACGTTCACAAGCCCCAGGAGAAGGCACCCAGACCACATTCCCAAGCCTGTGTTTGCAAGGTGCGGCTTGAGATACAAACCCTGCTGGAGTGATACAGGACTTCTCCCTGGCTTTCTTCACTTCCGTTTTTTAAGTTTATTTTATTTATTTGAAAGGCAGAGAGACAGAGGCTAACATTGTTCCTTGACCTACTCGGAAAGCTCGAAAGAGACTTGAACAAGGAAGAACTTCATAACTGCACATGCGCCAGGGTCTGAAAGAACAACATTATCTGAAGAACCACACTTGGGTACACTGGGCCAAGGGAAAGGCATGTCAAGTTCAGGGACTCTGCTGGAGCTACAGCCAGGGCGAGCTCTGGGAGTGCCCTCCCCCTCTGCCTCCCCTCCCTCCCTGCCAGGGCTCTAACTACACCTGGATTACCTGGGTGACCTCATGCACCTGTCTTTTTTTTGACAGGCAGAGTGGACAGTGGGAGAGAGAGACAGAGAGAAAGGTCTTCCTTTGCCATTGGTTCACCCTCCAATGGCCGCCGCGGCCGGCGCGCTGCGGCCGGCGCACGGCGCTGATCCGATGGCAGGAGCCAGGAGCCAGGTGCTTTTCCTGGTCTCCCATGGGGTGCAGGGCCCAAGCACCTGGGCCATCCTCCACTGCACTCCCTGGCCACAGCAGAGGGCTGGCCTGGAAGAGGGGCAACCGGGACAGAATCCGGCGCCCCGACCGGGACTAGAACCTGGTGTGCCGGCGCCGCTAGGCGGAGGATTAGCCTAGTGAGCCGCGGCGCCGGCCCTCATGCACCTGTCTTTCTCCTCCCAGATAGGCCTTCTCCTCCCACAAAGAGAATGGTTCGGTCACCGGCTGGGGCATAGGAACTGTCCTCTGCCTGAGTTGATTTTTGCTCCTTTCCAGCAGAGATGGAGACCATTCTGATGTGACATTTGCTGGCCCTGGGGGAGGGGAGGGCACAGACTCGACTGGGCCTGGAAAGGGACAGAAAGTAGACCTTGTTCCCTAGCCCATAATCTAGGTGTTCAGCCCCTCCACAGGGCTCAGCATGGCCCGCTGGAGCTTGGCACTGGAGTTTGAGCCAGAACCCCAGCAAATATTACTTTGCTTTGTTATCTATAGAATAACTTTCATGTGTACACTATGAATATATGAGAGTACCTCAAAAAGTTCACAGAAATGGGATGAAAAGTGTATTTTGGCACAAAAATATTTGGAATCCATGCATTGTTTTTTCGTAGTACACGTCTGAAGACCCCTCTCATAACAAATTCATAGTGTGTATGTTGTAATATGTGTCTGTATACACCATATTAATTACTAAGCAACATCCTCAGGTTTCCCTTCCTCTACCTCTGTGCCTGTTTTTATCCCAGAGAAATCACAGGAGGGAGCAGCTCTTCCAAGGCACAATCTGGGCATTGTTTTGACCTGGATAAATTGTTACGACACCTTAGTCATAGCCAGCACCCCAACATCTGGAGCAATGAGTAGAACCCCAGTCCCAGTATTCTTTACAAGCCAAGGTCCTTTTTGTAGCCTTCCTTCTACCTGAGAGTCTAAACCGTGGGATCAGCCGTCTCCCCAGCCAGTCGCTCAGTCCCTGCCCCTGAATACAAGAACTATAGTTGTGGATTTGGCCTTCAGTGTCAGATCCTGGTCTGTCCTGGAGAGTCTGGGCCTGGTTTCCTATGCAGGCTCTCCATTACGCAGCTTAGCAAATATTGAGAAACTAAGAATGTCCTAAGGCACCCAATCACTGGTTTATCATTGATGCTGACACCATACACATCTGTAATACAGGTTGAGTATCCTTCATCCAAAATGCTTGAGACTAGAAGTGTCTCAGGTTTCGATTTTTTCAGATTTTGAAGAGTTCTGTATACATAAATAATATCTTGGGGATGTGACTCAAGTATAAATACAAAATTCATTTATGTTTCATATACCCTCACACACATAGCCCAAAGGTAATTTTATAAATATTTTTAGTGCACCTGTGTTATGCCTGTGGCCCAACACATGAAGTCAGGAATAGAATTTTTTCCTTATGCTGGCATATTGGTGCTCAAAGTTTTAGATATTGGAGCATTTTGGATTTTTAAATTAGGGTTGTGAAACATGTGTGGCCAATATCCTTTGCAATTACCCTATTTTGTCTCTGCCTTGCAGGATTCCAGCGTCCTCAAAGCATTTATTCTAGAAGGAAATTTAGGGATTTTATTGAGTTTAAGAATTTTGTTCTTAAACTTGTTTGAGAATTTTATGAGAGCTACAGTCCTTCTCCCCAGGAAAGCGCCCACATGGAGAACATCTGGTGTATAACGTAAGGGTCTCAGAACTCCCGAAGCCAGGCCCAGCGGCCCACGTGAGGAGCTGGCAGGGGGCTCATTGCTGGCCCCCTGGTGATGTGCTTGGCAGTAGTGATTTGTTGGTCATGTGCTGAACCCAACAATGCAGGGATTTTTTTATTTGTTTAGTTTTTTTGCTCTATTAGTTTTGGAACATTTGGGCCTCTTTATTCAGTCAGCTGCCTTGCCTTATCAGACGGGCTCATGAAACCCTAAAAGGTAGTTTGGAGCCACAAAGAGACAATCTGTGAACAATAAGGTGGAAATTCCCCCTGTGGCAGCTCGGGCTGTGGATCAGGGTCAGGTTGAACTTTTCAGCTGCGTGCACACCAGTTGGTTTGGCGGCACCTTCAAACTTCATCCACCTGCCAGACATCGGTGAGGCAGGTTTATTTGGCATTGTGCCAAAGGAATTGCCAAACACACCTAACTCCTTGAGGAATCTACCATCTCCCTTGTGCTGATAAGGTGCAATGTCCTTAACCTTGCCCGCCTCTGCATATCTGGGAGTTGTGGGTCGTGAGCTCTTTCTTTTCTGCTTGGTTACAGAGCCTCCCCCAAAAAAGTTTTGTAGGATGCCTGAAGAACTTCCAGCTGGACTTAAAGCCCTTGGGCACCCCTTCTGCAAACGTCGGGGTGTCTCCCTGCTTGGGTGGCTCTCTGGAGGAAGGCATTTATTTTTCCCAAGGAGGAGGAGCTCATGTTGTCCTGGGTAAGGAATAGTGTGGTAGAGTTTGTCTTTGAGTCTTAAGAATTCCATTCTTTTTCTTTCATTATGATGCTGTAACTGTTTGTATTTTTTCCTTTTGAAAGCCAACTCTGTGTCACTGGGGCCAGAGTTTAAGCTCGCTTTCAGCATTCGCCCCAGAAGTCTCACTGGAATCTTAATACACGTTGGAAGTCAACCCGGGCAACACCTGAGTGTCTATATGGAGGCCGGACAGGTGCGTGGCAGGTTCATGGAAGGCAGATGCCATTTCTGGAGACCCTAATAGAAGAAGTCAGGGTGGAAAGTGAAATCCCAGCTTGTGTGCAAGAGACCTGGCTTTGGGGCTAACTTGCCAGTCTCCTTCAGCACGCAGTGTTAGCATCATTTTCTGATTGTCACCTTTAAAATCAGAGAAACATAAACAAGTTGGTCTGAATTCCAGCTGCCTCATCAGGTTAAATGCCTCTAGGAAGTTAATTACACTTGTTTAGATTTAGTTTTGTGACCTATAAAATGTGGATGGTTATTCATCTATCCTAAGGCTGTTGTCAGGTTGGAGACTCTGCCATAAGAAGTTGGCCCTCAGTATCTGTGAGGGAATTGGTTCCAGGACCCCCAGCAGATCCCAACCCCCAAGGATGCCTAAGTTCCTCCTCTAAAATGCTGCAACATTCACATATAACCTATATATATTCTTCCATATACTTTCTCTCTTTTTAAAGATTTATTTACTTATTTAAAAGGCAGAGTTACATAGAGGCAGAAAGAGAGAGAAAGGAGAGAGAGAGAAAGGTCTTCCATCTGCTGGTTCACTCCCCAAATGGCTGCAATGGCTGGAGCTGCGCCGATCCAAAGCCAGGATCCAAGAGCTTCTGCCTGATCTCCCATGTGGGTGCGGGGGCCCAAGGACTTGGGCCATCTTCCACTGCTTTCCCAGGCCATAGCAGAGAGCTGGATCGGAAGTAGAACATCCGGGACTGGAACCAGAGCCCATATGGATGCCGGCACTGCAGGCGACAGCTTTAACCACCATGCCACAGCGCTGGCCCCTCTGCTGTATACTTTCAAGCATCTAAATTACTTATAATACTTAATACAATGAAAACGCCATATAAATATTTGTCATAAGAGGGGACTTCAAAGAGTTTGTGGGAAATATAGAATTTAAACATAAGTCTACTTTGGTACAAAAATTTTTGAAATCCACATGTGGTTTGTTCATGATACACATTTTCCCATGAACTTTTTGAAGATCCTGTTATATTGTATTGTTAGGGAAACAATGACAAGAAAAAAATCAATATAAATATGATATCTTTGTTAAATACAGACATGGTATTTTTTTGAAAGATTTATTTTATTTACTTGAAAGTCAGAGTTACAGAGAGAGATAGAAGAGAGGCAGAGAGAGAGAGAGGTCTTCCATCTGCTGGTTCACTCCCCAACTGGCCGCAACGGCCGGAGCTGCGCCAATCCAAAGCCAGGAGCCAGGAGCTTCCTCCAGGTCTCCCATGTGGGTGCAGGGGACAAGGACCTGGGCCATCTTCAACTGCTTTCCCAGGCCATAGCAGAGAGCTGGATCAGAAGTGGAGCATCCGGGTCTCGAACTGGCATCCATATGGATGCCAGCACTTCAGGCCAGGGTGTTAACCCGCTGCGCCACAGCGCTACCCCCACGGTATTTTTTCAAATATTTTCATCTGCAGTTTGTTATAGCCATAGGTGTGAACCCCACAGATATGGGTCTAACGGTATTCAGTCAGTATTCGTTTTTTCCCTCCTCCCTGTCCCCTTCACCATAGCACTACCTTCATTCATAAGGATAGGACCAGAATTAATGAAATAGATTTTCTCATCAACCGTCTACACCGTGTGACAGCTCCGATTCCCTTCTCTCTGTACAACTCCCCAGCCTCTGTGGTCCCTGCAGCCCAGCTGGGCCTGGTCTCTGCACCCACTTCCTTGGCTTTTCTTGAGTTCCTTCTTCAGTTTAATCTTGTGCTGCCTCATTCTCCCTGTTCCTCACAGACCAGGTCGATGTCACACTTTCCACCTCCCGGGTACAGCTCTCTCCTTCTCAGGGAAATCTCTTTAAAACAAAATTCTTCCAGGAAGCCTGTCTGAGTGAAGGCCTCCAGTTGAAGACTGATGATGCGCCATTTTATTCCATACCCATCAAGCCACAGTTTATCAATTGTGAGGGGGGAAATCTCAGAAGAAAATGAAATGGCCTAAAGTCTCATTGAAACTGTAGCCTTTCAGTCCGAGCGGATCCCTGGAAGCACAGAGAAGCCGCCCACTTGCTGGTGGTTGAGAGGAGGCTGGCTTTGCAGAGGAGGGGTTCTAGGGAGAGTTTCCGCACAGGAAATAACCTCGAAAGCAAAGCCCAGACCCGATGACCTTCACATTGAGCAGGGACATTGCTCAGCTCAAAAAACGCCTGCGAGTAGGCTGCGCCCTCCAGCTACATGCAAATTAGATGTAAATTATTTATAAATGTGCTTATTTTAGTCCTCAGTTCATTCACCTTAACTCAACCCTTGGAAAATCCCAGTGGAGACCCCGCTCTGGAGAGCAGGGAGGCGGGATTCTGCCACCTGGCAGGCGCAGTCGCTTCTGTCAGCTTGTCTCCTGTCTTGATGGAGACCCCTCCCCCTGTGCCCCCTGCAGGGGGTGATTGCAACTGGCTGGCCCCTGCAGCAGGTGGAAGCCTCCAGCAGCATTTTTTGCTTTCTGAATTTCACGCGTCCTTCTAAAGAGAACCACACATTCTTGCATCTTATTCAATGCTAAGGAAGATCTGCAGCATTAGTCTGTAAACTTGGAGTGGGGCTGAGGGGCAGGAGGCCAGACAGGAGCGAAAGGCTTGTTGCTTTTGGCCTCAACTTCAGGTATAACCTCGTTTGTACTTGGTAGCCTGGAAGGGGTGCAGTAGAGGAGTTCTTCATCAGCTTTGGAAACCCCGGGGGGCCACCAGGTGCAGGAGTCAGGAGGCCAGGATCCAATGTACTCCCCCCCAGGTGTTGGTGGGACCAGGGGTGTGAAGGGAGGATGCTCGGGGAAAGCTGGCTCCACCTTCCTTCCTGGAGGAAACGAGAAAATGCGTGTGTGTTCCAGGTCACGGCCTCTGTGGACAGCGGAGCAAGTGCGATCTCAACATCGGTCACGCCAAAGCGGTCTCTGTGTGATGGACAGTGGCACTCTGTGGCAGGTATGATATCCAGCAGCCTGCTGTTCATACACGGAGGCTGACTTCCCAAGTGCAGCCTCAGGACGTCCACCGCGTGCCTGCCCAGGGTCAGCCCGCCAGATCAGCGTGCCCCGTTTCAACCTGGCATGCTGAGGTCACACATGGCTGCTGCCTCCAGTTCTCCAGAACAGACTTGAATTTTGCTTTTTTGTTCTTCCTGGGGTGTTTGCTTTTGGCTTTTATGTTGGGGGTCTGGGTTGGGGTAGGGGAATTTATGGCCTAGCACGCTTATTAGCCATGCTAGTTTTTAATGGAGCGTGACTGTGATTCAGATGTTGGCTCTGAAGTCAAAAACAATAGGGGCTCAAATCTCACTTCCATCCCTTGCCCTGGTGACCGTGGGCAAGCATTGAATGCAGTTGCCCTTGAGCTTCGATTTCCCCATCCATGAAGTGATGATGTGTGCAAACTGCTCAGCACAGATACGCAGTGAATGTTCCGTAAGGATCCGCTCCTCCTGTTGCATAGTTAAGGATGCTGTTAAGCCTTAATGGTTAAAATTTTCAACAATCGCTTGGTGTTGATGCAAACTACTAGACTACCGAATGAGTAGAGAACACACATACCCCTCAAATCTGTTGTTTTGTTAATACCTTGTCGATATTAGTTTTCAGTATATGAATGCATATAGGCTAAAACACCTGTAGTAAAAAGTGCTCTTTTTTTGGTTAATTTGTAGGCTAACTGCACTACAATTAACTAAGATTGTTAACATGGGAGGAATTCTGTGCTGTCTTTGGCATCAGTTTTTAGAAATCAATGTATTTTTTTTAGAGAGAGACTTACTTATTTACTTGAGACAGGAGAGACAGAAAGAGAGGTCTTTCATCCGCTGGTTCATTCCCCAAATGGCTATGATGGCCAAAGCAGAGCCAATCTGAAGCCAGAAACCAGGAGCTTCTTCCAGGTCTCCCGCGTGGGTGCAGTGGCACAACCACTTGGGCCATCTTCCATTTCTTTCTCAGGCCGTCAGCAGGGATGCTGGATTGGAAATGGAGCAGCTGGGACTTGAACTGGCACCCATATGGGATGCCAGTGCCACAAGCTGATGTTTAACCTACTACACCACAGCACCAACCTGTCAATGTCATCGTTGTCTTCTTTTTTTTAAGATTTATTTATTTGAATGGCAGAGTTACAGAGAGGCAGAGGCAGAGAGAGAGAGAGAGAAAGAGAAGTCTTCCATCCACTGGTTCACTCCTCAATTGGTCGCAATGGCTGGAGTTAGGCCGATCTGAAGCCAGGGACCTGGAACATCTTCCAGGTCTCCCATGTGGATGCAGGGGCCCAAGGATTTGGGCCATCTTCTACTGCTTTCCTAGGCCATAGCAGAGAGCCGGATCGGAAGTGGAGCCGCCGGATCTTGAACCCAGCACCCATATGGGATGCCAGTACTGCAGGTGGTGGCTTTACCCACTACACCACAGCACCGGCCCCTCAATGTCTTCTAAGAAAGTAGTTGAGCAGTTATGAAGTAGACATGGCCCCGGAGACAGGAGACAACACCTGAATGCCCATCTCTCTAACAGAGACTGCTCCGTGAATCCCAGTGTGTGGCCCGGGGAGTGGGAGTGAGCGAAATTACCTTGGGTTCAGATTCATTTTAAGGGTTCAGTTCAGTAATGTATGTGGAAGTGCCAAACACAGCTGATGTTCACAGGAAGTTGGGTGACTTACAGAGAGGCTGACGCCTGCAGGCAGAGCACCCATGGCTCTGTAGGACCGAGTTGACAGGAAGCCAGTGTTGACACATCGACCAGTGTGAAGGACTGTCCTCAGGCAAGAGACCTAACCGGCTTTCTCCCCCTCCCCCAGTCACCATGAAACATCACACCCTGCACCTGCAGCTGGATGCAGACAGCAGCTACACAGCCAGACGGCTCACCTTCCTGCCGGCCAGCATGCACGAGCCACTGCACATCGGAGGTGTCCCAGGTAACCCTGGTCCTTAGTTCTTCTACGCCCATGTTGCCTCCCCCATCAGCTCTTAATGTCTTCTTCTTAACCCAGCAAACCTGATGGCCCAGCCTGTGGGTTATTAGCAGGGCAGCCCTTGCCTGGGTGGTAGAGATGGTGAGGTCTTTGCTCCTGCATGTGGAGAAACACAGTTGTCAGCAGTGAGCCCATTTGAAGGCAGCCCAAGCCACATTACTGCTGCTTCCTCAACCTAAAATTTATAAGCCTCTCCCAAGAGAGTGCATTAACCTAGAAGCCTGAAATCAGCAAAGAGCCAGGAAAGGGGCTGCGAAGATGGTCTCCCCTCTCCAGCACTTAGTTTTACTGATGAGTTATTAGGCTTTGTGGGCCCAGAATGGGAAAGTTGGGTGGGTAGACATGGAGGTCAGTTCAAGCCTGGAATTTTGCCCAGAAAGAACCTTTTCATTCTTCATTGTTTTATGTGCCTTCCAATGGTCTGGTAGTTAATTTTATAGGTCTTTAAGGACCCATAAAAAGCACCGGAGTTCAGTTATTAGGTATTGATTCAGACTGAGAAATCTCCTCTGCAGAAGTTGAAGATAGCTTTTTTGCTGATTCGTCACAGCAGGTGGAGTGGCAGGCAGGTACTTCAAGAGGCAGAAGTGAAGGGGGCGGGCTGCTGAGACCTGAGGTCCCTTTAGCGCTTTTCAATAAGACTAGCTTGAAACCCAGGATGCCTTTGTTAGGGCGTATGCATCTCAAGTTTTATTCCAAGTTCTTGCCCCCCCCCCACCGGATCGAGATAAGAATTCAAAGCAGAGGCATAAATACTGTGCATAAATGAGAACATGGTTTATTTTTATGTATTTTCATTTATTTACTTATTTGAAAGGCAGAGTTACAGAGAGGCAGAAACAGAGAGAGAGGTCTTCCATCCACTGGTTCACTCCCAGATGGCCACAACAGCTGGACCTGTGCTGATCCAAAGCCAGGAGCCAGGGGTTTCTTCTGGGTCTCCCATGTGGGTGCAGGGGCCCAAGCACTTGGGCCGCCATCTACTGCTTTCCCAAGCCATAGCAGAGAGCTGGATTGGAAGTGGAGCAGCTGGGACCTGAACCAGCACCTGAATAGGATGCTGGCACTGCAGGCGGCAACTTTACCCACTATTTCCCAGAATTTATTTAAAAGTGAGAGTGCGTATGCATTCACACGTGAGTGTGGGCCACCCCACACAGAGAGATGCCTGCCCTGAGTGGGCCCCAGAGCTCGCCTATGAGAGAGAGCATGAGGGGAGGCCAGAGAAGGACCAGCAGCAAGGGCAAGAAGCCAGAAGGCAAAAGGGCCCCTCCCACGGGTAACAGTCCTTGTGCGGGGTAGATGTGATACCAAATGGGGTGGAATTGGGACAGGCTTCAGCGTACATGAGCCCTTCTGGGAGTTTCACGGTGCCTCCACCTGGAGTTTAACTTCCCTACCAGCATCTCCTCCCTCCTGCTCCTGGATGGAGACACAGGTGGGTGCATCACAGGAAAATGCAAGTGCTGCATTGACATGTAAGGGGGCGGAGTTACAGTGCAGCGCTGCACAGAAACTGTAAGGAATCTTCCAGCTCACCCACGCCTACCGATCCTCCTGCTGGTCTCGCCCATGGCTTCATTTCATGGAGCCATCCACTGAGGGCCTCTCTCTCTTCTCTTCCAGCCCATTTGCAGCCCCTGAAGCTGCCAGTGTGGAGATCATTTTTTGGCTGTCTGAAGAACATTCAAGTCAACCACATCCCTGTCCCTGTCACAGAAGCCTTGGAAGTCCAGGGGCCTGTCAGTCTGAGTGGCTGCCCTGACCACTAACGTGAGCCTATTACACCACGAGGAAATTTACCTTGAAAAGCACCGGTCCCCCGGCGTGCCTCTCTTCCTTAGGGGAGATGCTTCCTGACTCAAGACATCCCCCGATGGGCGTAACAGCCAACCTCGTTTTGAATTCCAATCGCATATACCCCACCACTCTAGCATGCAGTGCTACATATGTATTTTATATAAAAATCCCTTTTCTTGAAGAAGAACAAATTGTTAATCCAAAATGCACAAAATGTGGTAATATTATTTTCCACTGAAAAGGTCCATTAAAGAGCATTATTTCCCACTTGTTAAAAAATTAAATATCTTCTCAAGCACTTTAAAAATATGAGATCTTTACAAATGTTACGGGATTCTAATTGATGGGATGAAACAAGTGAGGGCACTCTGTAGATTATGACGTTTTATTAGCACGAAGCCAGTGGCTTAATGGTTGTTGGTCCTGGTATTGATTCTTCAGCAGCTACTCCCTGTGCCCCTACAACAGTTTTCTACAATTACAGAGCACGTACTGGTGTGGTTCTGTGTCTGCTCATGTTGGAAATAGTGCATAATAGGATGTGATTCCTGCCTTTAAGGATGGTGCATTCCAATTGGAGGGATACAGAATAGTCATAAACTAGTGATTAGCAGGCGGAGCTAATGAACCTGTTAATTCCTGAGGTCCATTGGCTTCCCAGTCCCAGTCTCCCCCCGCCTTAATGATTGAGCAGGACTTGGCTCCTGAAATCCACAGAGACATTTAAATCCAAAAGTCCTACGTGAATAGTTGATAGATCAGAGTAGAGACTAGATGTCATGCTGACCTCTGAGAGGGGGCAGGTGTGTGGGCGCTAGCCCTCCAAGGGAGCTCCCATGAGAGGGTTGGTCATACGAGCCACGTGTGCTGCCTCCTCTGTCCCGCTCTGCTCCCTGGCTCACCACGTGATCCTTGTTCTGCACACACTCCGCCAATTCCAGCTTCCACCTGGCCCCCAGGCTAATGGGGCCCCTGGACCGTGACTGAAACGAGCCTTCTCCTTCCCACGAAGCTCCTCTCAGGTATTTCAGTGAAACTAACCAAAAGCTGAGTTATGCACCCAGTCTGCTACCCACCAGGCCCAGATGGTGGTGTGGGTTCTTTGAGTGCACAAACTGCCCCCCCCCCCCCCAGGAGAGCTGAGCTGGCTACACGAGCTGGGCCTGAAGTTTTGCATGGCAAGCTGACAGACGTCAGCAAGGATGGTGTAGTAGAGCGCTAGTGTCAGCTGGCATCGCCTTCCCTAACAAGGAAGGCTGTGTGAGCGTCTCTGCGTCATCCACATAGGAGAAAAGTACCGAAGTCTGAAGATCAGGCTGAGGGGTCCCACGTGACGACCTTCAGCTGCCTGCCCTCCGCCTCTGCACCTGAGTCACCTTCCCTTCAGCCCAGCGTGCTTTTCAGACCTTCCCACTGAAGCCTGACGGGGATGTTTTCCTGGAGAGACAGCGAGGCCCTGGTTCAGGAATTACCCAACACAGGCTGAGTGGCACTCCCTAGGGATGCTATGGTAGGTCAGAGGTTGACTCTGGGTCATGTGCTTCTGAAAACCTCGATTTTTCTTCCTTTTTAAAAATATTTATTTATTTATTTGAAAGTCAGAATTACACAGAGAGAGAAGGAGAGGCAGAGAGAGAGAGAGAGACAGGTCTTCCATCTGCTGGTTCACTCCACAATTGGCCACAACAGCTGGAGCTGTGCAGATCTGGAGTCAGGAGCTGCTGCTGCTGCTGCTGCTTCTTTTTTTTAAATATCTGTGTTTATTTGAAAGGGCAGCTAGAGAGAGAGAAAGAGACATATACAAAGGGAAGGATTTCCCATCTGCTGGTCCACTCCCCAAATGGCTGCAACAGCCAGGGCTGGGCCAGGCCAAAGCCAGGGCCCAGGAGCCACCCCCAGGTCTCCCATATGGGTGGCAGGGGCGCAAGTACCTGGGCCATCCTCCACTTTCCCACATGTATTAGCAAGAAGTCGGATTGGAAGTGGAGGAGCTGGGACCCAAATCAGCATCCACATGGGATCTGGCATTGCAGGTGGTGGCATAGCCCACTACACCACAATGCTGGCTGAGGTTTTCTTTTCAAACTGATGCCTTACCATTTTGTTTCGTTTTGTTTTGTTTTGACAGGCAGAGTTAGACAGTGAGAGAGAGAGAGAGACAGAGAGCAAGGTCTTCCTCCCATTGTTTCACCCCCTAAGTGGCCACTACAGCTGGCGCTGCGCCAATCTGAAGCCAGGAGCCAGGTGCTTCCTCCTGGTCTCCCATGCAGGTGCAGGGCCCAAGGACTGGGGCCATCCTCCACTGCCTTCCTGGGCCACAGCAGAGAGCTGGACTGGAAGAGGAGCAACTGGGACAGAATCCGGCGCTCCAACCGGGACTAGAACCTGGGGTGCCAGCGCCGCAGGCGGAGGATTAGCCGAGTGAGCCGCAGCGCCGGCCACTTTACTGTTCTTAGTACCTCAAAGTAGAGCCTGCTCAAATGTTATAAGAAGTCAGTGTGAGTTTGTTTTGATGCAAAAATTTTGGAAATTCATGCAAACTTTTTCATAAGACAAATTTGAAGACCCCCTATGTGTGTGCAATATTCTACTTGTATCCTACCGTTTTTGCTTTGTTTTGAAAGGGAGAGACAGAGAAGCAGAGATAGAGAATTCTCATCTACTGCCTTACTCCCTAAATGTCTGCAATGGCTATGCCTGGACCAGGCCAAATGCTGAGAGCCAGGAGCCAGGAGCCAGGAGCCAGGAGCCAGGAATCAGGAGCCTAGAGATTCTTCCTGGTCTCCCACATGGCTGCAGTGGCCCAAGGACTTGGGCCATCCTCTACTGTTTCCCAAGCCAGAAAGAGAGCTGGATTGGAAGTGGGGCAGCCAGAACTCGAACCGGCACCCATACGGGATGCTGGCATTGCAGGTGGTGGCTTTACCTGCTATGCCACAGCTCCAGCCCCTCAATTTTTCAAATGAATAGTTCCCAGGTGACTACTGAGTCGGCAGGTGAATCACCCATTTTACCTGTCTTTAGCAGATCCGACTTAAAGCAATGGACATTGCTTCTGAGACCCTGCTGTTAACCCTACAGAACTAGGGGGTTATCCATCGGTGTGAACTATTTGCTAGCTCTTCCTAGATTCATCATAAAGGAGACTTCTTCACTCACTAATCCCAGCAGTTCCTCGCATCATGCCGCCATATTATAATCACTCGAAGCACAGCCAGCCATCTGCCTTTGTTGAATACCAGCCACCAGAAAGCAGCAGAGTCCCAGATGGAACTGTAGGTGAGGAGACAGAAAGCCTTCTGTGAAGCCATCCTCAGACTAAATGTGAGTTCTCAGAAAAGAATGCTGGGAGCTCCCCAACCTAGCATCGTGGAAATGATGTGCAAGCTGCAAAACGCCACGCAAGCATTGTCACTGCTCTCACGCATGGGGCTGACCCAGAGGAGGGCAGGATTGTTGGTCACCACAGTGTCCAGTTCCATCCAGGTCCACCATCGGTGCCATTTTGGCCCAGTGGAGTGGGGCCTGGAGGACTGCTTCTCCCAGCAACAGGTACATGCAGGGCACCGGGCCACTGTGCGGCCCTGGTGTCTCCAGCGGCCAGCGGCTGTGGCCTTCAGCCTCTCTGGGTACTTGTTGATCCCATTCATTCCTCAGAACTCAGTTGCCAGGCTTTTGCCACACTCACGATAACCACACGTCAGAGGACAGAAGCACCGGGCAAACCACACCAACCTTCCCTCTCACCGGACAGCCAGGTGTCTCGCTTCCCCACAGAGAAACTGAGCTCCAGCCTCTCCTACCCACCGTGGAGCCGCACAGCAAAACCCCAAAGCCCGGCTTGTGCCCTGCCAACCACTTTAACCCTCTCTCTATATTGGGGAGGCCAGCGCTGTGGCGTAGCGGGTAAAGCCTGCAGTGCCAGCATCCCATATGGGCACCGGTTCAAGTCCCAGCTGCTCCACTTCCAATCCAGCTCTCTGCTATGGCCTAGGAAAGCAATACAAGATAGTCCAAGTCCAAGGGCCCCTCCACCCACGTGGGAGACCCAGAAAAAGCTCCAGGCTCCTAGCTTTGGATTGGCCCTGCTCTGACCATTGTGGCCATTTGTAGAGTGAACCACCAGATGGAAGACCTCTCTCTCTCTTCTCTCTCTCTGCCTGTGCCTCTCTGCAACTCTGCCTTTCGAATAAATAAATAAATCTTTAAAGAAAAAAAAATATATGTGGGAGCCAGTTTTGTGACATAGCTGCTTAAACGTCCGCCTGGGACGCCGGCATCCCATATGGGCACCAATTTGAGACCTGGATGCTCCTCTTCTGATCTAGCTCCCTGCTAATGCACCTGGGAAGGTAGCACAAGACAGCCCAAGTGCTTGGGCCCTTGCACCCACATGGGAGACCAGGAAGAAGCTCTGACCTCTTGGCTTCAGCCTGGCTTGGCCCCGGCTGATTCATCCATTTAAGGAGTGAACCAGCTTGTGCCGCTGCTCACTAGGCTAATCCTCCACCTTGTGGCGCCGGCACACTGGGTTCTAGTCCTGGTCAGGGCGCCGGATTCTGTCCCGGTTGCCCCTCTTCCAGGCCAGCTCTCTGCTGTGGCCAGGGAGTGCAGTGGAGGATGGCCCAAGTCCTTGGGCCCTGCACCCATATGGGAGACCTGGAGAAGCACCTGGCTCCTGCCTTCAGATCAGCACTGTGCGCCGGCTGCAGCGCGCTGGCCGTGGCGGCCACTGGAGGGTGAACCAACGGCAAAGGAAGACCTTTCTCTCTGTCTCTCTCTCTCACTGTCCACTCTGCCTGTCAAAAATTAAAAAAAAAAAAAAAGTGAAGCAGCAGAAGGAAGATTTTCTGGCGCTCACTCCCCCTCCCCTTCCCCCTCTCCCCCTTTTACTCTCCCTCTCCCTCCCCTTCCTCCTCCCTCTGTCTCCTCCTCTCTCTGTAACTCTGCCTTTCAAGTACATAAAAAATAAATTTTAAAAATTGCATTGTGTTTCTTGGGCCTTTGAATAACAGTCTGTTCCATTAGATGAATTTACCATAATGGATTTCACTATCCTGCATTTATTAGCAAATTACCTTGTTTCCATTTTTCCACTTATAAGCAGCACTACAATGAAGATGTCCTGGGATATAAATGTATTTATTTTCTTAAGATAATCCTAAGAAGTAAGTTACTGGGTCAAAGGACATGAATGCTTTAATGTTGTTAGTCAAATTGTTGCCCAAAACTTTACATCCATTTACACTCAATCACTTTAAACTGGC